CGTCACACATGCATGTTTACACATGGGCTTGTCGTCAATGAAAATCGTGTATCATTTTCAGGTAAGATCATGTGCAAAGGGCTGGATGCGTCTGGGGACAAAGTCACGTTGAACTTCGACATGAGCGCCTTGTTCGCCTGCTTGGCCAGTAAGCTGCACCGTGATCGTCCTGCCCTGTTGACCGTGGAGCGCAAGCGTGAGTTGCAGAACCAGTACCAGAATGCCGTCTTTCACCACGGTGAAAGCGTGGCGCAGCGTGTGATGGGTTCGTTGTTGTACAAATCTGAAGCTATTACTAGTGATCTCGCCCCCTTAGTGGCGGCTGGGACGACCTATGAAGGGCGCATCCGCACCTACTGTGATGCCACGCGCTGGGACGCGTTGTGGGCCGCGGAGCTGGCCAGAGTGAAAGGTAGTTCACCGCATGCATGTTTCAGTCATGAAAGTAAGATAAAAAAGCACGCTGCGTCATGCTATCACTACAGTGTTCCATACGTCGTTTTTTTCTTGTTCTCAGGTATCGATGAAGCCGCGGAACAGGCGTCGGCCAAGGCCAATCAAGCGATGGAAGAGGCCACTGCCAAGATGCAGGCCACGATCCAGGAGTTGCTTGACCCGCAACATCCCCACGCCGCAGTCGTACGGCAAGAAGGGTGGTTACGGTGCCGAGTATCAACAAGGTGGTGGTGGTCGCCGCAGCGGCGCGTACGGTAAGGACAACAAGGGCGGTAAAGGAGGGAAGAAGGGCAAGACCGTCAAGTACTGCCACTCCTTCCTGGCTAACGCGGGGAAGTGCTACGTCTGGGACTGCCGTTTCAAACACTGTGAAAACCGTGGTGACATCACCGAAGCCGAGTTCAAGCAGATAAAGGAGGATCCGCGCTTCGCCTCCCAGTTCAAGGACGTGGTGTATGAGAGCTGGCGCACGCCGGTGGCGGCACCGGCTGCGGCCAGCAGCACGTAAGTGTCGTATGCTGCAGGTGCAGCTACGGCACTGCTTGTAGCATTAGCGTACTTAACATTTTCCATCTTGCTCTGTTGTAGTTGCAAAGAAGTCAAGCTTCTGTCTCCGAGTGAGTGTAACACCATGTAAGATTACAAACTGTTTTTTCTGTGCGCTAAGGTTGCTACACATGTCGCTTCAATGTATTTTTTATCTCAGTGAATTACATGTAACTTACATTCTGGACCATGGTGAGCAGGACAATGCACGGTGGATTTTTGTCTGTCAAAGCGAACCAATGTGAGTTGTAATAGATACACTGTAAAGAAGTGTAACCATATGAAAAGATACAGCGTGTCAGTCAGCCTGTCTGTCAGCAAGCGCCGCGTTTTGTGCCGCGTCACTTCGCCAGCACATTGCTCCGCTGCGAAGTCATGTTAACGTGTGTAAATGCAATCCAAAAGTATCGGTCGTTGTCGGTTATGGTCAGCAAATGCAGCCGAAAACACGCCACACAGTGTGCCTCAGTGGAGTAACAATCGGTTTGCCAAGTGCGCATCAGTCGGCCGTGATGGGGTGGGGACACAGAGAAAAAACGTAGTTGCAAAGTAAGCAAAGAGGACAGCGCTACAGACAGTAGTGTTTACACCTTGCAAATGCAGCATCACACACATTTCCGATAAGTGCACCAGACTGTCTTCGCTATGCACATAAGCAGTTTTTATACGACATTCTTTGCGCTAGTGCCATGGGTGTCCCCACAAAAGATGAAGTGCGCACTGTCTTGAAGAGGGTGGAAATAGACAGTGTGAGAAGCCACCCGCTCGACCGTGCCCAAGTGCTCCCTGATCCGGCGTCGCAAACGGAGAAGGGCATTCGTGAGAGACGCGAGCAGATTAAGCTCTGGCACGAGCAGACCGCGGCCAGGTCGCAGGAGATATACGACAGTATCGACGTCGACATACGCAAGCCGCGCGTGTGCAGCAAGCTCGGGCTCTGGGAGCTGTTAGGGGAGAAGTGCCACGCTTCCGACAAGGAAGCGTGGGACGTGTGGCGAGATGGCCTTAGCATGGTGGGGCCATGCAAGGTCGACGAGACGTGGAGCCCCCGTGTGAAGCGAGATAAGATGTGTAACAGTGTGGAGCAGTTTGAACCCAGCAAAGTCATCAAGCGGTTGCTGCAAGGAGATCATCGTAAACCGCCGTGGTCGGATGAAGATATTAAGCTGACGTGGGAACGCAGCGTCGCCGAGACAGCATGCGTGCCCGAGTTGGGGTACGCATTGCTCGAGGGACCGTTCGACATACCAGATACAATCAGCACGTGTGAAGAAGAGCAGGAGAAGCTGAAGTACGCCATGCGACGGCTTCCGCGGCATCAAACCCGGACGGTGCGGTTGATCGATCCGGCGGTATCGGCAAACATGTGCAGCCCATTGTCAAAACGAGTGCCGATACCGACCGCGTTAGACGTACTTGCAAACGCTGCTGTGGCGCGCGATCCATCGTGTGCAAATAAAAAGATCGTGCGTCACAGCCGGAAGGTGTTGCAGAGGTGCAGAGCGGCGGAGGTGCGGCACGAGAAGCAATTTTTGCAGTATGTGAAGGGAGAAATTGCAGAGTTAGATGGAGACTTGTTGAAGGAAAATGTGAAGACTCCGGCACTCCGCGACGAACCTGTGTTGAAGTGTGCAGACATCAGCACCAACAAGAAGTGCAGACGTGTGATCAGCCAGGACTTGAACGAGATAGAAATCGCATTGTTGGATATTGCTAAATGCTACAACAATATGATGATAAAAAAGTCCGATCGCAAGTGCAACACGATCGTGGTGTACAACCCCTCCACCAAGCGGCATCATCGTTTCGTCGGCCTGTCTGCCATTTTCGGCAGCAGGCACAGCGTCACGGGCTGGCGCCGTCCTGGCAAGCTGCTGCGGTCCGTCCTCCGCAAGCATTACGGGCTGAATGCGGAGGACTATGTCGACGATTCCCCCATCTTCCCGCTGTGCGGGTTGGGGAAAGTGGTGGAGGAGGTTTTGTTGGAGCTGCTCGTCATGCTTGGCTTGCCAGCCATGCGTGACAAGATCAAGACCGGGCGCTTGTTGGAGGTGCTTGGGTTGTTCTTCGACGTCACGGGAAGAACACCCACCCTGGCAGTGACGGAGGAGAAGAAAAAGCAGATTTGTGGTGTGTGCAAGTTAGCACTGGACACAGCAGTACTTGATCCCGTCACCGCGAGCGAGCTCGTCGGGAGGCTCACCTTCGTGCTCGCCTCCGTGGCGGATAGGGCGCTGAGCCCAGTCATTCGCCCGTTGCGGTTACATGCAGCACGGGAAGAGTGCGACGTCGTGGTGGAAGTAGGAAACGCGCTCAAGTCTGTGCTGCGCATCATGTCGCTTCCATTGAAGCGCGGCGTCACGTTCGAGTCCGATCAGCAGCAGAGCGCCCTCTTGTATACGGACGCACAGTGGAGCAAAAAGAAGGGCGTTCTTGCTGCTGTTTTCGTCGAAAACGGCGTGCTTCGGTGCGTGAAGGAGGACATTGTCGCGGAGCAGTTGCATCCCGACTTTCGGCTGTTTCCAATAAATGTTTTGGAAACAGCTGTAGCCCCGTTGGCGGTGAAGTTCTACCGGAGTGCGTTGGCAGGAAAACGGTTCGACCACGGCATCGACAACACTTGTGCACAGCAGTCGATTTTAGCCCAAGGACGGTCGGGGAGTAAGCAAAAATGGATATTCACGCGCTTGGTGGCGGAATTTTGGACGTTGGTGGTGGAAGGTGATATGAAGCCGTGGAATACGAGGGTACCATCGGCGTTTAACATCGCCGACTACCCGACCCGGCAGGATAAAATGGATGTGTTGATGAAGTATTATCCCGGGCTTTTTGTGGAGATTGTGGAAGGATTTGGTATGCAGGAATATGTGAAGAATTTATTATTGGGACAAGTGTCCGAAGGTGTGTGTAGTTTAGCGTCTGTACTTGCTGACAGACAGGCTAGTAGCAATTATGTCAACCACGCAGCATCCGACGATGACAGGACCCTGTGTGGAAGTGATGTAGGATCTTCAGATGAGGAGGTTTCGTGATCGCGTCTTTTTACATGTCTTTTTTGTGAAAAATTGTATCTACAAGTACATGTTGATCGTGTGCAGTTCAGGTCGGTGTGTTATGGCCTTTGAGTGCGTCGGCATGACTAGCTCTGCCGCGACGCACATCTAGATCGTCTGCAGGCATCTTCGCGTTCGGATCTCTGTTGTGTTTTCTTGGAAGGTATGCGTTGCAGCTTCCGCATGTTTGAGCGGGGCCCCACCAAGATCATGTTGCTCGTCGTCTACGAGCTCGTCGTCGTACGCGTTGCGCCTGCAGCCGCTCTGCGCTTGGGACCAGAAGGCCGCTTCACACCAGTCAGTAGTAGCACACGAGAGAAGTACAGGAGCGTATGAATAAAAGTGTGTAAATAATTGCAATTTTTGCTAGCAAATGTGGAAATGGTCGTGATTTTTGTTTTGTGTAAAAAGTTGTGATCTGCGCCGGCAGATCTGGAAAAAGTTGCAATCCGTACTGACAGACTTTCAAAAAATCACAAGCCACACTGGTAAATATGCTGAGTATCGCGGTCAGTGATGGCATTTGTGCTGCAAATTGCAACCTCTGCTTGTAAAAATGGTCAAAATCGCGGCCCACCGTAACGTATCTGGCAAAAATCGCGGCCCGTACCAGCAGACGTGGTGAAAATCGCGACCGGCGCTGACAGATGTGGTAAAAATCGCGACCCGCGCTGGGAATTGCGATCCGTTCCACAAGAGTCCATGTCTTTGGGCCTGAATGTCCGAAGGGGGCGGGCCCGGCCTCTTCGGGAAAGGGAGTTGTGCTGCCCAGCACGTGATTAGAGCTGCGCTCTGACCCGCGCACGCACGCCTCAACGGCCCGCCCCTGCGTCGTTTGCCTTCCCCCCCGTAGGCGCGAAGCGACGCCGGTCCGGCGCTGTACCCCGCGCGGTGCGCCGCTTTGACCGGCGAGGCCCGGCGCAGAGCCCTTTCCGGGCCGGCGCTGCGCCCGTGCCGGCGCGGGAAAGCCCGACCCCGCCCCACGAAGAAATGCACCACGACCGGGCTTGTTGCCTATGCTGTTGCTCCACTATTCCTTGCACCGTCGGAGGCCGATGGGGGCCTTCCCTGCTGCACCTTCGCTTTCGCCCTCGTCCAGCTTTGGGCCTCCGCGCAGCTGTTCTCGTAGTAATCGAACCTTGGGCCGGTGCTGTTCTAAAAAACCGCGCGGGCTCGAAGACAAGGGTCGACTTCGGGGCCTGTGTCCTGCCACGCTTAAATGAGCCAGCCCGAACAAGGCAGGAACGGCAGCGCGGAGCTCTTAGCGAACACAAAGAAGAAAAGCACCCGCGCACCAAGTACGCTATGCGCAAATTGGACATCGGAGTGAGGAGTTCCCCTCAACATGCTGCAGAAGGCCTCCCGCGTTGGGTCGCACCCGACCGATTCTGCTATTTCCCGCTTTGCGGGGCAACCGCTTGCTTCATGCAACAATTGCTCCAGTGCCCGCTCCCTGAAGGCCCGCAGCTGTCGGTCTCGTTGCTCGATCCTTATCCATCGCGGCACAGCGGCGGCAATATGCTAGCTCCGCAAGCTTGCCTTCTTGACGCTGTTGCAAATGGGAGCTTGTTTGTTCTAGCCGTGCCGACGGGTATCGATGTGCCCAATTATCGCGGTGTGGGAAGTGTGCCCACTATACTATCGTCGCTCGGTTGCGATAGTCGCAATACCCAGGCGAAGCTAGGGTGAAAAGGGCGGCCTTCGTTTGCCGAGTCCGGTTCATGAGGGCGTTTTCATGGGGCGTACTTTTCTCCTTGATAACGGGCAGTCCAACCGCTTGGTGACCCGGCTGTCCTCCACTTCCCCGGATATTGCACAGGAAGTCGCGATCAAAAACCTGGACTTTTATCGTGTGCAAAGACGTCCCCACCCTGTATTTGTCCCCCCGATTTGCATCTGCAAAAATCTGTGGTCATGCACATCCCAAATGAGGCACTAGCTACTTCTAGTCCTCAAAGAAGAAATTTTTGAATTGCTTGATAATTTTGAATCGCTCAGACGCTCTCGTACTTTTTTCCATTCGTCATGCTGCAACGCAGGATACTAGGCGGCCCACCCGACAACTTTGTGATGCGGCTATGTTTGCTAAGCAGCACTACGCTACAAATACAAACTTGTCATCCGCAGCTGTCAAAACTGCTTCGCTTGTGTAGCAAAGTACTCATTTTGACATAGGTGTCCCTCTTGGAAATGTGCTTTCCGCACGGTGTACGGTGCCGGTCCTTTCGCGGCGGGGACGTTTTTGCACAGGATAGCCCCTTCGGGTGCAAGAAAGGAAACAAGGACCAAAAACACACCATTCGCAAGGTGTTTTTCCGCGAGGTGCATTCCCACGCCGTGCTGTCGCAGTTACTGCACACTGATGCCCCGGTACTGATTATACTTAGTTGAGTCTTTGTTTTTCTCTGTTAGTACATGATATAGTTCTTCGTCTTGCAGCACGTCGCCCGACTTACACAAACAAACAAAATTATTTTTCGCAGCTCCTGTTCTGCATCGCGCAGCTGATTATCCATTGGAAATATGTTTGGTTCTGGCTGGGTGGCGAGATTTATTATGCACATTGTCCAGCATGCCTCTATTTCATGCGGTTTTCCGTTGGAAGCTAGTATTCACGGGTTCTGCAACAAGGTCTTCGCAAGGCCTGAGAAGCTTCCTCTTATCTCAACCAAAAGTGGAGAGCTTTTGCTACTCATGCAAGCCGTATGCTTTTGTGACCCACAGGAGCGAGGACGCTGCGTCACTAGTTGCAATATTTCCGACCCAGACATATTTTCAGTGCATACTCATCTACTCGAGCGGATCGGTAGACGAGAAGGGCAAGATCAACAACCTGAAGATTCACATCTTGACGGAGTCCGGCGACAGCTGCATCGGAACGGGAGATGAAGAGCAGCACCAACATACCGCCTACGGCTTGCAAAAGTTGTGCAGCAAGCTTGCATATTGCAGAACGTGCTCCGCAGGTGGAGTGTTGTATTTTAGTTTAATTCGCACGCAGGGTTTAATTTTGCAATATCAGAACCAGACATCTATACTCTTAGTAGATAAGTACTTTTTTTTTGTTCTGCAGCTCATCTCTTTGGGCCGCCACAACTTTTGCGTTTCATACTGTCGGGACCTTGGCCAAATACAAGAACATTTCCACGAACAACGTGATCATCCAGTGCACGCAGATGATCTTTGTCCTGGACAAGCTTGGGATAGCCTCCCGCGACATAAAACCCCAGAACATTCTGGTCATTGTATCCTGAGTAAAAGAGGCTTCCCCACCCAAGAGTTGTAATGCAAATCTGGATGCTTTTCGAAATGAATTAACAAGTTTCTCATGCGGAGACCTATGAGAAAATTTTATTTTTAGTGGTGTTTTGAGATTTGTGATGCTCCGATCAGCATCATATGCTAGGTCTGTGATGCCGCTACACAAGCTAAACACGACTACTTACAATGCGCGCAACAACCAACATTTTGGCGAAATTGTCTAGCAGAGTTCCAATCTTGAGCCTGGGGTGGGGACGTCTTTGCTCACAATACATCAAGGGCCTCAAGGAAATGGCCGTAGAGTTCGACACCCCGCTTTCCTTCATGGACATGATCAACCAGGGCTGGTTCGCGCCGTATTACAGCCTGAAAACCACCGCCGAGGACGGCTTCAAGAACGAAGCGCTGTTCCGAGTCACGGCCAAGGGGGCGCGGGTGTTCAATCAAATTCTGTTCGAGAAAAGCGGGTCTGGAAAGTTGGAAGCTGCATCTGCAACAACGTATCAATTGCAAATCAATATGTCTGGGTCTGGAAACTTGCAACTTGTAACGCTTGCTTTGCCTTCCTTGGAAATGTGTTTTGCATAACAAACAAAAGTCACAGCCATTCTTGTCATGCAAAAACGCAGCTTCTGATGCGGACTGCCTAGGTTGAGAAAGCGGTCTGGAAAGTTATCACGCTGGGCTGCATTTGCAAGTGTCTGCATCATCCACATTTTTGCATCAAAAGTTTCCAGACACAGACAGATTTGCATTTGATAACGGCGCCGCGGTGCCGGGGCCGGTCTCTCCGGGCATGACGCTGGACTACATGCATTTGCACCTCCCGCCCCAGGTATGCATTGCGAATATGTCCGGTTGTTCTGGAAAGTTGGAACTTGTGAAGCTTGATGTCGTGCATTTTTGCAAAATCTGTGTTGCGTGACCGATAAGAGCGAAGCTTCTTGTCTCATGTATCAGTAACGCAGTTTGTCATCATGCGCATTAGGGATGAGATTCAGAAACTTGTCATGCTGGGCAACACCAAGAAAAAGAACTGCAGCTGCACTGCTGCAATCATCCATAACCCAGCATCGCAAGTTTCCTGACCTCGGCAGAGCCTGCCCGACTCCAGAGGGAGTAGTTCAATGCACCCAATTTGTATCTTGCGCAATATTAGCATAGTATGGTAGTCTAGTGGACGAAATAGCAAGTAATTATTTTAGTTCTCTCTCTACTTAAATCCTTACGTAGTTCTCATATTTTACTTTTGAAAATTCAAGTCGTTCTCTTCCCCGTGCTGTGCCACGGTTTTGTTTCCTGACAAAACGCCAGACATATTTGCAATGCATACCAGGAAGCGGGAGGCGATAAAGCCTCTCCCAACAAGCGCGGAGGTACGGGTCACGGAAAAACGCCGGAGGACGGGGCGGAAACTTCCGGCGGCTCTTCCATCGAAGTCTGCGCCCATCGCGTCAAACAGGAAAAACCCGGCCGCTACGTGGCGTTCAGCAACGACGACAAAGACCGCACGCCCGAAGCGGAGGAGAAAGGGACCAGATTCACAGTGAAGCTGGGTACAGTCTTTGAGGTGGCGCGCTTGTGTGTGTTTATTTTTTGAGGTGGTCGACTTTAAGCTTAAAGCCAAACCGAAAAGCAAAGGGTGGTCCTGGGCCTCAGTATATGTGATATACTTGAGCTTCTATTTTGAATTTGCATAATTTGCAATATTTACAAAATCTAAAACAGGTACTTGCCTGAAACTGATCGACATCGCGTGTCGCCTATCAGCTGCAAATGACTCTCGATCAGGAGAAGTGCAGGTGTTGCCCGGTCTTCTGTGTGCCAGACCAGAACTAGCGCGAAGTTGTGATGCAGCTCGCCTCGTCTACTTCTGGCAGAGCCACAGTTATGATGTCATGCGCGTACGAAGTAGAAGAGCTTGCATCTGGTTGTATCTGTGACACCAGTCGAGAAACCTTTTTCTTGAGAGTGATTCACATTCACCCCAGGCTTCCGTAAAGTGAAATTAATAAATCAGCGAACCATATTAACCATGCAAGAGTGTTCCTGATTCCGATGTTTTATTTGCAGTGCATATTGATCGGAACCCGAGGAAAGCGCGAGTGGCCACATCACCCAGATCGCGGGAGCCACACCGGCGTGGCGGGTCGAGCGCCCCCTCCCGACTTCGGACACGAACAAGGCGGGGGAACCCCACGAAAACTGGTCGATCGCGCACCAAGACAAGCAGCAGATGGGTTTGGTCCTTTTTAACATGATACGCATGGCAAAGTTATCGCGGTCTGTAAGGGTGTCATGCTGATCCAACTCGGGGGTGGATGCTTACACATATGCAAGTATAGTCGCTTCATGCATTTTTATTTTAGTCGAACTTTTCGTCGCGACCAGTTAAACTTTTGCGAATCCGAACAGGCAACGCTCCTGCACACAACACGCCAGGCAGCCATCAAAGTTTACAGTACTCTAGACCCGGACATAATTTTTGCACAGCATACACGATGAAACACAAATCGAAAAAGGCGGCGACTCCTTCGCAGATCGACCTGTGCGAAAAATTGGATCTGGATTTGGACATCGAGGAGCACATTGAGCTGTTCTGGACCTTTTACTGTGACCTGTACCACTTCCACACGAAAAAGTATCGATTGCAAATGCAACCGGGCTGGAAAACGCCGATTTATACCTGAAAGGAATCATCATGCCTCGTCCAAAGAGTTCCTGTTGTGAGCTGTGCAAATTAATATGCCGCACCGAAAAGTAACGGCCTGGCATAGTGAGGTGCCATGCAGAATAACTATGCTGGTGTTCATGCGTGAAGACAGAAACGGTAAAGCTTAGCAAGGAAGCTTTGGCAAAAATCACTTAGACCAAGCTACTTGCATTTCTCTTGACCCGGTCGCATTTACATTGCATAGCTTCCACGACACGGGGAAGTCCAATAACGCAAATACCCGGAAGAAATGGATTGGCGACCAGCTGAAGTTGTACCAAAAGGAGCTGCAGCGAGACGAAGTGGAATTAGAGATCGTTCCGGACGAAAAGACGCAGTGGAACTACGAAATGCAAATATGTCTGGGTTTGGAAAGTTCCGTTGTGACGCACGGTTGTGAATGCTAGGAGCAGGAGCATGACGAGTTCCTGCACTGCCAGGTCGCTGTTGCCTAATCGCTGTTGCTGATGCCACAGCAATTGTTGCGCTCTTCCAGAGGACCCAGACACATTTCTCGCAGTGCATAGCAAGACCGGGTACGCGATTCTCGAGCAATACGACGAGTACGTTGCGGCGTGCAAGGCCCACAAAGTACACGATCCCCTGGTCCTTGTGCCGCTCGTATCAAATGCAAAAGTGTCTGGGTCTGGAACATTCTAAACTTGTGATGCTGTCGTCTCTAAGGGTTCTAAAAAAAGTTGCATTGCATGACCAGCAAGAGGATTCCATTTTGTGCCATGCAGAGAGGGCATCTCTGATGCGGTAGAGGTATCACAAAGCCCTCTAAAAATCTGTGATGCTTCGGCATGCATTACAGACACCATGGCTCATGGAAAATATGCATGACAAGTCTCGAAATCTTCCAGACCCAGACATATTTGCATTTGATAACTGGGCCTCATGATTATCACGTTGAAAACAAGTCTCCTCTCAGAGAAGAAAAAAATGGAATAAAAAAGTGCAGGAATGCGATCCTGTTGTAAAGAAAATTTAAATTTGCATGGCTTTTGGACCTCAGTCTGCTGCTGGCGCGGTTGTTCATGCGAATGCTGCGGCTCGCAAATATGAACTCGATTCCGTTTTTGCATGCGCACGATTCTTGCCGAGTTGCTCGACGAGACACATCAGTCTCGTTTTTTTTGAGCAGGAACTTTTTTCAAAGTGATATGCTCGGGTGGTTGCTTTGTGGACCCGGACTTTTTGTCCAACGCCGGCATCATTGAACCCAAGGTGACCTATCCTAGCGAAGAAATAAGTGACACCCGTGCCAGAAAAAAATTGAATTTGCTCTATTCCTTGTGTCCCGAAAAGTTGATCTACAACCGGAGCATCAAGGGATCTTGGTCATTCACATTGGAGAGAGTAAGTGATGCGGACCAGCACGACAAAATGCTGGGTGGGAGATCGAAAATTCAGCATGCTGAACGGGCAATATAAGATTTTGCTTTTGTGACACATCCGCATTTTTTCCTGATACATATGGGTGTCGTTTTCTGTAGGATATAAGTGCCGCCATGAAGATGCAGGAAGACAAGATCGAAGCCATTACGTCTTATGGCAACGGGATCGAAATGCAAGACACATATCAACTGGAAATAAAATGTACTCGTTCCATGATCTGCGGAGGGTAAGGACCAATCACCAACGTTCTTGCTTCGATGTCATGCAGAACGAGCCGACAGCAGGGTTACGTAGGAAGACATGAAATATAACTACGCATGCAAACGCCTCCTGGATTGATGATTACATACCCTGTTCGTACGTGCATGCAGAATGCAGTGTGGTGCGAGTGTATTTGTCCTTTTGATAAGTTGTTGAAAACTTTGATGCGTGCGGTCGCGACGTTCAACAAGTATCCTGGGTAAAAACGTCCCACTCCAAAGTCGTCAATGTCATGGAGATCTGCATGCTCAACACGTTTCTCATGCGAAGCGTCGTGACAGACGTTCTGTAGTTATGTTTTGCAATTTGTCATGCTTGAAATAGAACAAGCAAGTAGCTTGGATGTCACGCTGTTGCGTCTTGACATTTTCCGTCTCGACTCTGGGGTGGGCACGTTTTTTCTCAGGATAGAAGCATGTCCGTGCTGTCCCCCTCCGTGCTCAAGCAACTGGAGAATACGAGAACGGCCGAGGACATCGTGTCGAAAGCGGCGAGCTTGAACACGCTGGGCTTCAGCTTCGGTAAAATCCACGGCATCAAACTCTCCAAATCGTGGTGGAAAAAGGAATGGGATTTGTTTGTGCGAAAGAAAAGTGCACAGGAGAACAAGGATCCAGAGGAGTACCCGCCGATGTACCTCACGCGGTACAGGTACGTCGAAATGTATGTGAATTCTGCCCTGGCGCAAGGCTGGATGATGTTCAACGAGTAAAGCTTCTTATTTTACGTTTAGTTAAGAAGCCTTTTCGGCAAAGGTAGGAAACTTGTTTAGACCTCTCATGATCAGTTTGATTTTTAAATAAAGCGAAGATCGATTAATAAACTACGGTGAAGGAGAAGAAGATCAGCCTCCTAGCCTTTTCCAAACTAACTTTGTTATAGGAACTGGTCTACTACTCTTTGATTACGGTTTATATTTGGTCTCAGACAGAAAAAAAGAGTTACTGAGTCTTTCAGCGATGTTATTTTACTGCTTCAAACTATCTACTTCCTTGTTGCCTGAGATCCGAAAAATCTAGAACAGGGGGAGCTATGCCGTAGAGTAGTTGTTAGACCCATCGCACACACACATTTACCACCACTGACGCCACGTCGGTATCTCCCCCGACTCCTTGCGATGGAGTTTCGAAGCAAAATAGTTAGACACCCGTACGTGGCGGGTCAGCTGTGCCCATTTACAGTAGAAAGTAGGTAGAGCCTCAGCGCCCCGTGCGTCTGTGTGCGCATTCCATCCAGAAATATGGTCCCTGTCGGCGATTTCCCTCTCCACAGCGCCGGCAGAGTTTCATCTTCTTGTGGCGGGCTCTGGCTCTCAACATCTTCTTTGGACGGGTTCACATCTTCTCTTCCACTGCCACGAGCGTACAAGGTGCAAGAACGAAAGCTAGCAGGTCACGCCTAGTCTAAGCACAAGCAAACTAGACCACGACGAGAAAGCGGAAAACGAGGGCGCGGAGCCTGGAGAATGAAGAAAAGATATACATCTGGACCAGGAGCTGCTGAGATGTCGATAGATCCTGATATTGATTTTCTCTGATAGAGATTCCAGATGTATCTCTATCTTTTCTCGATTCAAGGTGCGGATCCATACATATTAGAATTCCCCACGATCCAGCGCAGCCGCCTAGTGGAAGAATCTCAGATTTTTAGGGCGCAGCTAAAGTTCGCGTCTTGCATTCGTAGACGTGGACTTTGTAGAACGAGACGAAGGTCCGGCCAGAACCACCCGAGAGAAGGTGGCAGCATGACAAATATGCTACCACCTTGAAGCGCCTGATCGTGACAAAATCGGGAGGTGAGCTCTGCCTCAAGCTGCTCCAGGGCGGAGGCAGCGCAGTGTCTACAGAGTTAAGGGACAAGCACCTAACACATATGGTGCCCGATATGACCCTAAACTCGCCCAAGCCCCGGACCGTCCCAGAGTAGACAGCCGCACCACAGAGGGTAAGCTTGTGAGCAGACGGAGCGCACCCGGCCGCGGCTCGAAGAGAAGAAGCTGCAACAGTGTACCTCAGTGCCCGCAACTCGAAGAGTGGTAGTTGCAACATGGCGCGTCTGGTACAAGGAACAGGAGCAAATGCTGGCCGAGTAGGTGTTTCTCCTGAGAGCGGTGCCTCCCTGCTCGTTTCCTCCGGGTGGTCTGCGACATCATGTTCCACTTGAGTAGCAATATGTATAGCTAAAAACAGGTGTGAAGGATCCTCCTCCTCCTCCTCAAACTATCTACTTCCAAAAATGGCGACTTTTTACCAGACCATCCAAAAACGAGGACAGACGCTTCGTCTGACCACAAACGACAATTTTTACGACAATTTTACGAAAAGAACAGCCAGAGGAGAGCGAGGCGTTTCTTTTCTAACGCTTCGAGAACCAGAGCGAACCACTCCTAATTTTCTCGTACTTGGATTAGCGCACACACTTCAGATGACATGCAAGACAGAGCATGCAACAGCGACACTTCGCAATATTGTCAGTCAATTATTTTCAGTTTCTCTTTGAAAACGACCTTTACATGATTTTGCAAAAGCACGAGTGTACGAAAGCGACAGTGACGTCAAAACTTGAAATTACTGAAGACTTGAATTTCGTTTTTTTGTACGAATGGCATTATGTTAAAATCTTAGTAACAAGAAAAATTAGCGAATCCCGCGCGCAGTGCGATGATCCAATATGCTCCAGTGATTCACTATTGATTAATGAAAAATAGCATCCATTATGCTGCACCCTAGCCTTTTGAGGCAGGGAAGAGCATATGCGAGCTCGGCGATACAAACTAGTATCCGGCAAGGATGAACAAATTGGAGCTGAGATGATTAGGTGGTATTAGTGCTTTCCGCCTCCGGGTGTTGAGCAGCTTCATGTTAGAAAACACGAAAAGTTGTCCGAATCAGAAAACCCTAAATGTAAGGAACGCGTCCCCCCGCTTGAATTCCCAAAAAGTCTCACTCGCGGCACTCGCCACCTGTGACAATGCCGCCTCATAGCAGAATGTGCGTCGCTATTCACTTGTAGTGTTCAGCTGCAGGTCAGGCTCGTTGCCAGTCATTTGGTTTTTGACAAACTATACTGCCAGAAGTCGCAGCTGTGGATGATCCGGAATGTCGTGCAACCTCGAGCAAATTTCCGCGCGCAGCTCATAGTACATATTACAGCGGAAAGTTGAAACTTCTTTCTCTTTCTGACTTTGTGAGGCAACGTATCAGGCAGTGCGTGCTGCCGTCCAAGTTGAGTTTTTGTTAACTCGGTATTTTTCACTTCTATGAGTGCCTTGCCGGGTCGTGCAGTATCAGTACTTGTCCCTCAGTGCAGATAGTTAGACACTTGTTTTTCAGCCCTTTAAGTAGCAAGTATCACAAGATGACTTGAATCTATGCGACAGGGGGCTCAGAGTGAGCGTTTTTAACACTACGCAAAATGTTGTCGTCTCTACCGCAGCCCAGTTTGCACCTGGGTCTGCGTATCCTGCTGTCGCTGTCGCAGTTTCCTGCGGGTACCTTGATGCTGCTGGACGGGTTTGGATTCCCCGGCTATTCCTGCAATAACGGTTTGGAAGACCCGGTGTTTTTTTGGATCCCGCAATACTTTTCGAGCTACGCGCGCGAGCAGACCGGGAAAACAGCCTTTGGCGGGATCAAGACCGCACTCTTGCCCACGCAGGCGGTCAACAATTTCGAGCGGAGCACGCAACAATTCAACGCCTTTGTTCGGCGGCAGCAACTCGGGGCGTATGAAGTGCAACTGACCGAGCCGGCATTCAAAATGTTTCTCGGGCTCTGCAAAACCTCTGCGGTGGTGGCTTTTTGGACCCACCCACTACTCGGCTTGGAAAAGCTCGCCACCGTTTGTTTGGCAATAATGATGGTTCTGGTTTCCGTAGCACACGCGGTTAACGGGGACGAATTCCTGTATGAAAGTGTCAGAATCGAAATTGACAAAATCGAAAAATTTGTGTTGCATAAAATCGATACCAGTTGGAGCCTCAGTCTGTAAGTGGCGTATGACAAATTTCGGGAGCACCCAAATCCAGTCTGTCGTGCTGTTTGGGCAAAGAACACTGCTCCTGTCGTGCTACTCTGGCAGCACATTGCATATGTGCCCCTTCTAAAGACGCTTGCAATCGGTCTCATTTGCCTGCTCCCCAATACAGGCCTCCAGTGCCCTACACTTTATGCATCACAAATTTTTCGATTTTATCGATTTCGATCCTGACACACCCATATCCTACTGGCCGGACTGAACGCGGGGGCCTGCTTATCGTGAGTAAAAACATCCTAGCCGGCATAGTCGACATGGTTGATATGCGGCAAGACAAATCGTGGAGCTCTGGATCTGGAAGATGTTGTGCATGACAAGTTTCGGGACGCAGCGTAGAAATAAAAATCGTGTTTAGCTTGCGCGGACGCGGCAGCCCTAAGCCTCTTCCTTCTGATGATTTGAGCAACACAAACTCGAAAACGCCACTACCAAACGCCCGGTATGACGCTCCGCATAGGAGATCGATGCTCTGAGTATGCGAATTTGCATGACAGCTTCGGGTCGCAGACGTTTTTACCCAGGATGCTGCTTCCTAAAGCTTGTGACCGCCTCGTCGAGCGACCAGCGATTTATCACGCGGGAACGCAGCAGCGGGGCGACGCCACGGAAGAAAAGCAACCAAGCCCCGAAAACAAGAACTAGCAGCAGAAGTAGCGCGGGGCGGGGAAAGAAAAAGCAGTAAGAAGAGGCAGGACTGTCGAAGCGCATTGAGATGCTCCTGCGATGTAGCATTTTGATAAGTTGATATGCTCTCACGACTTCTTGTCGCATGCTCTCACTGGCCGGGGACAAAAGACAGCTTTGCTTGTTTTATTCACTCGCACAGATTCCTGCACGACTAAGGAAATACTGTGTACAATTTACGCCTTCACTTGACGTGTGGAAGTATCGAGACGGAGCATATTTAGAACAACATATTTAACAGCCGTTTCGACTCGTCACCTCAACATGTGTTCAAGCAGCACCTTTTTTTCTTTGCTTTTTTTTCAAGTGACATCTGTGCACGGCGATCCAGCAGCACATAGAAAAAAATTCAAGTGCTGTCACTAGGAAGTTGTTGGGTGGCTGCGTCAGTGCTTCTCCACTGTTGTCGTGTGCGCGTGCTTCCGTGAGGTGCCGGCACGGTTTATCTTTTTTCCAGAAGTACTATCTGCTTCTGGTTCATGGTTTGTCAAGCTATAATTTTCTTGCCGTTCTTCACGACCTCCTGAGTGGCAAATCTTCACATCTCTGCTGGAAACTACTCGCACAACTGCTGCTTTCCCTAGACAGAGCAACAGACAACTGTGCTGTGTGACGTGTGAATCACAACAAGCAAACGAAAGTACGACGTAGTCAAGAGTAAACCGCACATCAAGATGTCCCAGACGATCGGCAGCATCGAGAAAGTCGCCGGGCCCCTCGTGGTCGCCGGCGGGATGTCCGGGTGCAAAATGTTTGAGCTGGTGCGGGTCGGCAAGGAGAAGCTCATCGGGGAAGTCATTCGACTGGAGCTGGACACGGCATCCGTGCAGGTATGCTGGATTAGTGTCTTGGCTAATTGTCGTATGTGCATTTGAGTACATTGTCTCTGAAGCAGTGCTGTGCTATTTGCTCTATATACTATTTTCATCACCATGCATTGAAACAATAATAACCCGAAAACCCTTAGGTCTACGAAGACACCGCGGGTCTGACCGTCGGCGACCCGGTGTACGGCACGGGTTCTTCGCTGTCCCTGGAGCTCGGGCCGGGGATTTTGAACGACATTTACGACGGTATCCAGCGTCCGTTGGAGCGGATCATGAACGACACGGGGTCCGTGTTCATCAAGCGCGGCGTGGTATCCAAGATGAAAAAAGCTGTCTCAGTCCCAAACCTTTGCAGACTCAGCAACACAATAAATTTCGTCAGCATGACGCACAAGGGAATCTGTGATGCGTAAAAGTCACAAGAGACAAAACATGCATTTGAAGGACGCCCTTCGCGCATGTGGAGTATGACAGAAAACTGTCTCACGGAGTGAGTGTCCTTATTGGAAGTTGAGTCTGAGACAGTTTTTTCTTTTTGATAACTTGAGGTCGACAACTTGAACCGGGGAAAGTCGTGGGAGTTCCGCCCGTTTCCGGGGATCAAGGTCGGCGACATGCTAACGGGCGGCGACATCTTTGGCATCGTGCGGGAGAACGGGCTGTTCCGCGAGCACAGAATCATGATCCCGCCGAAGTCGCAGGGGCGCGTGGCGCAAATCATGGGCGTATCCACTGCAAAGATGTCTGGGTGTGGAAGGTAGGCGCAAGATTTGTCATGCTTGTCTAACGTGACGGCGCAGTAGTTTGTGATGCGGACTCACCACGAAAAAGCATTTTGCTTGTCATTCAGAAAGAAAGTTTGTCATGCGGAACGCGCAGCACCTAGGTGCGCAACTACTTTCTCGCATGCGTGGCAGTCCTGTGCATTTTTACAGAGCCTTTATCGTTCTTTCCTGACTTAGCATTACAAGTTTCCATGCTCAGACATGTCTGCACTCGATAGGACGCGGGGAATTACAAAATTTTGGACACCCTGCTGGTCCTGGACACGCCCAGTGGAAAGAAGGAGCAGCTGCAGATGATGCACAAATATGCATTGCAAAAGAACTATCGTACAACTAGTGGAAGGAGCTTCTGCAAGACTATTCAAAATGAAAATAAAATTTCCCATGCATGAATAAAAGTGGATTTGTCTTTGTCATCATGGAGTTCGTTGTATTACAACAGAAGCATCAAGTCCGATAGTTGTGCACTCGATAACAAGTGGCCGATCCGCGAGCCCCGGCCGACCAAGGAAAAATTGCGCGGCGAGGTTGCGATGCTGACGTGCCAGCGGGTGTGCGACGCGCTGTTCCCAATGACCTTGGGTGGTACCGCGGCGGTCCCCGGCGCTTTCGGTTGTGGAAAGACCGTCATCTCCCAAGCGCTTTCGAAATACTCGAACACAGGTACTTTTAATAATATCGCTGATGATTTACAAAACAATGTGTCGTGGTGCTGCTTCTTTATCACGTAGTTCATGTGCTGAAAAAAAAATAGAGATTTCCTGACCTTTGTTCCTTTGGTGGAACTAGGCGAGACCGCGGAAAAAAAATCAGATGTCGTGGTGTACGTGGGGTGCGGCGAGCGTGGCAACGAGATGGCCGAGGTGCTGTGCGACTTTCCCGAGCTTACGACGCTGATCGAGGGCAAAGAGGAGGAGATCATGCAGCGAACCACTCTCGTGGCCAACACCTCGAACATGCCGGTCGCGGCCCGTGAGGCGTCGATCTACACCGGTGTTACAACCGCCGAGTACTTCCGCGACCAAGGTTTCAACGTGGGTATGATGGCGGACTCCACCTCCCGGTGGGCCGAGGCGCTGCGTGAGATGGCGGGACGGTTGGGGGAGATGCCGGCCGACAGCGGGTACCCGGCCTACCTCGGTGCCAGGTTGGCGTCCTTCTACGAACGGTCCGGCCGCGTGAACTGCATCGGGACGCCCGACCGGGAGGGCTCCGTGTCCATCGTCGGAGCCGTGTCCCCACCGGGTGGTGATATGACGGACCCCGTTACGAGCGCGACGCTGTCCATCGTGCAGGTGTTCTGGGGGTTGTCGAAGAAGCTCGCGCAGCGAAAGCACTTTCCGTCGCTGGACTGGACGATCAGCTTCTCCAAGTATACTTTGATTTTATTCCTCGTAGTCAAGAAACTAACCTGTCTTGCACCTAGCTTCTTCTCTTCCATTCAAATCGTCATGCAAAACATGAGCCTCAGACTCTCGTTTTATTGCTGTTGATCTATCATTTTTATTGCGAATCTATCTATCATTCCCACTCCTGATAATCAGGTACGTCCGCATCCTGTGTCCGTTTTTCGAAGCCAACTACGATCCGGAGTACGGCCGCTTGGTCCAGACCTTCAAGGAAATCTTGCAGAAGGAAGACGACTTGCAGGAGATTGTGCAGTTGGTCGGAAAGGATTCCTTGTCTGAGGATCAGAAGTGCACCTTGGAGGTGGCTAAGATTATCCGTGAGGACTTCTTGCAGCAGAACGGTTTCTCCGACTACGACTTCATGTGCCCCCTGGCGAAGACGATCGGTATGATGAAGGTCATCGCATTGTTCCACGACACCGCGCAGAAGATGATTGTGGAGTCAACCGGAGACAAGAAGATCACCTGGGGTAAGAAGTACTTATAGGATTTTGCATGTGAAGATGTATAATTTTTTGAGTAGGCCAGACCCGGCAGGCCCTTTTTCGGTAGGTAGTGCAGTAGGGTAGTGCGATGAACTAGATAGATTAACGCTAGCTAACTTCCAAGAAGAACGGGACCGGATGCGAAAAATGAGCCCTCAGAGCAGTTCCAGCTGTCTTCGAAGGGATTTTATAGTCGTTCAGCCTAATATCCTCCCATAAAGGAGATACAGATATGTCATGCACATCATGCATGATTAAAGGCTTTAATTATGCATGATGTGCATGACATATCTGTATCTCTTCGCTTCGCAAGACGCGTAAGAGTGCAAACCTGGACACCTTTGCAGACAAGTGCTCTGAGAGCGCACTGCATGTGGATACCCTGGCTCGGAGCGGCGGCACGCGTTGCAAACGTGTTTGGGCCTGGAAGGTTCAAACTATGCCGAGCCTCAGCATCACGACAGGCATTTTCAAAAATAAAAGTGCGCGAGGCACGCGCACGCGTTACAGATACAGACTTCGTTTCGGCATGACAATTCTGCAGCCGTGTTGTTCTCAGTCATGCAGCCCACGCACTACATTTACAGAAAGACTTGCCAGGCGGCGGCGGCGGCGACGCCGGGGTAGGTCGGTAGGCCGGCCCTGGCAACAGCGGGCGCAGTGCTGCCTCGGGTGGCGTCACAACAGGCAGCTCAGCTGTCTACCTACCTACTGACAAGCCGAAGCTTTCGGTTTGTCAGTAGGTACGGTAGGTAGGTAGGTAGATGACAGCAGTAGATGGCTTTTCGGTTTCAAATGAGCACTAGACTTTTTGAAAAAGTGTAGTGCTCATTTGAAACCGAGAAACAATCTCTGTCATGCAGTCGGAAGTGCACAACACGCACAAATCTGCACTCCTGTCACGAAATGGAAAACCCAGGAACCTGCAACCGGAACGCACTCCGCAGGCACTCAAAGACAAAGAATTGGGCGGAGATACCAACCTACATCGCCCGGCCCGCGCCGATTTGTTTGCGCGGGGGGGCGGTAGGTTTAGGGGGGGAGACCGGCTGCAGCGACGCGGATCCCCGCGGCTTTTAATTTATGCGGGGGCGCGCAAATAATTGGCGCTGGAAGAAGGCCGCGGCCAACTGTTAGCTCAGCCCGCCCGCCTCGCTCGCGGCCTGCGACCGCCGGCCCGCGCGCGCTACTTTCCCCGGCCGGCCCCGGGCGCACCAGCCCGGCACTGCCCCGAACCCCGGAGGCGCTCGTCGCCGCCCCCCGGCACCCGGGTCCATGCGCATGCCCCCCTTCCTCCGAGGATAGATTTTCCCGGGTCTGGCTCAAGTCCGGGCACTTTTCTGGGGGCGAATATTTTCCCCAGATTTTCGCCAGATTCGAAAAGGGCTGCATTGGAATTAGGCCGGGGGACGGCGTCAAAGTTTGGCCGTCCACGCATTTCCGGGCGGCGAGCCCGGGGGGAATTCCGGGCCGCCCCGGGTTTGAGCCAGATTTGGCAGAGGCTTTAGTGGAATTAGGCCGGAAGGCAGCGTCAAAATTGGGGCCAGGCGTGGCCCCGGCCCAGACTGGGGCGCCCGTATTCCGCTTGCATTTGGCGCCCGCGCCTATCGGCCGCGCCCGTTACCCCTAGGCCCCGGGTTGCTTTCGGCCAAAGGAAAGCACTTTGTTTCGCGCGGACACACAAAAAATTTTGTGACCCGCGGCGCCGCGCCTTTTGGTAGGTCGGTCGGGTAGCCCCGACGCCTCTGGTGGTAGGGGCTGTCTAGTACAGCCATCAACCTTTAGTAGGTAGGTCGGGTAGATCTGAATGAAACCCCTGAGAGGGCGGCGCGGGCAACTAAAAAGCGCCTCGGGTAGGTAGGTCGAGGAGATTCGGCCTCTCACCCTGGCCACATCTAGCGACTAGCAACGGCGCCAGGCAGGTAGGTCGGGCGGGTCGAGCCTCCCCAGTGGCTGGCACGCTACAATGTCAAGTAGGTAGGTCGGGTAGATTTTCTAATCAAGACCGGGCGCGGTTAGTGGCTTCAAGTAGGTAGGTCGGGTAGATCGCATGGCCATGCGATCAAGACCAGGGGTGGCCAGTCACTTTAAGTAGGTAGGTCGGGCAGATTTATATGACTATGACTAGGCCGGCCGAGCGTGGTCAGTCGCTTCAAGTAGGTAGGTCGGGTAGATCAAGAATGGGCATGCTGATGGTCAGCAGCTTCAAGTAGGTAGGTCGGGTAGATTTTCTAAGCAAGACCGGGCGCGGTTAGTAGGTTCAAGTAGGTAGGTCGGGTAGATCGCATGGCCATGCGATCAAGACCAGGGGTGGCCAGTCACTTTAAGAAGGTAGGGCGGGCAGATTTTATGACTATGACTAGGGCCGAGCGCGGTCAGTCGCTTAAAGTAGGTAGGTCGGGCAAATCAAGAACGGGCACGCTGATGGTCAGTAGCTTCAAGTAGGTAGGTCGGGTAGATTTTCTGATCAAGACCGGGCGCGGTCATACTTGAAGTAGGTAGGTCGGGCTTGTTTGAGCGAGGCCAGCTGCAGTTGCCAACCAACCTACCAGAGCTACTAGTAGGTAGGTAGGCCAGCTACCGCGAACGTGCGTCAGGTGCATTGTGGTGGGTAGGTAGGTAGGACAGAAAAATTGCCAACAGAAGGACACTGAGGGCGCGCACCTGTTTCGCTAGCGTTAATCTATCTAGTTCATCGCACTACCCTACTGCACTACCTACCGAAAAAGGGCCTGCCGGGTCTGGCCTATTGAATTTTTTTGTCTACTTTTGGATTTCCTTGCAGAAAGTATGCTTCACAGCAGGCATAGTTACAGACCACGATGCAGTACGTCGACAAAAAAACTCGATTAGGTTTGATCTACACCGTGATGAGGGAGCAGATTGTATCCTTAGCAAAAATGTACCCACACCAGAGTCAAGATGGAAAATCTGCTAGACAAATCGGCCAACTTTGCTTGTTTCGCATGACAAATTTGGACGCGTAGTGTAGTGCTGTTTGAGCTAGTTCAGCAGCATTACAGATCTAGTCTCTCATGCTGATTGGAGCATGACAAATTTCGAAATACCCTTAGAAAATGCTTCTCATGGGGCTCCGCATGACAAACATTTTAAGCATGCAGATTTGCATGACAACTATGGTGTGGGTACGTTTTTACTCAGGATAGATTGTGAAGATCACAAACATGAAGTTCGAGTTGCCCCGACAGCCGGACCAGCACTTCAAGACAGTGTACGGGCAGTTGGTGACCGTATGAGTTGCAAAAATGTCTGGGTCTGGAAGATTGCAACTTGTCATGGTAAATCTGAAGCATGCAAAAATCTGTGTTGCATGAGTGCCAAAAGCTGTCCGCTTTTGACCAAGTTGGAACGGAGTTTCTCATGCAGAATAGGCATGGCAGAGACCTCGCAGAGTCTGTCACGCTAAGTCCCGCATTCCAGACCTCACGGGTCATGGAAAATCTGCATGACAAGTCTACACTCTTCCAGACCCAGACATTTTTGCACTTGATAGACCGAGTTGGAAACGACTTTCGCCAACCTGTCGGATCACGTGTAAGAGGTGTGGCACAGTCAACATCTCCCCTAGAAGTTCAAGAGCGAGATTTTTGACTCACCGACTTTTTCTTTTTACTTTTGCTTCTGAGCTTTTCACGATGTAGTTGGGAGTGCTTGCTACACAGATTTACTCTCGTTCACAAAAATGAGAAGTGAACGTTTGACGAAAATTACCACGCAGTCAGACAGTTCAGCAAAGCAGCGCGCTCCACGGAAAATCTTTGCCTGGTGATCCGGTTCTCAACAGGATCTATCGGGTACTGGGTTTTTCAGTACTGCAAGGCGTTTGCAGCGGATTTAAGCACTCTCTCTTACACCAACACTTCTTGTTTGTCTTACGACCCTTGACGAGAGAGTTATCTGAAAGTCCTAGTCCTTTGGTTTGAAAACAGAAAGAAAGAGATACTGTGTTATCATGAGATGAAATTCTGAGGCAGCAAGTTGTCCTTGTGGAAACAGGATTTTGCTATTCTGCTGCGAAGGACAATAAATAGCTTTGCTCTTAGTTCTTAAAAGATCCACCGTTATTTCGAAAGACAGTCGTATTTGCTATTCTTTTGACAGCTGGAGTGCAGGTGTTCTCGTTCGTTTCGATTGGTGGGAGCCCGGCTGCAGATCACTTTTTTCGCGCGAGTCGACACATGCGTTTATTCTTACCACACTATTATGATTGTGCACATCTAGGAAAGCCTTACTGCTATGCGAGAAACATTCGTCTGCGAGAATCGAAAAGTGCAGAGGGACACAATTTCGAGAGGCAATAAAGAAGCTGTCGGGATTCGTGCTGGAAGAGTCGCTGTGCTAGTCGTAGTGATTGGCTCGCAGCCTTTGCTTCCACATTTCGTCTTGCAAGAAGTGGTAATGAAAAGTTACGAGACACAAAGTTGAATAAAGTAGTCTGCATTGGAATAGAGAGCACGAAGTTACTAGGTTTGGTATGATGTCCGCAGAGCAGAAGAAAATTCAGGAATGGTGCGCAAAGCAACCCGCGGTAACAGTGGCGAACCTTGCCTCCGGAAATGAGTTGAAACTCGAGTTCCCCTGGCGCCACGAATTCTGGTATGATCAGTGCTCCCGCCAGGTCACGCTTGTTGATATCAAGATGGCGGTGGCGCAGGCGCTGAAGACGGCAAACGGCAGTCGCTGGCAACCCTGGCAACGGATTGAGCTTTTCGTGGATGCTTCTTCCGAAATCGCTGAGAAGGTGCGTTCCTGCAGCAGGCACGACCAGCAGCGCGAAGAGCCGGCGATCGGAGCGGGTCTGGTGCAACTTACCGTAGAAGACCCAGACAGCTTCGACATCGATCTCGACCACTTTCTCGCGGAAATGGCGGACGCGGGGCAGGACGCCGCAGAAGTCGCGGAGACCGAAACGCGCGATGGCCAGGAAGACGACAGCAGCCCGGCGCGCGACTCCGTTGAGGATCAGTCCCCTTGCAGCCCCGCTCGTGCACGGTACGACGGCTCGGGAGGGATCAAATTTTTCGACCCGGTATACAAGCGGTTCGAGGACAGAGAGACGCTGTCGGACGCAATCTTTACCATGGCCGCGAATTTCCACTGGGACGCATTCGAGGCGTGCTGGCGTAACGATAAGCTGTCGTATTCTGACCACGGAGAGGGGAGTGAGTACGCCCGGGAAAAGGAGGAAGGTGAGGCATGGTTTGCCAGGTGCTGTTGGTCGGAGTACGTGGAATACCGTACCGACCCACCGTCGCCGCGTATCCGGGACTGGACGCTCGCCCAGGCACGTACGGAAAAACGAAGAGTTCTTCGTGAATTCGGACCGATGGGCGCTTGGGACGTTTCGGGCGTGGAGAGTCTGCGCGCACTATTCTGCCCGCACTATTACGGGGTTGGCGAGCCGAGGCTCCCGCGTAATTTTGAGTGGATTGAAGCTGTGCTCCAGGACTTTGACATCACGAGCTGGAACACGGCAGGAGTGTTGGACATGAGCCGCATTTTCCGCTATTGTCGCGCTTTCAATGGCGACGTGACCGCATGGGACGTCTCCTCCGTGGAAGACTTCACCGAAGCCTTCTACGCCTGCGGGAAGTTTAACCAGCCGTTGGGGTCATGGGATACGCGCTCCGCGAAATCGATGAACCACATGTTTTACTACTGCAAGTCGTTCGCGCCGATAGATCCCCTTCGGTGGAACGTCAAGAAGGTCGCGGACGCGCGGAAGATGTTTGCTGGCACTCCTGAGTGCTGGAGAGAAAATAAGCAGTTTTCGAGGGGGATGCGCTTTCCAAAGAGCTGCGACACGAGGGATATGTATCGTGCAGTTTGAATAAGTTGCACTTCTGAACAAAAGTCCCGGCTAGCGCGTTGATGATGATGATGATGATGATGATGATGATGATGATGATGATGATGCACTTACGGAAAAGCAGCAAAAAATAGAGTGGTTGAGTTTTGGATTTGATTTTACATCTACGACATCCCTATGTTCGTGCGCGAAGTTCGGTGTCATCAGTGAGGAAGAAGGAGGATGTTTGAAGAACAGCGACGTTGAAGAATGCACTACGCCTAAGGTGAAGTAGTTGATGTTGCCCCTGGGGTCGTCCCGCCTTCCTACTACACAAAGGCACCATGGTCTTCCTGGGAGATCAAGAAAAGCTGCTGCACCTCCTGCTCCTTGAAGGTGCATGATAAAGAAACACGAGTTCGAAACTCGGCCGCGATGACGCTTTCTTATTCATCAGAGGAGTTGTTCCGAGCAGGATCTGTTGATCCTGATTGCAGGCCCCCCAAGGATGTTTGGGCGCTTGGAGTTGAGAAGTTGTCGAGATTCACTGCTAGCAGACTGGGTGCGTTCACTCTGTCCTCACTCGAAACGATGGACTGAGTGGCAGAAGATACGAAACACGAGTAGTTTTGTGGCGGCTCCACAATGCGCATTTATTTGTTCAGCAGCTTTATTCTTGTGACACATCGAAATCGACGATGTGCAAGCGGCTCGGTCTTTTCTATGACAGACTATTGATTTAGGACACAATTATGCTACTAAGAAGATGACGATGACGATGAGTGCTAAACCTCGGGCCTACTTCAAGATGTGGTTGAGCCAGATCTTTTCATGTCGTTTCCAGTACTCTACTACCCCTTTCCACGGTCGTTTACCCCGCTCACCTCGTACTTGATCGCTACTACCTTCGCTGGTACAGACGCATAGCCCAGCGACCCGGAAGCTTTTCGATATAATAGGCCCCCTTTGAGGAACTGATCCAGTCGTGAAGAGCAGTGCTTCATCGCTATTTTCGTCTTTCAGATTTTTGACGCACACGTCTGGATTTGCTTGTTGACGATGGTTGTACTTCTTACATCAAGTACATCGGCCAAACCAAGATTCATTGATTTCACATCTACCCCTCTGCCCACCCACCCACACACCTAAACGGCACACTCGCCGAAAAGTCCACCTCTTTCCCTCGCATATACAAATTTCGAGATGGACATCCTGGATGGCGCTAACGGCAAGCTCTTTTCGTCTTTGGCGCAGCTCGTGCACTTCGTCTGTGGTGGCGTGTGCGGCTCTGCGTTCTCCGGCTCTGGTGCGCATTCCGTCCTCCGTGGTGACCGCAGGAACTACGGCGCGATCAAGTGGAGCGAGACCGTGGAGCGAAGATTGTTCTCTCACGATCTGAATAAAGGCGCGAGGTTGATGACATCAGAGCCTGCCCTTCCGTCTGACAATAAACAAGGCCCAGCTGCGTCGGAGGAACAGCACGGTTGGAGCACCGAAGATGGTCGGCACAACACTGCAACAGGCAATTTTGGGAGCGGAAATGGTAATAAAGTAGTTCTGGATTTCTACTCACTGAACGGGGAAGTGTTGCGTGTAGAAAACGTGGAGCGCTTTCTCGTCCCTGAGGGATTTGGTGTTGGTTCGGTAAAAGAGGAGGCTCCTTGTTCCAACAAAGCGAGCGGTGCTGCGAAAAAAAGGAAGGAGATGTTGGAGGAAAACACAGAAACCGACACCAAACACGACCAAGCAGAACCGAAGGGGGTTATAGATGTCGGCAAGCTGAAAGCCTGGCTTCTGGCGGAATGGAATGCCAAGCGACAGGAGCAGATCGGGTGGTTTGCCGGTTCTTTTGGTGATGTAATTAATACGGATCAACATCATCAAAGCTCGCTCGTTCGGTCGCATTTTTCGCCAGAGGGTTTGGGCACAACAAGAATGACCAACACCGCCAGAGGGGCGGGCGGCGAACTGGGAGCAATAGGTGCGTCTTCATCCTCGTCGGCTGGCGTGGTCTCCACCTTCCTTCAAAATTCCACGTATCTTACCGGCAACTGGCGGGTGGATCTGGTTCTGCCGACGGATGTTTCTACGAGGAGGACGTCATCTCCTGCGAAAAATGCGATGAACGAGGAGGGCGAAGTGGAAGCGATCGGCGGCAAGAACACAAAAAATACTCATCGGGATGAAGATCAAGATGAAGACGGAATTATAAACGTCGACTTGCAGCAACAGAAGTCGTTTATCTCTCTAAACCGGTTCAACTGCACAAGGTTGAAGATGTTGCCCTCTAGTTGTACTTTCGGCGACAGGAGGACGGGGATAATAACATCAGGGAGCGCCGGGCGGGAGGCGAAGATTGATGTGCCTGTGCCGACCACCTTGTCGCGGCCTGACGAGGATGATACTCGCATAAGAAATTATAGCGAGCCCGATGCGGAGAACGACGCGCCCGTGGGTTTTTTCTTTGAGCAGCAGAGGAGACCAGGCTCAACAGAGGAGGACGATTTATCTTACTCGGAGCCGCGGCCCGATGATATCTCCTCAGCCGCCACCACGCCCCGCGGGGAAGATGCTCCTCAACAACATATGGGGCGGCGACAAGCCAAAGCCTCGCCGCGGCAGGGTGTCGAGGAAGAGGGTGCGGTGCACAACAACTCCAACGCCAGCCCCAATTTCTTCGTGATCAAGCAGTTCCCCGAACGCAGCGCGCAGGTGTCGAAGCTACTAGAAACCGTGAAAACCCACTACGAAAGCGGTGGCGATATCCTAAAGTAAAAATGTCTCCACGATTCCATAGTCAAGTAGATGGGGAATCTGCTACACAAAGCCACAAGTTTTGCCTGTCGAGCATGACAAGCTTGAGCTCGTGTTGTAGTTGTCCTGTTTGGCTAGTAAAACCGCATGACAAATGGACCACCCTATCCTGATTCCAGCATGACAAACTCAAAGATAGCACTAGGGAATGGTCCTCATGGGGCTGGTGCGCATGAGAGACATTCATTCTAGGCTTGCAGATTCGCATGACAAGTCTTGGATTGGGACGTTTTTTCACAGCATAGGCGAGTACACCGTTCGTGTGTTCGAACACCACGGCTTTGAAGAGAGTCTGCGCTATGTATTGCAAAAGTATCGTATACTCGTATAACTCATCGCAGTGTTGCATGACAAATCTATGAGGTAAGGGAAGACAGCATTACAAATTGCATTTTTTTTTTTTTTTAAAGATTGTCATGCGATTTTGGTTTATAAGTACGTCGTGCGAAGAAGATGGTCATGCTTTTGCAATGCATATGCGCGTGCTGGAGCAGTTTTCGCACGCCCGCGCGTTTGAACACCGTCACAAGCTGACCAGCCTTCTGTGGGCGCACGGCGAGTGCAGTGGGCAGCTGCTACAAATCCTGAGCATGCACGACTCTCTGGACACGGTGATTCTGGAGGGCGATGGGGTACTCGATAGCACAACAAAAACAACCGAGGAGGAACATAGTAGTGCCAGTTCATCTTTTTACGGGTCGAGGCAGGAGCTAGAAGACCTGTTCACGCAGCTTAGCATCGCATGTACGGAAACGAGGCACAGCGTCGCGCTTATGTCCGCAGACACACGACATTTCGCCAAATTTCTCGCGCACAACCTCTCGTCGTTGCAGGCCCTGGCGCTGAATACAAAAGGGTTGGTATCAGACGGAAATAGAATTTCTTGAATTTTCTCTGCGAGCACAGCGGCTGAACATTTTCGAATCTTTCGCGGCGCAGACCACCTAGAGACTCTTGTACTACTAGCATTTTATTCATTGATGTTGTCGAGTATTCATACGGTATAGTGGAGGAGCAGGCGAGATGATCTTCTGTGATTTGATTTTTCCATTTACTAGTCAAGTAGTACGCGACTGAAATAAATGTGCATAAATTTTTCGTGCCCTGATGTGCTCGCAGCACGTTAATTTAAACTTTTCTCCCACTCTGTCATACCCGACCGACACTTTTGCGAAGACGCTCGCGTGTTTCCTGCCGACCTCGGTCCTGCAAACGGTCTCGCTGGCCGGCAACCGCATCGGGGATCTTGGACTCGCATTTCTTGCGGTCGCCCTGGCCCAAAACGGCGTAGCGCTGAAGTCCCTCTCGCTTGGCCAGAACGCTTTCTCTGACGACGGGGTCCAGAGCCTGGCGTTCGCACTACTGAAGGCGGAAAAGCTGAACCTGCAATACGTGTCACTGCTCGGCACCTCGGCGGGGTCGGAGTGGAACGCGGCGGGCAGGGCGACCAACAAGCGGCCTCCCGGCCGGGGCATTACGGACCAGGGGTGTTTCGCGCTGGCGCGGGTGCTCAAGCAGAACACGAGCTTGACGTTTTTAGATTTGGCGGACCACGTGTTTATCACGCGCGCCGGGGCCACCGCACTGGCGACCGCGGTCGCGGGTAACCGGCAGCGAACCAGCCTGGAAGACATCCGTGTCACCGTGGCCGGGGAGAACAACCCGGATGTGCGCACCAAGGCCGAGCTCCTCGACTGCTACGGGCCGTGGTAGAGGAGAAGGCGGCTGCGGCTCTTGTCGAGGAGCGGGGTGCAGCATATCGTTTGATGTCGGGGAAGAGTTTCGGTGTCGCTCTTAGCGAATGTACATCTGTAAATTCGACGTTTAGCAAGACGTCCGCGGAGAGTCTTCTAATTCTTCCGGGGCTTTAGCGCAAAAGTGTTTCTGTAAAATGAGCAAGAACATCAAACAAGTTCCATCTCGGCAGATGAAACTACTGCTGTGTAGCTGTAGCTTGCGATCATGTATCTAGGGCGCTGACCTCGTGTTGATCCATAATCATCATGTAGTCGTGGCTATTTTCGTCCGATGAAGCAACAGAAGAGAACCGAAGATCCCTGATAGATCAAAATCGCGTTCTATCGCCTTGAGACGAAGAAAAGGAAGATCCTGTAACCTCTGTCGCGACTCTGCGTCGACAAAAGTTAGCGATCATTCGCGAAGATCTGTTGTGTGTCCCCTGAAGCCCAAAGATCAAGAATTGTGCGGAGCCACGAGATAATTCAGTGAAACGGGGTAGGAATAGCAAGGATGCGGTTCTAATATGATACGCAATAAATTGATCGATATAAAAATTTCACAGAGGAAAAAATTTTGGTTTCTCGTTTCTTCTCAAATTTGTCCGCTTGTTTCCTAAAAAAAGCCACAAATGAATGTGAAACAGAAAGTCAGTCCAGTAAAAAGTAAAAAAAAGTAAAGATTTTTAGCAGATGAAGATGATATTGACGCACCCGGCCATGGTAGAAGGATACCAGAGCAGATCTTTAGAGTGATACCAGTCATAGTACAAGTACCAAAGTAGACCTCTCTCTCAGTATATCTTGTGTGAACAATGACAGCCAAAGGAAATGTACAGCAGCTAGGGACGGACCAGCAGGTGGCTTTTGAAGAAGAGCAGTGGCACTCCTCTCAGCAAGAACAGCATGCAGCATCTTTACTACAGGCAAATGGGGAAAAATCATACGGTTGCATCGAGGCAGGCACGAATGAGCCCAGCCACGATGCCGAGACGGAGTTGGAGGAGGGGCATGCCGAAGAAGAGAACAATGAAGTCGCGCCGGTCGCAGAAGATGATAAAGTTCTTGCACTACTAGCGAACAAAAAAACCGGAAAAAATAGTACTAAAAGAAGGCGAAGTAGTTGTAGTGCTGCAGCTCCTTTGAGCGACAACAGCAAAAATCACTCGAAGAAACAAAAGGTTGCTGGCGATGAACAAAAAGTGCCGGAAGATGATGCAGAAGTGTTTTTACCCGCAGATGAAGATGTTGAAAAGATAAAGAAGGTCGCCCCCTCCAAAGCTGTTCCAAAAAAATCATCCAAGGGCGACGTGAAGAAGCAGGCCAGCGCGGCCAAGGCGAAAGGGAATAAACAAGCGAAGGTGATGAAAGGACAAAAGCAAAAAGTCCTCGCCGGTAAAAAAGAGGACAACCGAGTTGTAGTGGATCCTGTAGTTCATCTTGAGAGGAAGGATTCTTTCAACGGAGTAGAGCATCATACGACCAATGCTCACCTCCTGCCTATCGCGGACGAGGAAAGGTCCGATTCCGGTTCCTCGGACGACTTTGACCTGGAAGACCCCCTGGGGGAGAACAAGCAGCTGGTATCGAGAGGAAAAATCCCCCCTCCCCATATCGAAAAAGAATGTTTCCAAAAATTTGTGTTGCGGATTTGAGGTCACAGATCACATCTGTCTTGCAAGAAGGCAAACCCAAAGAATCCGCCGCCTTATGGAGGCGATTTGTAATGCCGTTTCACCTACATGGCAGGCCTCTCTGATGCCAAGAGCCTACAACAAAACACCCCTACGCAGGCTGAGGCTTTGCCTGTAGTGCCTCGCTGCAAGACAGGGCTGATTTGTGTACACAAATCCAGCAACAGAAGTTTCCGTTTCAATATGGGGAGGAGGGATTTTTCATTTTGATAGCTGGACCTGTTTGACCGGTGGCTGCGTGCCTACTACACGCTCCTGAAACCGGACCACGGGTGGAAGCCGGCGCCGTTGGCGGAGCTTTTGGTCAAGTACCACCAAACGCACGACCCGAACCGGGCCACCGGGCACCACGTCATGGAGCCCCTGGTCATCGCCCAGCAACGCGGCATTTCCTTCTACGACGACATAGTTTTCGTGCTGCTCGCGTACGAGGCGGAGGTGCTGGGTTTGGAGAAAGAAAGGGAGGAGGAAGTAGAGAAAAGAGAGCGCGGAGGAGGTCGTGTACAAGGAGACTCGGGCGGTGGAAATTCATCCTCTTCTTCCCTTTTGGGTAGCGGTGGCGACGGGAAGAATATTGTTCCTCCGCTGGAGGTCGTACCCGAAATGATGCAGAACATAATGGAGTCAAGCGAAGAGGAAGAAGAACAACTTCTTGCAGAACAAGACACGACAAGTGCCCCCTCCACCGGCAAAAATAAACCACGACACAAGTACCCGCTGTTAGAAGAGGATTCGTCCGGAGCAGCCGCGCCCGAGCTCCTGAATACGCCCCGTTCCTGGCCGCACTTCAAGCGGTTTTTCCAGCGGTCCGGCGCGAGCGTCGTGGCGTCCATCGACCGCAGGCGGGGGGAGGTGTACCAGGAGGTGTGGGAGTTTTTGATTTCCATTCTCCTCCCCTTCGTGCGGGGCCAGCGGAACGTACTGGTGGAAAGACAGCGGCTGGAGCAAGTCGCGGAACTTCTTGCGGTAGAAAAGGAGGAAAAGAGGAAGATGAACACTGAGGACTGGATGACCACGGCTGATGGAGTTCTGGGAAAATCTTCTACAGCTGCTTCTACTTCTGGCTCAGCATCAAGTTCGACGAGCTCCTGCTCGAAACTACCGGGACAGAAGCGAGGACCAGCTGCTTGTTCCAATCATTCCCTGCGGCCGGATCTGGCGGCGCTGCTGCCGGAATCCTGTTTCACGAGGACCACGACGGCAACCGCGACCTCCTCCACACCCTGTACAGCATCATCAGGAGTTGTCGAAGGTACTAAAAGTAAAAACCACACGAAAATAAATAAAGACCACGCATTCATCTTCGAAATCGACCTGCGGCTCTCCGCCTTTTACCTTCTCGTCGCGTTTTTCTACAGCCAGAAGAACTTCTTTCGCGACAAAGTGGTTGTTTCTAAGCGGTCCAAATACGCGCTACTGGACCAACACGCGAACCTGGAGCACTGGCTGCCGAACAAGCGGCGTTTCTACAACCACTACATTTGTCCGATCACGCTGGACGAGAAAACCTTCCAAACCCTGGCGGAGTACTTCCACCGCGACACGGCCGGGTTCCGCACGCGCGCGGCCCCGCTGTGGCGGCGGGTGTACCTGCAGGACCGGTGCGTCCAGGTGTCCGCGTTCACCTACGGCTACCGAAGCATGTGGACCAGCGGCACGCGCGGGCGGGTGCGGCAGTACAAAAACAGCAGCGTGGAGCATGACGACGGCTACTGGGCGCGGTACGTGGACGTGCGGAACAGCGAGCTGCGGTACGGGGCGGATTTGGTGGTGGATGCGGACAAAAACAGCTTTGAAATTGTCGACGAGAAGACGGGGAAGTTGCTCCGCCCGAAAAAAGTGCAAAAAAGCCGGTACACCAAGGAAGAAGCAAGCGAAACTGCTAGAAGTACCAATAAACGAAAATCCAAGGCGGATGTGCTCGGGTGGGACCGGGAAATGCAGCTCCAGATGGAATTCGACCGCCGCGGGCTGCCGCGCCCGCGGACCTTGGGTGCGGAGTTGCGGGAGGGGTACCAGGAACTCTGGAAGGCGACCGGGAGTGGCTGGCAGGGGCGCGAGGACACCCGGATTGAGGAAATGAAGGCGGGGTGGGGTTGGAGAGGCGGGGGAAGAAGTTTTTATGGAAATACTACTACTACTGCCACTAAACCTCTGCCGGCGTTGAAGATGGAGGAGAGTGTGGCGGCTGTGATGGATAAGGAAGATAGTGAACAAAATAATTGTGACGATAAAGATTCTAGCGAAAGCCAAAGCGACCACGAGGACGACGACGACCTTTTAGCCCCAGCAGCCGAAGTAGAACTGGTACAACAAAAAACCGCTAGAAAAAGTTGTAAAACAGGAGGACGAGAGTTGTCGGCATCTACATCGTCTCCATCCGGGCAGCTGCTGGGTAGCAACTTGAATTATAGCAGTGGCTTTGCGGCCGCACAAGAATCGGCCGCGTCGGCCTCTTCTACTCCACCCCGAGGGCGGCCTGGTGAACAATTTTCGAACATGTTACGGCCGATTCCACTTGTTGACAACGACGAGGCAGAGGTTGAGGAGAGTCTGGGTGACAGTTGTGCAGAGGAAGTGGTCGTACAATCCTCGTCTCCAGTAGGAAATAAAGATAAAGACAGAGATAAACTACAGTCCCAGTCCTCCACCACACGTTCCTCGCGAGCTTCTCGTGCTGGCTCTGTGGTACAGAAGAAGACGAAGGGCAAGAACGGTAAGCAGAGCAACGACCTCCACGAAGAAGCTGTTTCCTTCTTGTCGGATGATGAAAAAGCACCGGTCACCAGCGGCGCCGAAGCTGCGGGTCGTGGGGCGATCATGGATGAGAGGACCAGCGAGGGGGCAGCAGGTGAAGAAGTGGCTATTGATATTATCAAAATGAAAACCACAGCGGAGGAAAGGAAGGAAACTGCCTCAACATCTTCTTCAAGGAAGGGCGGGAAAAAGGCCCGAGCAGCCGCTTCGAAGAACAAAACCGCCTCGGCGGGACAGAAGACAGATCTGGGCGAGGACCACCACGTGGTGGCTGAGGACAGGGAGAACTACGGTGCGCCGGGGAAAACAAAGCAAGCAAAACCGTCTCTTCGCTTTCTCCCGGCCTCTCTCATCAATCAAAAGGACGGCGGAAACAACATCAAGCAGGGGAAGGCGCAGGGTCGTGAGTAACTACAGCAGAAAATTGATGTTCCCGGAAGACGCAAGAAGAGGAGGATGGTGCGCAAGGAGAACAGGCGTATAATTAAGGGGGATCTTTTACTGGTCAGTAGATCTTCTTCACACGACCATGCAGAATTGGAAGCAGGGGGGAGTACAGGACAAAAAGCCATGGTCGAGGGGAAACCCGGAGCAACAGAAGGGTGGTCCGCCGCAACTACAGAAACGTGCTCCGTGAAGACCGAGGATTGCGTCGTAACAGATGTTGAAGGGTGCGTCGCAACAGACGACGGGTGCGTCGCAACAGATGAAGGGTGCGACGCAACAAACGAAGGCTCCTGCGCCGCAAAAACAGCCGCTAGAAAAAGGAATCAAACCACAGCTGCAGAAGGGCGGGAACACGATCTCGGAGCAAGAGAAACAACAAAACCAGGTCCAGCAGTCACAGCACGAGGGCGTGACTTTCGACAGGTAAAGGAGCTCTTTCGCAGCCCGCTGCGATGCGCGACCGAAAAGAGAAACTCTGTCGCCCCTACTGGGGCAGGATTAAATGGAAGCCAAAATGTAAGATGAGTATAGTAAATCTACTACGCGATGAAAAGGAGTGTGGACTTCTAATCAAAAAATCGTGGCTTTATGATCGTTGTTTGAAACCACAAATGTTCTTTTCACGACATGAAACAAGCGTAGGTTTTTTGCCTCGGAAAAAATAGAATCCGGATAAATATGCACCTTTCCGTCTCCATGTTCAAATCTTGTGCGCGAGTGGTTTTATTTTTCGTTTCAGAAAAATCTTCAGAGTGAGCGTATTGGACATGTTTGGCCGGAGAGGACGTCAGGGTGGAGGGAAGCAGGGAGATACTGCAGAGTGACTTTTGCTTCGGGGGTTTTTTCTTCAACTACAGAACTGATGGTCTTCTTCTGACAAGTCTACAAGGTGCAGGTACTAGAGATAGGTGATTGATTGAGCGGTAAGAGAACTTTTAAACTGGCTCAAGTGGAGAAAACCTCTCCCCGATCCGGTATTAAGGACCAGCGTGACATATTTTCCTTCGTTCGACAAAATGACTCTCGTCGCAGCTTCCTCCGGCACGAAAATGCGCAGCAAACCCGCGAACCGGTGCGGTAAGCGTGGCCATGTTGTTACCACCCTGGCAGCGGTGCAATCGCTGGGCAAAATGGGGGAGGTGACTGCCTACGAGGACGACGCGAAGAACTTCCGCGGGAGCGGAAAGGGTAAATCCTCCCAGGGTAAATCCTCCCAGACCCTGCAGCCGGACGGCAGTGCGGATGGTGGCGAGAAAGTGGAAGACTTGGCGCCGCCGCGCTCTGATGGGCCCCGGATTTCGGATTTCTTCCGGATTTCTTTGGAAAGTATTTTTTTCGCGAGCACCAAACTGGCCGGCCTCCCACCTCAACCAACATCAGGTGGGGATCGCCGGCTCGCGAAGGTGTTCTTGTTTAGGCATCATGCCCGCATCGCCGCAGACTACAAGTCTACGCACGCAATTTGAGCTTTTTGTGATTAGAAAAAGCACAACGCGATGATGGTCGTCGCCCGTAAATGTCGCCGTTCGGATTTGTGTTCGCCACCTGCTTTTTTTTTTGATCAGAGAGAGCCACCACCTCATGCAAGCTTCACAATACTCACTGTAAACTAGATTCCGCATATGTTTGAGTCGTGTCTGCAGTTCCGCTCCCCGCTGTCGTCGCAGTGAACGCCGTATTTTCCGCGTCCCGTCTCCGCTCCGTCCGCAGTTGCGATTGCGCGTCGCCAGCACGCTGGTATCCGCAATCCACATCCACCCGTCAGCAGCACGCCTCCACGCGTTGGTAGCAGAGCTACAGCTGGAGGCTCCATTCGCAGTCCACATTCCGCAGCCGTCGTTCCGCCCGCATGTCGCATCCACCGCGACAGCCGCAGTGGCCACTGCAGCATCCACTTTTCGCAGCCGCTGCTCCACACTCGTCTCGCATCCACCGCTCCACCCGCAGTGGCCACTGCCGCTTCCACATTTCGCAGCGGCCGCTCCACCCGCATCTCGCGTCCACCGCTCCACCGGCAGTGGCCACTGCCGCATCCACATTTCGCAGCCGCACTTCCACCCGCATCGCGCGTCCACCGCTCCACCCGCAGTGGCCACTGCCGCATCCGCATTTCGCAGCCGCCGTGTCACCACCGTCTCGCGTCCACCGCGCCACCCGCAGTGGCCACTGCCGCATCCACATTTCGCAGTCGCCGCGCCACCGCCGTCTCGCATCCACGGCTCCACCCGCAGTGGCCACTGTCGCATCCACATTTTCGCGTCGGCCGCTCCACCCGCTTCTCGCATTCCACGCTCCACCCGCAGTGGCCACTGTCGCGTCCACAATCGCAGCTGTCGGCGGCGGATCCACGATCGCCCTTCGCCACATCCACAATCGCCCTTCTTCCAAACAGCCCTTCGCCACATCCACAGTCGCCCTTCGCCACATCCACAATTGCCCGTCGACCGGGCGGTCCACAGTCGCCCTTCGCCACAATCGCCCTTCGCCACAATCGCAAAGCTCAGCGGGAGCTGCGTTAAGCGTGTTTTGGTAGCTGTGTAGTACTAGTCGCTCCTGCAGTGTGTTTGTATGTCCACACGAAAAGCATAATCAGATCGATCGGACGGCGCAGCCGTGTATGTGTATGAACGGACTACGCACCTATGCATGAGTAAGAACTTCTTTCTTTGCGCGCGATCTCTTGCCAGTTTTGCAATACGCCCGAACTTATATCCCGCCCGGGGAGGCGGCTTCCATTTTGTATCAGCAAGTGTGCATGTGTGGCTACAAGTCTGAATGTAAAAAGTGTAAAGCTATGTATGACGCGAGCATGTACGCTGTAGATGTGAAGATTGTGTTTTTTCTTGTGATAGATGTGAAGTAGAAGCGAGATTTTGCGAAGTTGTGAAGTTACGTATACAAGATGATCGTTTTTTTTTGAGAAGCGGCTGAGATTGCGAAACTGGTCTAAGAGTGTTCTGGTTTGAGTTGCTACTATGAAGGACGATTAGCATAGAAGAGTGTGTGTACGATGTGAGAACTAGCGGCTCTTTTGTTCTATTCGCGAGTCCCCTTTTCCATCACCGCGAGCCTTTTCACTATCGCAGCTACGGGCACACCGACGACGCTTGCCAGCTCTGGCATACAAACACACATTCACACCGAGTCTCCGACTCCATCACTACCAAGCCTTCATGTGCGCGCGTCTTTCGACCGAGTTTCCAAGTTCTTTCACCGAATTCTTCCACCGACCTGTGCTGCTTGTGCCATGTGTAACGCGAACAATAAAAGTTCTACTACCTAGAATGTGTATCGCGTTTGTATTTTTCTTTTCCAACCCCAAAGTGAAATTTGACAATTCAGACTCTGGCTTTACACCAATTCCGAATTGCAAAACTCTATGTACAGTGCAGAACTAGTCATCAGAAACTCACGCCTCCACACTAAAAAAATCAATAATAATAATTTTTACAATTAGATTCTCGACCCCCTGTGTAGAAATTGTATCCTCCACCACGATGTGAGTGCTGGAGTATGTTTGTCACTAGAGCCCAACGGTTTTTCACTCAAGCTAGTAACTCCTACTAAATTGCACCCCGTGCGCAAAGTGTAGGGGCTTAAATCACTTGTGCTGTTACATCATACAACAAGCTCTATGATCGAAAACTGATGGCCAAAGTGGAATTGTGCATTTGTTGTAGAAACAGAAGAAGGTCACTAAGCATGGCAGATTTACCACTGCCCCTTCTCAGGTATAGTATAGTCGAAAGTCAAAGGAAAAGAGTGCCGAGGTGTAATCATCATCATACAGGTGCCAGCGCGGTGCGCGTGGTTATCAATTCTACTTTGACGACAGTGCTATTTCTAATTCTGAATAGCAAAATCACACGTCGACTTCCGCAGTGTCCGCATTGAGCGTGGGATCATCATCCGGATTCGGGATCACACCAATCTGGGCAGCGGGCTGCTGCGGCACGGCCTGGTGCAAGTTGATGCTGATGCGTCGTCGTTGGGGCGCGGGTTCACCGTTCCCCGCGGGACCACCGGCAGCTTTGGCGGCACCGGCAACGGGACGCTCCCTCTCGATCTCTTTGTAAAGACGCTGCCGGACGTCCATGTCCAAGAACGCCATGGGGAGCTCCATGCGGTTGAGCTCCGCCATGGCCTGGTCGTACTGACCTGTGAGTAGTTTTGTGTAGTTGAAATTGAAATTTGTATGCACGGGACCGATTTTCATACGCGCCTCTGAGTGGTTGTAGCGCTCGCGTCAAAAATCAACACTCCTCCCTCGCAACGTCATCTTTTCGCTCTTAGTCTTATTGTACCGTTGGAAAGGTGCGTCCGGAGCGCCCCCTCCTCCGTGGACTGCATCATCTTCACGAAAGCCGTGAGCAATCCCTGCGCGGCGTCGATCATGGAGGGAAACGCCCCAACGAACTTCTGATCGTACTCGTTCTTCATCGTCAGAGCATCGCGGGCGATGTTCTGGATGTTCAGGTTCTCCGGCCCGTTGGCGAAGACGTTGCAGATCATGACACACAAGTCGCACAACGGCTTCACCGGGCTGCGATCCGGGACCGGGAAGTTCACGAAGAAGTCGCTGACGCCGGACATCTCCAGAATCCCATCGCGCTGGTCGAACGGAAGGGCGTTCTCGCAGGTAGTCGTCATGGCGGTCAACTGCCCCTTCAACGTGGAAAATTCTCCATCAATACGGTTCTGGTCCATGGCGAGGAGCTGGCTCCGAAAGCGGCCGGTCATCTCCAAGAAGGTGTTCTGGGGAAGCTTCTGGCATTTCGGAAACCCCTCCTTAACGCGGGTGATCAAGGTGTCCATGCACTGCAAGACCGGGTGCGGACCGGAGTCGCGGCCCATCCAGTTGATGATGTTGGTCAAGTACGTACGAAACCACATCTGGCGCTGTTGTTATTTATAGTTGTTTTTAAGTTTTGAAATTGTCGTCCTGCATGCGTAAAGAAACAACGACTGCTCCGGATTTTTGAACAGCAACGCAGCGTGCGAATATAGGTCGTAATGAAGACGCTTTGGCGTAGCTGATTCTACAACTCAAAAAGAAGCACTTTCATACCAGGTCATCGATATCCGTATCGCCCATGTACGAGTGCGCGGCGGCAGCAGCGTTCCAGTACAACATCTCCGGGCACGGGGACGTGGAGAACGCACGCTCAACCGACTGGAGATTATGCAAGCAAAAGTGGAGAAGGCGGGATGGGCTATGATGCTCGATTTTCGTGCATGTCTGGCGAGCTTTTTTGTTCGAAATACCGATACAGCTGTCCGAGCTCTAAGATATTCTGTTTCTGCATGACAAAGCTCAAAATTCCACGCATGTCTTCGCATGGCCACCATGACACGAGGTTATCAAGCACGAGCATCATATCTCAAGTGACCTTCTTATGTTCTCACTCACATACATGTCCGTGGCAGTGGGGTTGCCAGTACGGAGCAACTCCTTGATCTCATTCTTCACGACGATCAACAACTCATCCGTGGCAGCCTTCTCTAGCACCTGAAGGTATGGAGTTTTGAAATGATAAAGATAGAATTATACGCGGCAAAGGTACGTGAAAGCGTGCAAATCTGTCTCAAAAAGAAGCATCTCTCTCTCCTCCTATGACTGGCGTGATCCTCTTACGGAAAGCATGAGAAGCCTGATACTTTTTTCTAGAAAAAGCACTCACTATACTGCACCTCGGAGATCTTCTCGAAAAACAGCTCCTGGACCGTCTGGGGCTGATCCGGATCACCGGCTCCCAGCACGTCGTTCACAGCGATGGTCTCCAGCTGGCGGACCTGCTTGCTCAACAAGGCACCCTGGATCAACTCGCAGTTCTCCTTGATCTCGGTCAACGGAGTAGCACCGGCGCAGTAGGCGCGACCGCGACCCTGGGCCCTGTTACGGTATCACTTTTTGCGTTACAAATTTCCATTTCTAAAAGGAGTTTTGGCGTTGCATGTCATGCAGGAGCATCTGTTGCTCACCTAGAAATCAAAAGTCCCTCTTTGCAAAACAGGTACTGATACCAGGCAGAAAAGTCGGACAGGGTGCGGGTCTGCTGGGTGTTCCCGCGACGATACAAGGAACCCTGACACAGCGCGTGGACGGCAGCCATCTCCAGCTGCACCTTGCTGGCCTCGAAGCGGAGCAGGGGCATTAACTTCGCGCAGGAAGCGAGAGCACGCGCCGCCGACTGCTCATCACTTATGGATTGATAACGACCCACAAGGTGGCTCTGTAGTGGTTTTTTGTTCATGTCGATAACACTTCACGAATTCATCACGTCGAGTGGTGCTTTTTGCATGACAGATCTATCTTTTTGCATGCGCAGAAAAACGCGCTCTTATCGCCGCAAATTTGAAGCAAATAACTCATGCATTAATACGGCCACACGTAACTCCTGGACGGGAGTGATCCCGTTAAAATCGCGGGTGGTCATGGTCATGATTTCGCGGTGCAGGTAGTCCGTGCGCGAGTGCAAGCACAGCTTCACCGGTCCGGGCAGGCGGAGCATGTGGCGGGCAATGAAAGTATGCAAGGGAAACTTGCGCTGCGCCACAGCCTCGCCAAAGGTGTAAACTATGCTCGTAACGCATGACAATCACGCATGACCAGCTGTTTTTTATCACGACGCTATCATCATGCAAAGAGTGAAGCGCAAGGGTAATTTGTAATGCATATGTTTGCTCAAACGGACACGACAGCTGCGAGTTGATCTGCTCGTTGTCGAGGCGGCTCAAAAACTGCACACGAGAAGTCAACCGAGTACGCGCGCGGCCTTCTTGACGATAGACGTGTTCAATCGCGGCCAGGAGGGTAGCGTCGGGCTGTATTTGATGTAGATTCAGTTTATTTCTGAAGAGTCCATAAGTCATCTGTTTCCAAAGCAACATCAATTCTGCATCAGAAAAACGCATCATGTTCCAAAAATTATACGTCCATCTGCGCCCGTTGGACAAACTCCTGGGCGACTTGGTCGGTCGGCTGACGACGCAGTGCCATTATTGCTTTTTCAGAAGGAAGAGGAACTCAGAGAAGGTTGAGTTTCCTCACGCAAAAACTGTTGAAGTTTTTCTCCCTACGGTTTTGATTAGAAGTGCAAAGTGAAAACTGCCCGTTTAAGGTCATCGTTATTCTAGGCAAAAAAAAACGCGATTTCTTGTGGACCGATTGGTGCGTGGAAAGAGAAGAATTGCTGTAGTTTCAGTAGCGCCTCCTCATCTCAAATTCATAAACAAAGAACCGACACTGTTACACATGCGCTTTCGTGCTTTTTTTTTCAGAACTATCAATTGAGATCCAGCTCAGTGCTTGCGAGATGTGATATCAAAGCAAAGTAGCCATAACTAACATCAGGTCGCTCGTCCTTAGCAGTGTTGATACGAAATGAACGGAAAAGATGGCATTCAGACCAGCAGCGGAGCACAAGACTCCAGAGGTACAGAGATGTTGTTTTTCCATTCTACGTGTGGACTTTTGTGCTTATGTTCCCTATTCCTGCGTCGCGATGATGAGACACTAATTCTCTTCGTGGTGTTTGTCATGCATATTGCGTGCTCACACCCGGAAACTATTCCTGTACAAAGCAAATCTGTATGCGACTGCAGGCTGTTTTCTGCTCTATATCAGTCAAGGACGGTCTTTGCCGTGTATGCTTTCCCAATGTCTGTTGTGTATGTTCTACTACATGCGTGTGTTGTACTTTTTTACTTGTTCTTATGTTACTTTCGACCTACTATAATGCTTTCGCAGTCTTGTTGTAAATTCTATTTATTCTACAATTAATAACTATGCCAGCACGCCGCGCAACACCAGCAACGGCAAGTTCGCGGCTATGGTCACCAACGTCAAGTACGCACCAAAGTCCACGAGGCCCACGGTAACAGCAGAGGCGCAGTAGGTGGTGTAGTACCCGTGCGCGTTGAAGGTTTCCATGGTCAAAGGTCCATTCCAGGTAGTCCATGGTCGTCGGCTCCGCTGGTATCACGCAAGCGCGCTGGCAGTACTACACTACTACAGGAAGGTATTTTGCTAGTTCCTAATCTACCTTTTGCAAGAAGAGTTGCGTTGTCTGAGAGAGCTTCTTTTAACTTAGATTTTTCTAGAAGAAACGATCATCCAAAGCGAGACATTTTTTGACTCCAAAAAGATATTCAGAGAGGTCAAAAAGTGAGTAGGTTCGGAGGTAGTGAAGCACCATTTACATATCTTTGAAAGTTATTCAGAAGCCTCTGAAAAAGATATTCAGAAGGTGCTGGAAATCCGAGTATACCATCGGCCTAAAGATAAACAGAGCTCTCCGAAAAAGATACTCAGAGAGCTCAAAAAAAGATAATCTTTTTCACTTTGCTGTTTCGAAACTGAAAAATCAAAAGATATTCAAAAGTTATTCAGAGGACATTTTTTGGTCTCAGAAATGATCTCCTTTTTCAGGAGAAAAAACGGAGACGAGAGAGAGTTGAGATTCTTGTTCATAATTTACAAATAAAACTCTATCAGGTACGCCGTCGCTCCATCACGCAATCGCCGGCACATGGACCTCCAAAGCAGCTTCGTACTCCACTTCCGGAACCGTGGGCAGAAAGCCGCCTTTATTCTTCTTGGAGTTCTTCTCCTTCTGCCGCTCGACCAACTTGGTACTGATGTCCTTCTCCCCTTCCGTGGCGTCACGGAAGTCAAGCCACTCGCTGGTAGTATTCCGCGGATCGAGGCACTGCGGCGTGCGCTTGTCAATCTCCATTTCGTATTCCAACTCCTTCAGTTTCGTTGTGCAGCCACCGGCGCGGGTCTGGGCCCATTGGTGCACGTCATTCATGTACAGGCTGTACTGCTGCTTGAGGATTTCGACGTCTTCATCATTGCATTTCCGCTCGTAGTCGGTGTTGTCGCCAGCTTTTTCGGCGATAAAACGGGCGCGTACACCCCACACCGACAAACGCGCGTCAGTCCAGCGGGGACCGTCGGCTTCGTCGAATCGCATACCGCGCCCCAAGGTCTGCCCCTTCGACTGGCAGTGCCGCGTAGTGTTCGGGTTCAAGATCTGCTTTGCCAGCTTCTGCTTCAACTTCTTTTCCAACGCGAAAATCTGCAGCCGGATGCTATCTCGCCCTTCGGTTTTGCGGTCGGAGACGGAGCTTGCCTCCTTTATCTTGAAGCCATCAATTCTCATCGGTTCCAACTGATTGATGGTTTCTTGTCGCGCGGAGATGTGGAGCTTGTACTCCTTGCCGGAAATTTCGATCGTCGCTCGACTTCGCGGTAGCCTGCGATCCCGTCTGCGTTTCCAGATTCGACTGTGTTTGCGTCGCTTTACCAGATTGGGTTTCCTTTTCGACGCGGATTGCCTGCGGATCCAGTTCCTCCGCGCGGACCGGAAGCGCCACCATTCTGCTCTCCTGGATCACGAAAATCTTGTCCTTCGCCTTTGGTGCACAAGCAGCGTCGGAAACGGGCTGCAAAAACTTCTGTAGCTGATCCATCTGTGCGGCCTTCTGCTCGTTGGTAGCAGAAGCCCAGTCCTCCTTGATCACCTTCTCCTCCACCGACCTTCCCCGCTTTCACCTTCGGGCCACCGGGCTTCAGCAGCTGCGCCTGCTTTCCGCAATACAAGCGCACACGGCCTGTATCATCCGCGTCCTTTATCTCCAATGTGTACATTTCGGAGATTGTGTCGAGGTCGTAGTCGGTAGCCTCGCTGTCAGAGAACAGGTAGTCCTTGTGGGATGTGTAGAGCGTCGCTTTGTGCCACGCTTCCGGTTTCCCCGTGTAGAGCAGCTTGATTGCCTTGAAGCTGGCGGGCGTCAATACGCAGTCGGAGATTAGAAACGGCACCCACTGCTTCGTCTTGGTATTCAGGAATCTGGTGATCACAAACGGCGAGAACAGGGCGCAGACGTCCCGTCCTTGCGCCACCTCCTCGGGGATGAGAGCCGCTGCGTCGTTGCTGGGATCTTCGTCATCCTCCACCGGCTCTTCATCTTCGCGTATGCCGTTCAAACTTGTAGAACGCCCTGCTTTTGTATTTCAGCACGATCAAGTCTGCTATCACGGAAGCGCTGTGCTCGTGTTTTCCAAGAGGACAAATCTGGTGCCAACTTGTCATGCTATGTTGCTGTTGTTCTCGAAAAGCAAAAGCGTATCTTTCGCAGGGTGTCATGCAATCACAAATACAAAATCTGAACGCAAAAGCAGGGCTGTTCTACAATTTGTCTTGCGTATCGTCATCTTCCTCCACCGCAAGCTTCAGATCATTCAATTCGCCCTCCGCAACACCTGCTTCTTTGCGTTCCTTCCGCAGCTCGCGCACCCGCGCTCTCCGCGACCGCAAATACCGCGCAAATAGCACTGCACTTGCGGGCTTTGGCCGTCCTTTGGCCGTTATTTCCGGCGGCGTTTCCTGCCCGACCTGCTGGTTCGTCCGGTTACACATGGCGGGAAGCCATTTGGTTGCGTCGAAGGTTTCACTCTGGTGCCGCTTCGTCACGTCCGCTTCCACCGCCTGGTAGAATCCGCTTTCCCGCTGACAGATAATAAGCGGCCGCTTCTCTTCTTTGTCCACTTCTTCGATCTCGGCCTCCGACATCTTCCGGATTTCTTCTTTCCGCTTTTCTTTGTCCATTTCCGCCGCGATGTAATGGTGCCGCAGCTTCTCATGCTTATCGTCTTCGTTCCACTTGTATCCATGGGAAATTTCCCGCACAAGTACGAACTCGGTTTCTGCATGACAGACTTGTACTCCGACCCTATTCAGCATGACAAGCGGCATGCTGAAACTTGCTTTAGATTTGCCATGCATTTTGCACATGAGCAGGAAATTTGTATTGCGTAACTTGTTTCTGCTGGTGGTCTTCTTCAGCACGTCCTTCTGCGACGGCATAGAACCGGGCTCGTGCGTCTGGTCCGCCCTTTTGGCGTCTATGGCTCGCACACCCGCATACGCCCGTTTCGGGGCCGGCTCTGCAGAAGGCAGCACAGGCTCTGCAGGCTGATGTTGTTGCAGGTCCTCTGTCGCGGTGGTAGAGTGGTTCTGAAAGTCCGCCCTGTTAAGGGCGCAGTCCGAGCCCGGAATACTCTTCATTCCGCCTTTCACTCCGCCTATACCACGAAAAAAACGAGGAATAGCACCGCGAACTCGGTGCTATTGCTGCTTGCTTTCATTTTATAAACGGAGTTCGGAACGGGACGCGATTACGCATGACAAATTTGGTCTTTCTTCCCCCGAAAGAGGGGTGAAAAATGCATGACAGATTTGGCGCCGTGCCCCTCGAAAGGGGGAAGCACTGCACAGGACGAAGAAGTGTTATTATTTCATGCATGACAAACACGATGCAAAGCATGAAAGCAAGCGCTTCTGTAGCACTGGCACTACTGGGCTATTGTTGAGGTCTTTCCGTCCATAGTTTTTGTGTGGTACTTGAATCGCCCAGCCCGCTTTTCGCAATTCCGCGTCGTGCGATTCCGCCCCTTCAAGTACTCCACCAGCTCACTCAGTTGATTCTTCGCTGTCAGCGGCGGAAGGTTCTTGTACCACCGCGCAACCGTGTGTAGACTAATCGACCCGGGGTCGTCACTCAGGTACGGAGTGTGCTTCTTCTTCTGCAAAAAATTTATCGCGCTGTCGAGGTTGGTACTCGCCATGTCCAACCACCTCTCGTGCATATCAGTTGCTCCATCGCGGTAATGTAGCAAGCACCTGCTGACCCACACGCAAAGCTGGGCGCTCAGTCTGCAGAACTCGATCTGATAAATTTTTATGTTGAAGCTGCAATGGCAAAAATTGCAAAAAATGCATGACAAATTGCGACACAGTATCCAAGAAACGCAACTTTCAAAAGTGCCAGCTGCTCCTGTTTTTCGTCAAACGCCACCGCCCCAATTCCGATGCCGCAGAGAAGAAAAGCCAGGTCGGTGTGCGCTTTCTCCTTGTTGTACAGGTAGTTAATGACCTCCGTGACGTCTTGATCAAATTGCTTTCGCAGCTCCAGCTTCGTCCGTTGCCTCAAGTCCTCCTTCAACATCGCAGCATTATAATGTTCGACGGGCCCGATGATCACCATGACGAACCAGCTCACAACTATGAACACAAATTGCGGACCTGTTCGAGTTTGTAGTGTGTTAGTTCGGCTGCGGTGAAGAAACGCATTACAAATTCGGAATTTGTAGTTCGTGGTCATCATGCGAGGGGTAGCGATGCTGTACATGAGAAACGCCGCCCAATATCGTGTTTGTCATGCTAGAATTGTTTGTTCCTGTGTCTCCACGCATGTTTATTTGGAACCCATGCTCCAACACGTGTTCGGCTCCAAATTGCACTCTGGGACCTAACCCACAGAATAGTCTCCCCATGAAGAACGAGTATGCACATGCAAAAATAACTAGCACAAAGCAAGCACGAAGATAGCTACCAATACTGCGATCGTAATCTGTCATGCGTAAAAACTCAATCTGCCTGCTTTGTGTCATGCTTCCGGCTGCGCTTTGTGCTAGTTATTTTTGTCTTTTCATATCGCTAAACAAACCGCTATTTGGCCCAGAGCCTGTTGGATTGTGAGCCATCGGGTCCATACCGGGGCTCGAAAGCCCCGGTAACAGGAGTGTAGGTTGCGTAAACACTGGCGCCTGCATTGGTGTGGTGCGACCAGTGTTTGCGCTTTCGCCGAGCACTTGCGGATGAACTTCTTCTTGTCCTCGGGAAAATGACAACGGTCTAAAAACCCGTTCAGCGCCGCGTCGCGTGGCATCGGCGTTTGCTGATCCCACTCGCCTATCCACCGGGCAACGTGGTCCAGTTGCGCGTGGATTTTTTCTTGTAGTAGTTTCACGGAGGTTACCTGGTAATTTGTGATGCGAGTTGTTACATTTTGCAATACAAAACAGACATTTTTTGCATGATAAAAAAGTGCGAGAAGGGGCGAAGTACAAAGCTACTTGAAATCTTACTTGTAAAAATAGTCGTTTTTGCCACCCGATCGGATCAAGCCCGCACATCGCCAAATAGGTCTCCGCGACGCTCTTGGTGATGAGCGCGGCCTGATGGTTCTTGCAGCGATCCGTCCACATCACGCAATTTTTTAGGGCCTCCGTCGCAAGGAAGAACGACCCTAAATAAAAAAGGGTCGATATTGTGGATCCTCCTGAATCGGTCGCGGGGGTCCACACTTTGATTGTGGATTTCGGAAAGGCGCTGAAGTAGATCGCGGGGTTGTTCATCGTCCAAACCAAATCCGCAATCTCATATCCTTCGCTCCACCCCCTGAAGCCCGAGCTACCACGCTTCTGCTTCGAAAAGTCCGACGATGATGGGAACAACACGGTGTGACAAGGTAGTGCAACATGTCCTAGCATCGTATTTGTTCCTCCCATGGCAAAGGTGATGCACACGAAGCTCACCATGATATGCGCGTACACGCGGATGCGGCCGCGAGTACTATTCTCGAATAGTAGTGCTTGTTGCGTGGTGCCATCTATTTCGCACCTGTAGTGTACTATTTTGTAACTCCAATCCGCAAAGTACGACTGCGCGATGTTAAAAGCGGAGTCGCAAAGTAGATAGCCGAATTTCCACAGCTTCCGCGCGTGCAGGAACGCCGTCGCGTTGAAAAACAGACTCGCTTCCGCTTTTTGCTCCTCCAGCTTCGCGGGGTCCACCGGCTTTTTCGACATCGCGGGCGACGAAGTAGCAGTAGTTGTTCTGCTCGAGAAGAAGTAGTTGTTCCGCTTTCCGAGGTCGCACGAATGCGCACCTGCCGCTATCCGTTCCACACAGGCATCGCGTTACTGGGGAGCGGACGGACTGCTACGCGGGATCGCCCGCGTATGAAACATGTGAGTATTGTAGATAGGTGGTGGCTCTCTACGATCAAAATTTGTATCTTACCTGGGTTTTCATAACGTGCAGGCCTTGTTCGGTGTTGGGACTCTGGCAAAAAACTCGGCGATCGATGCTAGGTGGCTTCTGTTTCCGGCCGGACAAAAAACACGCTCTTCACCAAAAAAAACCTTCACTTCGTGCCCCCCGTCGCCCGTGACTCGACTTCTCTCGCTTCCCATCTAAAAAACGAACACAGATACTTAGAAAAAACAAGGAGGAGCAGTTTCTTGCGGTGCTTTCGCATCAGACCGACGATCAGTATCTAGTTCTTTCTTTCGCTTCTATCTTGGCTTCTCTTTCTCAATCCCGACGGCTTGCTTCTTCGCTTCCATTTTCCAAAAGCACCAACACTGGGCATCGATCCCTGGATCCCCGCGAAGGGTGAAAAGGGACTGGAGATAGCATCTCCACCCTGTACCAACTCGCCCAGTTGGGCGAGTGTCTTTACGTGGAAGTAGTTCGGCCTTCGAGGTTGGTCTACTTTCACTTCTCCGTCCCTCCTCGTGGTAGTAGTGCGTTTTTCCTTCCGGTCGCACAAATCGTACCGAAAGAAAAAACGCCAATGCTGGGTATCGATCCCTCGATCCCCGTGAAGGGTGAAAAGGGACTGGGGATAGCATCCCCTCCCTCTACCAACTCGCCCAGATGGGCGAGTGCCGTCGTGTGAAAGTACTTCGGCCTTCGAGGTCGATCCACTTTCGCCCCTCCGTCCCTACTTGTCCTAGTAGTGCGCTTTTCCTTTCAGTCGCACAAGCCGCACCGAAAGAAAAAAAGCCAACATTGGGCTTCGAACCTTCGGTCCCCGTGAAGGGTGAAAAGGGACCGGATCAACGAACTCGGCCCCTTACCAACTCGCCCAAATGGGCGAGTGCTGCAACACCTGAGAAACGGCCGGAACAACGTCTTCTCTCTTTGCAGAAGACAAGACGTAGTGCGGGCGGTTTTCGATAGTAGCTGCGACTGCGTGGATCGCTGCGGGGACGGAAGACAACACAAAAAGGGTGAAAAGGGACTGCCGATCGCATCTCGATGCACTACCAGTGGGGCTAAACGGCTTCGCACGTTCGAACGAAGCCGCGACGGGTGATCGGATCGCATCGGCGAGGGGATAGGCCCCACGAAGGGTGGAAAGGGACTGGAAGAAACACCTACACCCCTTAACCGCTCGGCCAAATGGCCGAGCGAGACGGGGGCGGCCTAAAAGGGGGGGATCGGGGTGCCGAAACTCGACGAGGCCCGTTCTCGCACGAGAATCGAGCTACGAACGATCTGACACCTGATTTCCGACGCTGGGAACGTGAATAGCAAAAGTCGGAACACCCAAAAGTATAGCAGTAAACTGCCAAATAGCCCGAAAAATTTTTTTCCAAAGAAATCCGGAAGAAATCCGGAAGCTAATCCTCATCAGAAGCGGCGACCCCAAGAAGACGTCCATGGGCGAGGCATCCTCGTTCTTGTCCGCCGTGCAGCCGGGTTGGCAAAACTATCCAGCACCAGCGGGGACTTATATCATCGCAAGTACTTCTTCCACACCGCCGCCTGGATGGGAATCTGCCGTAGTCGTTGCTGCCGAGAAAATGGAGAACACCGTCTGCAAAATTTCCAAAACGACCCAGCAGAAAAAGAAAAATCCAGAAGATCGCGGACGGAGGGGAGCACCACAGGAGTTGTACTACAAGTTGAGTTGCAAAGTCCAGACGGCTGCGTTCGGCGTTTTGAATGACCCGTACGGAACCTGGTTGCAGACGTGCTGTAACTTCGGGGTGACGGCGGAACGCAACTACTTCTGTTACGACAAGACCCCATTGCCCCCGGACTGTCAGTAAATCTAATTTACAAATCACGGAATCCGTCGTGATTTTCACGGATCATTCGAGGAAAAAGTGAGGACACACTTACATTCTTTGCGAAATTTAGTCATACTCTTGCTTACGACAAGGTGGGAGCTTGACTGAGTTTGTCGCGCATTACGATAAGTAAGAAGTAGCTGAGTAATTTCACGGACACAGAATTGGTTGCAAGCACAGCAATGTTGTGCAAGTGAAATCAAATGAAAGATTTTTGAATCATGTCTCGAATTTCTTATAAGAAAGAGCAGCTTTTTCTCGTTTACAGCAGCAGTTCCGTCTTGTTTTTCTAAGGTTGGAGCTAAAGCAGCTCCACCAAGTTGTCCCTTTTTATTGAAGTAGCGCTAGACACATGAGAAGAAAGAACATCTTTCAAGCGGTTCCATGTGACCAACCTCAACAAACAAACAAACAACTCTCGCTTGGCCGTAGAGAGTTCGAATTTGTAAAAAAAAAATCGATAAACATTGATGCTCGAAGAAACAAAGTTCTGGTTGAAGGCTTTGAAGATGCCTGCCATTTGGAGTGCCTGAAGTGTCTGCACTCAAGGGCCGGGATGGAGCCCGTGCTCAATTCCATCTCTCCGCGGCAGAGTGACAGGTAGAAAGCTCAGGGCTGCGTTGCGTCCTGTAAAGATCTCAAACGCTCAGAAAGTTTCACCAGAGGGCTCTCCGAACGAAGTTTCACCAGAGGAGACACGGAGTTTTTAACCGGGGGCTCCGGGTGGCGCGGAGGCACGGGTTTAAAATGTTGAACGAAGCTTTTATAATGAAGGCAGATGCACTTTTCTTAGATTTGAGACGTACTATAAAGGTCAAACTAATTGCAAGCTTGCCCTTTTTTTTTTGTCGCTTTTACGTTTACCTCGTGCGCAAGTAGTTGCGAAAACTGGTTCGTTAGTAGATTGCGGATCTTGTAGATAGCCTTGTTTCTACTTACAGACTGCACAGAGTTTTATCATGATAAGAAAGCAAAATAGTGATCCCCGCCACTTAGCCAAAAACCTTTTTTTGCCTTTCTATACACAGAGTCAATCAACAGATCTTTTTCGTTAAGCCTAGCCCTTTTTATTTGAAGTAAAAAAGCCTACCTATAGTTTGTTGCCACAAGAGAGCCCGGCGAAAGGAGTTGAAAAGTGAGCCCGCAGAGAAAGACAGACCGTGAGACCTGTGCAATCGCTGCCATAGTCGACTTTGTCGGCTGGCTAGCGCGTTTTTCGAATATTGATAATAATATGAATGCGCGTCATTGTTAGAACCCGTTGACACGACCGCTTTCGAGACTATAAACCGCAAGCAATGAGGACGCGATGCGTTTTGCGCGAAGAAAAATTTTCTCACCCCTGTCTGGCGACGTCCGCTTTCGTACTAGCACCGTATCTCCTGCTCATCTCTGTCCTAACGGGTTGCTCGTTTCGTTGCAGCGTCGCAGCCAGCGCTGTCCACCGGAAGCAACGGGCACCTGGGCGCGGAAATGGTCTTACGGGTAGCAGCGACACAACTGCCTCTCAGCCGCGACCCACGGTTGCAAGATCGCGCGGCAGGCCGGACGGACGGCGACTTGCTAAGTCGAGTTGTCAACACCAAGGAGGCACTGGCGTGGCACATCCGACCACGGATCATAAGTCTCCACGCCAAGCTGCAGCAGCACAAGTACAAGCTGGCGCCGCATCATCGCAGATAGTAATCTCAGACCGCAGGAGGAGTACTACATCAGAAGATGGTGGAACCACTTTACCGCCTCGTCCAGCGATTTTCTCTTGCGAGGAATTGCACGATCAAGTATTGGCGTTTCTCCCCCCAACGGACGCACAGCGGACCGCGCAGTTTCTATCGAAGCAAACAAGGTCGAAGCAAGGCGCGTCGGATCGTTGCTGCGGTAGTTTCAGTTGTTGTGCCAGTGATCATGTAGTTGTAGCTCAGGACGATCTTCTTGCAGCGCAGCAGAAGCAGGAGCAGCACGACCCGCTGCAAGAACCTCTTGCAGAAAACACGACGACAACCACGACCTTGTCCGGTGGGACCACGAGAACTGCAGCCAAAAATGTTCTTGCACCCACAAGTTCATCATCTTTCTGGTGCCCGCAGAGTACAACTAGTCGTCTCCGCCGAGAGAAGCACCAGCAACTAGAACTCGCCCGGGAGCACATTCTCGCCAGCGGGGAGGGCCTGGACAAAATCCACGACGCAACAAGCGAAATAACCGACCGCCACCCGGCAATTCTAGACCGGCTGAGGAAACAAAGGGCGGAAACTACAGCGGCACAGCGCGAGGCCACCGCGATGGCGTTCGAATTTCGCCGGGTGGAGAAACTGCTCTCGCTGGAAAATGCCATTTTGAAGAACCAGCTTCGTTGCAAACAGAAACACCAGGACAGCCTGGACAAGGAGGTTGCGAAACACACGTCCTCGGCGCTTTTATTGCGGCGGGGGACGAGCTTCGCGCCGCCGCCTCTGCTGGCGAAGTTCATGCAGGAGGCGCCGTTTGTGTTTTTTTCCCTGAATCTCGAAGAGTGGGACGTGGAGAAACATGAAGACGGAAGGAAAATTCGCTTCGTGCAGCGAACTTTGGCTTCATCTAGTTCTAGCGAGGACATAAGTAGTGGAACGACGGCGAGCAGCAACAGCACAAGCAATACGAATATCACCACCCCGTACATGCTGGCAATTGGGCCGCTGCTGGCCAGCCTGCAGGTGTCCACTATGACCTCTACCCTGATGGCGCAGTTGCTCACCGTGCAGGCTTTCGACGCGAAGGAGGAAGCGGGGCTAGTAGAGGGCAGAATCGCCGCGCTCTCCGCGTTTTTGAAGAAAGCAAGATTGACGCCCGAGTTTTTCTCTTTCGTGCTACGAAGTCGAAGTAGTGCAGCGAGTAGTTCTGGTGCTGCAAGAACGTCTTCCGGGAGCAGCCGCGTAGGACGAGGTCATCATCGGTTAGAAGGACCTTCCCGAGATCTTCCTGATGAAAATTCATTCACGCCGCCATCTCGAGGAGACGCGGCGGGGAAAAGAAAAAGGGAAAATCCAAATGCGGGAACACCCGCTGAGAAGATGAACCGAAATAGCACGAAAGTTGTTGTACTAGAGCACGATGAACATGATCAGGAGGAATCTACAATCAAATCGCACGAGTCAACAACAACGTCGTCCAACAACACGCCAGCCAGTCGTTCCTGCGTGGTCAGCGACCGGTCCTCGCGAGCGCCTGGGCATCCCTCCCGCGTGCTGGGCTCGCCCGACGGGTATTACCCGGTGATTCAAAGTCGCTGGAGACCGAACTTCGAGGACGCGGTTTGTAAGCGGGAGTTCGAAGCGTTGTTCGGCGGGCAACCTGAGGTGGAACATCAAGGCGAAGATGTTCATAGGGAAAATAGTAGTACACCCATGAAGGGCGGGGCAGAACAAGCGAAACTGAGCCAAATGTCACACAAAAATCTTCTCGTCCCGTCGAAAAAATTATCCTGGGCCTTCGAGACGGTGTTGTGGCCGGATTTTGCGGAAAAAGCCAGTGCGCAGATAATTCTCGCGGAGACAGAAGCGGAAATAAACAAGACAAAGCAAGAGAGCGATTATGCTCAGACACAGGTCGTGGGCTCGGACCTGCCGAGAACAAAAGAGCCCGCTGCGCAGATGGAAATAACAGGCGAGCAGCCCAGAAGCAGACCATCCGCGGCCACCGAAATGAAAAACACCGTCGCGCGCCCGAAATCTCTGCGTTTGGTCATTGAAGAGGAGGTTTCAAATGCAAATATGTCTGGGTCTGGAACGTTGGAACTTGTAATGCTGGTCGTGCTTTCCTGTGAGATCTGTATTGCATGACCTACATCACTACAAAAGCCGCAGCCTCTCTTGTCATACAAAAACGTAGTTTCTCATGCGGAGCGCGTATGAGGAAGCGTTCTGCAAACTTGTCATGCTTTCCTGCATGAGGGAGCGTTTTCGTCATGCGCATTTTAGCATCACAAATTTCCTGACCCAGACATATTTTTAATCCATAGGAGGACACGAAGGTGTTGCATGTGCTAGCCTGGGGTGCGGCCGGGACGCTCGTTGGGATGGATTCGGTGGGCCACCTGCTATACAAAATCCAGAAGAATTTCGTGGTGCCGTTGTTGAAGCGGCACTTGGAAGAGGAAGAGCGATTGCGCTGGAATCGGATGAGGGAAGAGTAAGTATAAGTACCCGGATCTGGCGGAGATGGCGTAGAATATAACTAAAGTTAATGAAAATGATGATCGAATCTATTCGTGTATGATACAAAAAATGAAATTGATGAGGTAGTAGTTGGCGGTAAACTACGCCATGCACGAGCGCGTATCAAGTCTGGTATGATTTCTACGTAGCACAACTTATTTTGCTATACATATTTTGCGAGTATAATTCGTGCTCATTCATGACCAAATTCTGCGTGTCTGCACAAATGCAAAGCTTTTCTGCTGGTTTGCCAAACGCCAAAAACTGCATCCTCTTGTTTCCACAGCGCAATCTTATCTGTTTCGTTATCTGCTCTGTAAATTAGGTGTTGAACCCATGATCAACATGTCAGAACAAGATTCCAGCGGAAGCTTTGTTCAGCTTTTTCTTCTCCGATATGCGGACGCGCTGCGCGTCTTGCAGTCTCGAAGATCTTTTATTTTGTGCACGAATTTTTTCGATTATCTTTCGTTGAAGAACTGCCGCGCGATCTGTGTCGGCCGTGATCACGACGAATTTGTGAATCAGTTGGAAAGGTCCTACTTTTATAGAAGAGAAGAAAGAATAAAGAAGATCAAGATGTCGATCCTCCTCCACGCTTGTAATTCGAATTTCCCTTTGATTTCAACATCCGTATTTCGCACACATTTTCATTTTCTGTTGGTTTTCCTCCCCTATTATGTTGCTGTCTCGGGTTCCACCGTGTCTGCCTGGGGAAGCGGCAGCACAGGACGACACGCAGAAGTACTGCAACAGCAGCATTTGTTCAACAAGGACCCACAGCCCATTCCCAGCCGCGCGTGTGGCCCGACGTGTTTCGCCGCGCATGAGGACTCCAGCAGCGGTGAGTCCGGTGCCCCACCGCGGATGTTCGCGCACCTCTGGGTGGAGGAGAAAGCCGACTGCCCGGCCGAGGTGGTCCAGACACTGCTTTTTCTGTCCCAGTTCCTGCCGCTGGACACCTACGGACCCTGCGCCAGGGACCCAGGTGTATAAAAATCCGTGTTGTATTGCAAAACTTCATTTCTTGCGCAACAAGAATTTGGCGTGTTGTAAGTACTCTAAGTACTTTAGCTTTAGCAATGTTGATGTTTTTTCGCGCATGTAGTCATGGAAATCGAAGTTTGAATCGAGAAACCAATTGCACCTCAGGCCTCACCTGGAACACGTTCTACGCCCGGGAGAAGCGAACACTCACCGACCTCCGTGAGTACCTGATGGTGCTGGTGTGGCAGCCCGGGCTGGTGTGGGAAGCCGTGAGTCGGATGGTGCTGCCCGTGTTTTTTGGCAAGCGGGAGGAGCTTTGGTACGTTGGGAGCGATAGCAGCAGTGGCGACCACCATCAATGTCGTGCAGGAGCATCAAACCCCACCAGCATCTGCACACGGCAGCTCTTCGCGCCGATCCACGCGGATTTCCCGATTCTGTACGCGTACGACTTTGCCACGCCGCACCACTTGGCGTTTTTTCTGCAAAAGGTCTCGCAGCACCCGGCGCTGTACAACTCCTTTTTCAACAACTGGCGGAAATACAAAGCGGTGGTCCCGGAGGCGTTTTTCGTGCCGAGCTGGCTTGGTCGTCGGGATATGGTTTCTCCGAACGTCGCGGTTGAGCTGGATTGGAACTTCGATGATCAGCAGGTGCAGGAAAACAAGCACATCAAAAGTACTTCTGCAGGAACACCAGATTACAACCGTGGGCGTATCCACCAGAAGCTGCAGCGGCAGTGTCGGAACAATATTAGAGAAGAAGCAGATCATGCGCGAGCACCACGAGGATCATTTTCTTCGAATGAAATTTTACAATCCTCCACAACTTTCTACTTTACACAAGACGGGTCCCTACTGCCGGTGCTTTTCGATTACCTCGGCCCGGACACTGTGCAGAATCGGACGGTTTTGTTCGTCGACGCTGCCGCAGACGCGGCTGCTCTTGGCAAGGCGGTTCGGAACAGCGGCGTTTGGAGTGATGAAGAGGAGATAAGATCTTCTTGTTCGTCGTCCTCCGAGGTGGAGCTACGCGAAGGAGCAAAAAATGCCAGACGAGCTGCCAGTGGAGATATTAAATCATCGCAAAAATCTACAGCCACTGCGAAAATACCGGTGACCACGCACTTTTCCGCGAAATATGGTTTCCGGCTGCCCATGCGCACGTTTGGCTTCTCAATGGGAACGACGAGGAGGATCAGCGCGGGGGAACAAGCTACTTCTGCGTCAGTCACGACTGCATCTAGCACTAGTTCACCCTCGTCCCTCTTCACCGACGCGAACTCCCTCGACTACCGCCACTTCCGCATGGCCCAGGCGCACACGCAATCCGGTTCGAATCTGTGGCTGGAAGCGGGCAGAAACGAGTTTTTCCAGCACGACATGGTCGTCGTGGAGCCGATATGAACTGCAAATATGTCTGGGTTTGGAAGAATGCAGAAGTTTGTCATGCAGATTTTCCATGACCCACGAGATGGAGATCTGTGATGCATGCCCTAGCATCAGAGATTCTGCGAGGGCTTTCTGATGCTCATGCCGCATGAGAAATGCCCTCTCCGCGGAGCACAAATTGCACCTCCTATGCTGTTCATGCAATACAGATTTTGTGTAGAGTCCAAGGGCAGCATCACAAATCCCATTCTTTCCAGACCCAGACATATTTGCATTTGATAGCCGAAGTGCAGCTTGTTTCTGGATAGCAAGTTGCAAGTGGATGCGTTTGCGGAGTTGCTGAACTACGTTGCGTATCAAATGCAAAAATGTCTGGGTCTGGAAGAATGCAGGAGTTTGGCATGCAGATTTTGCATGACCCATGAGGTCTGTGATGCATGACCTAGCATCAGAGATTTTGCGAGGGCTTTCTGATGCTCATAGATACCGTATGAGAAACGCCCTCTCCGCTTAGCACAAATTACACCTCTTTTGCCGTTCATGCAATACAGATTTTATGTAGATTCCAAAAGTAGCATCACAAGTTGTATCCTTCCAGACCCAGACATTTTTGCAATCCATATCGCAAAGGAAACTGTGGTGTTGAAATTGAATCTGGAAATGTTGGCGGAGTTGGTGATTCTCGGGGGAGTGTTTGAGGATGAAACATCGAGAACAACAGTATCTCCCTCTCCTTCTCGTTCTCCTTCTCGTTCTTCTTCTTTATCTTTTACGGACCTGCTGACCCGCCGAACCCAGTTCCCGGGCACGCGGATACTGGCAGAGGACGGGTCTTTCGTGTCTGACGACGAGGGACTGGATGGTGTGGTGGACGTGGAAGTAGTAGAAGAGGAGAATGATGAGAATTTTGTTCAGGAGCGAAGAAAGCTCAACCTGAACCCGCTGATCTCTAAACTCCTGACCCGCTTCGTGCACAAGCTGAAGCAGGGCTTTGAGAAAATCCACTTCGCATTTGACGTGCGCCCGGAGAAATACGGGGAAAAACGGGAGGGCAAATTGGGTGCCGACGCGGTGGTCGCGACCGTAACGGAGGCGTTCTTCGAAGATCGGGAGGAGGAGCGAGACGCAAGCGAAGGGCAAACTACTACTGAGCACGGCCAGAAGAAAGAGTTGCAGTTAATTTTAGAAGCACAGGAGCTACTGATCAACGACGGTGTGATGTGGTCATCCTCAGGGAGTGATCAAGAAGAGGGTCAACAACAAGCGCCCCAGATTTTCGATATCTTCGCGTACTTGAAAAATCTCGCCACGGTGTTTCAGTTCGAAAATGCCGGATCAACAAGAACATCAAACCTAGACGCAGTATCGCAATTTGTTAACCAACGGCCGTTCTACTTGATCGCCGCAAAGCCCACGCCCTGGAAGGCGGACGCCATGGTGGTGAAAACCATCCTGGTGGAACCGCAACTCCCGCAGGTAGACACCACGCAGCACGAGCTCCTTGCCACCTCCGCGTTTCTGTTCGGCGCGCACGCGTATTTCAAACAGCTGACCGGGGAGCGGCGGAGTTCTTTTGTCAGTGTTGGCAGTAGTGGTACTAGCGATGATGGTCCAAGGACTTCAAGTTCGAGTAGAACAGTAGGTGCGATACCACAAGCAGAAAATGTTGACCTCGAAGATGAGGTGGAGCCCGATGTAGTTGATCTGGACCAGAAAATCACGCGAGGAAATTGGAAAACGTTGACAAAACTCTCATCCTTCACTTTTGGCTCGCGGGAGGCGTTTTTTCTCTACCTGCTCCACCCCACGCCAGGCGACGAGTCCATCGCGTTTCTCGAACGGTTTGGGATGTCCTCTTCTCCAGGAGTGACTACGAGGAATGAGAGGAACAACAACAACCTGATGTCAACAGAAGCATCAAAAGATAGAACCTCCTACCATGATCATGACCCCTACGCCAATCCGTTTGTCTGCACGCCCGCACTTTTATACCATGTTCACATCAAGAACCAGATGTCGGAGCACAGCGAGCTGAAGACCGAATTTTTCCAAAACGCCATTTCGTTGGACAAGCTGTTCGCCATGGTGGACGAGGGGGAGGGAGAAGGTGTTGTCGCAGAAGAGGATAGAAGTACTCGTCAAGGTCGTTTCATCGACCATCAAGTTAAAAATTCTGAACTCTTCCTGTTCGACAGGAAGTACGTGTTGCCGGCGTTGCGGTTGCTTGGTGGGGCTTTCCACGAGGAGGAGGTAGAAGCAAATGCAACTGGAACTGCAGCTGCGGATGATCGTGCGGAAGGAGCTCCTCCTGCAGGACGTGAAGAAGACCAAGATCTCTCTTATGTCCTCCGAGCCCGGTTTCTCGCGTTTGTTTTCCACCTGATCGCGGAGATGCTGCTGTGTATGGAACAAAGCCTCGTGCAGCACAACGACTTGTGGGCCTACAACATTCTCTTCGTCCCCAAGTACCGGAAACTGCTGGTTCTTGACTGGCAATTGGCGCAGATCCGGGCGAGGAGGGGAAGCTTTGTGCCGAAGGAACTAGTACCGGTGACGCGGTTTGTGGGGGGAGAAGGTGTATTAAATAGCCAGCAGGACGAAGATCGTGCAGTTACTAAAGTGTCACCAGCAGCAGCAGTGAACGATGCCCTAAACTTGGTCGAGTCGGAATATAACCAGAATTTTTCCGGTGATTTGAACTCTGCAGGAGCGGATTCCGCGGCATTGGAGCACTTGCTCGACGACGACGAACATCAAATCGTGCAGGGTGAGGAGGGTGCAAAAATAGCAGCAGGTTCAACATCAGAACAAGCAGGGGAACAAATAAACGAAAGGCGAACCACCAGCGGCACGACCTCTTCCAGTGACAACTCAGCTTCGGATGAGTTGTCTTCTACCCCCGCGAAATCATCATCTTCCCGGGCAGCGCTGTTAATCCACCGTGCGTTCCGGTTCCTTCGCAGATACGGGTTTGCGAGCACGGAGATTTTCCCCGACCTGATTTCTCCCTACACGCCCGTGGAGGGGGGGGATAGAAATGCACATGCAGCGTCGAATGGTGCCACTCCAAGCCGAAACCAAAAACCACTTTACGTGGAGCCAAAGTCTGACGGATACATGCTCAGCTTCCAGCTGGAGGAATTGTTGAAATGCGTCGAGGACCCTTCTTCAGGAGAGCACGACCTGATGAAGGTTACAGAAAGAACGCTGTGCGAGTTGAAGCAAAAGTACCGCTGGGTGGTTTCTTTCTTGCGGCATCGGGAGGAAGAAAGAACAAGCTCTTCCAGCTGGCCCCTGGAGTGGCTCGCAGAGCGGCTGAAGCAGAACTTTATACAGTTTGCGGGGGTCTTCGGGCGAGACCACAGGCGGACGGATATTGATAGGGCATTAATATAGCAGCATAGAGAGCAGCAGCCAGCTGCAGATGGAGATAAGTAGCATTTTCATCACCCGTCGAACAGCACCACAGCAATTTCATACAATCTTCGACATGTGTTCTGCTGTTGAGAAGCAGTAGAAACGAAATCATGTTCATCTTCACATCCGATCAGAACGCCGTGATTTGAAGTTGCTCCTGAGGTGGACGAGCACTGCTTATCCGGTATAGATACTGAGAAAAAATATAGAGAGCGACTCCGGTGATGAAAACTTGGATCGTTTTTTTTTTTGATGAAGACCACAGCTGTATACTTTTTTTGCCCAGCACCCGACGATCTCTTGTATGCCTTTGAAAGACTGGTAAAATCTTCACAGCAACCTGAAATTTGAAGGAGGCGAAGAAGTTCCTGAAGCATATCACTTTCCTTTCTCCGCACAATATTATAAAAATATTCGTTTCCTCTCAGTAAGTCTGCGGTCGAGTAGTTCCTGCTCTACGTTCACCAGAAGTACTTACAGTAGAATCTGTGCCTATCCAAGTGGTCATCAAGAAACCACGAGCAAAAAGTATAGTATCCATTTTCAGATGAAGTTTGGTCGATGCTGTAATTAAACGCACCAAAACAACTACTACATCATCAGCTTTAAAAAACAAGTAGACAACCACGATGGCACCGTCGAAGTCGGAGGTTGAGTTGCGGAAGACTCTCGAGTCCACGCGATCCGGTTCGAAGTCACCACCAAGCGGGGGTGACAAGGAAGCAAAACAAGCGACAGAAGCAGCTGCTAGTACAGATGACTACACGCCATCCGCGTACATTAGCAAAGCGAAGGGGATTCAGCAGTTCGCTCCGATCGCATTGCTACTGGCGAGCAACAAGTACCCCCTGGAGGACTTGGGCGTGAACAATTTTCGGGCGTTGCACGTGATCGTAAACGTGTTTGCACTCCTCGCACTGGTGTACATTCGGCGGGAGATGTTCAACGCCCAGGCAGAAGAGGAGAAGACGGGAAAAGCCCTGCCAGAAGTCGACGTCCCAGCAAAAATGGTGATGGGAGCCGAGCAGACACCAGCGTGTAAAATGGGGAGACTGGTATCGTATTTATAGAAAATTTGTCCTGCTGATCCGGCATGAGACAAACGTGAATTTTTTGTCTTGCATTTTTTCCTTTGGACGATCAAAAATAATCACATTTATACATACATACCGCTCATCAGGAATACGATCTGACGCAGTGGAAGGAGCAGCTGCAGAAGACGGTGATAAGTTGGGGCATGCTGATGTTCATTCACATGCAGTTCGGCGCGCTGCTTCCCCTCGCGTTCCAAATCGTCACCGTACCGCTGGAGCTGATAGTGTCGCCGCTATTCGAAAGCTACGTGGTCAGGAATCAGGTATAGGTTTACTAAGTAGCTTTATTACTGGGCACATCAATTCGTTCACTTAGGGTCCTTCGTTGGTTTGGACGATGAACATGTGACTTCCACAAAGAGTAAGAGTCTCTGCAGTAAGTATCCTGTTTCCGTTCAAAAGTCTTTGCATGCTGCATGCTGCGTAGTTCGACACAGATTGGTGGAAAACCAATGCAATGCTGAATGAAACAGAAACTCAAATAAAATCTTCTATCAGGTTCCAAGGCCTTTCGCCGCCCCAGCCAGCCCGTTCGCAGAAGTGCAAGAGAGGTGGAAGAAGGTACAGGAGGAGATGAAACAAGAACAACAAAAAGTAGAGGAAAAGAAGGAAGAGTAGGGGAACAACCTTCTTCTAAGTACAACTGGTGTGCCATATCATGTTCAGACATGACATATATTCGATGACCACACGTACATGTAGTGTAATAAACGAAGAAAGAAACAAGTGGAAAAAAACCGAAAACAACTCCTTTCATCATTCTTGGGGAGGAGATGGAAGCAGCATGTTCGAGGCAACCTTTTTCGCTGTTCACGTTCTTACACTACTCCGGGAAAAATGTCTTTTTTTGCGTCCTTTTTCTCTGACGAAAATGTGTCGATTTATGATGCAATTTTAGATGTAGGAGGTAGAAGATGGCGACGACGGAAGAAGATGCGATTTTCGTGATCAAGTTTTGTGTTGCGACGATCTGCAGAAAGACGGGAAAAGAAAAAAGCCGTAGCTGGTGTCGGTTTGTTAATATCGTTGCGTTTCGTAGTTTTCAAATATGTTGGGAACTGATCTTCCATTTGCTGCAACCTACCGGAAATTAGTACAGAGCAAAATTATACCTGAAATTTAAGTTTTCACCTGCGGACTGGCTACAACAAGTTCTACAGATACATACAGCTGTTTGATGTCGAGATTTCCTGCAAAATTACCTTCTGTCCTTTTCCGTCCCCGTACGTGCCTGTATGAAACAAGCAGTGCTGTTTCAGTCTGCTGCACAGATCTTCATCTTCGTAGAAAATTTCCATGTACACAACTCCAACTGCAAATAATGGTCGAGACAACAACCTCGAAGCTTTCCTCCACTCCCGGAAGCACAAGCAGCATATTAACCTGCACCCCCGAGTTGTATGTCCGAAGCAAACAGCATCGAAGGGGGGAAAGCACTTCCTCTCCGATCACGGAGCAGAAGCGAAGACACAGCAGCAGCTTCCTCGAACAAGACCGCTGCGCTTCTACAGAAGATGACGGGGGAAAAAATGGGGAAAATAATCCCCTGCCGCACTACGTTGTCCTGGCGCTCGGGTCGAACGAGGGCCCGAACCGAGTCCGCCACTTGGAAGCCGCGTTGCGCGATCTCGGGAACCAGCCGGGGATTCAGCTGCAGAACACGTCGAGTTTATACGAGTCCCGGGCGCAGCCGAAGTTCGTGGAAAAAGCGAAGAGTTCCGCGACGACAAATAAAAGGGTCGACCGCGGCGGTGCTGGAAAAGTTATCGATTTGGCAAGCAAGGAGGAGGAAGCAGCTGAATCAGGATTACCTCGTCCTGCGGCGCTGGCTAGTACAACTGAGAGGAGCACAACATCATCTTGCAACTACTCCCCCAGTGCTGCATCATCACCAAAGACAACAAACACAAATAACTACCTGAACGCGTGCTGCAGTCTGCTTACCTCGCTGACACCCACCGCCCTGCTGGAAGTTCTGCTCGACGTGGAGCGCCGGGGCGGGCGAAGGAGACGAGGAACAAGCGAAGACGGGCTGGGGGCTCACGGTTGTGATGAAGATGATCTTCATCTTCGCAGCATTCAAAACCATGATAACAGTAACGACGACCGGACGAGCAGCGGCCATTTGCAGGGGAGTGTGTTGGACCAGAAAGACGAGAAGCCAAACTACATCCCCCCGGCACGGACGGTGGACTTAGACATTCTGCTGTTCGACGACGATATTGTGAACATTAGCAAGAACAACGAGGCGCCAGAAGATGCAGAGATCCTCGCTGTGGCAAGAGGGGATAGAAGCACGAAGCCGCGAGAAGAACGCGACCGCCACAACGTTTCACGCCTCGACCTGCAGATCCCACACCCGCGCATGCTGCTCCGGGATTTCGTCCTGGTCCCGCTGCAGGAGCTGCTGCGCGCCGACCGGCGAGAACACACGCAGCACCCCGTGACGAAGGAGGTTCTCTGCGCCCTCCCGATGCCCGACGGCGCGCGCGGCCCGTCGCGGTTCCTACCGGGGCTCGGCACGCTGGCCGGGGCGAACGAGGCGTGGTTGATGGGCATTTTGAACACGACGCCCGACAGCTTCAGCGACGGCGGACTGTACGTCGACGCTGCGGTAGCGTTGCAACGGGCGGAGGAAATGCGCGCGCAGGGCTGCCATATTGTCGACGTGGGCGGGGAGTCCAGTCGCCCCGGGGCGGAGCACGTGGCTCGCGAGGAGGAGCTCGAGCGCGTGGTGCCCGTCTACGAAAAGCTCGGGGAGAAAGGCATCCCGTTTTCCGCCGACACGCGGAAAGCGGCGGTGGCGCGGCGGGCGCTGCAGTGCGGAGCGGTCTGCGTGAACGACATCGAATTCGGAGGGTATAGTGGGAGAACATCTGTTTTCGCTGGCTCGGGTGGTGAAAATAAAGTAGACGAAATACATCAAAAGTTTCGAGGTCGTGCTGGTGGACAGGACAATTCTAGTAGAAGTGAAAAAAACGACATGTTTGCACTTTTGAGCGACGGCATTCGAAATGTCTCTGGGATACGGGGCGGATTGAGTAATAGGGGTGTTGTTCATCCGTCGTGTAGTGAGAGCCACACAGACGAGAAGGTGGACAGCACCAGGAGCAGCGGACTGACTGTTCCTGAGAGCGACGAGTTTTTCTACATCGGTATGCACATGCGGGGCGACTTCAAGAGCATGGATTTTTTGACCAACTATGGCGAGCAGGGGAAAGACATGGAAAAGAGCAGGAGTTGTGCTGCAAATGCAAAAATAGCGGATTCGAGCGGAGGCAACACTGCTACACCGAGACGGAATTACAGTTCCGACTTGGGAACAAGCAAGCACGTTGGCGACGTTAGCAGCGGCGGCCAAGAAGTCGCAAGGGGACGAGGTGGCGGTGCTTCACTATCGCTGGTCGTCGCGCACTTGAATGAGTTCTTCGAGGAACGGCTGCGGGTGTTATTTCGCAATTACGACGTGCCTCCGTGGAGGGTGGTGTGCGACCCAGGACTCGGGTTTGCGAAAACGCCGGAACAAAGTTTGGAGATCGTGCGCCACGCGCGCGAGCTGTGGCGTCCGGTGCAGTGCTTCGGACACAGTCGGAAACGCTTTGTCAGTTTTGCACAGGGTTCCGGCGCTCAATGGCACGCTTCGGGGAAGCAGACGCTGCCAGGAAACCTCGCACTGACCTGCGCGTTGGCGGGGAAAGTGGATTTTCAGTGCATGTTTCGAGTGCACGATGTGCAGGAAACGCAGCAGGCACTAGTCGCATTTGCGCACTCCATCAGTTCTGTGTAAAAGGCTATCTACAACTGTTTTGGCATTTTTAGCTGATATCGAAGGATAGTCACCACAGTACTCAAAACAAACAAGAGGTCGTGAAACGAATACACACAGACTCGAGGCCGTGGCCGCATTTAGTTGTATTCACGCAGGCAAAAGTGAAGTTGTTTATCGGAGGTTTGGCAAGACCGACAGTGTTCGAGCTGTTGTGCCATCGTGCGGGCTCTTTCGTCGTGCTGCTTAGGCTTTGTAGCTTTTGTCCGCAATCCATCGCGCCTGTTGGGTTACTAGATGAAGAAATTAGAAGTGGTGGCGCTTTCTTCGTACGCGATTCGCGATTCGACGAGCAGTTTCGCGAAGTCGCCGGGACCAACCTTGGGGGGCAACCTTGGGGGGCCACAACAAAGCCTCTGTGCCCCGTCGGTGCTGAACGCGAAGCGCGGCGTGAGCCTCAGAGCTCTTTTAAGAACCAGCGCGTCCTGGCATACGTGCCCGCCCCCGAGTTTCAGAGGGACTTTCTTCATAGCCTGCGCAAGTACGTACTTTGGACATGTGCATGTATGCTTTATTTTCACTGTTAAAATAAGCGAGCGTCCATGAATGCGACTAAGTCTAGTACCACTGTTAGTTTCTTCACGTTCGAAAGCTACACAGAGTTCCAGGCTTCGCCAGCTCATACGTAGCAGAAATCATGTTCGTTCCGAAGAGCCACCCCGTAGCGGTTTTCGGTTCTTGCGGGAGTCTTGGTCGCGCAACCGTCACGGATATCAAATGCAAAAATGTCTGGGTCTGGAAGAGTTGGAACTTGTCATGCGAATTCTGGAATAGGCAAAAATTTGTATTGCATAAGCACCAAAAGCTTCCCATTTCTTGCTACGCAAATAGGGAATTTTTCATGCGGGATAGACATCAGGAGGCCTGTGCAAAACCTATAATGCTTTCGCGTGCATTAGAGACCAGGTGCGTGATCCAAGAGATGCATGACAAACTCCTGCAATCTTCCAGACCCAGACATTTTTGCATTTGATAACGGAACTGCGCAGAAGAGGTTTTCCTCACCTGCTGGGAATCGATGTGGGGTCCGAAAACGCGGAGTGCACAGCCAATTTGCAGCTTTCATCCAGTGCTGCCGCCGATGGCCAAGTTTCATCTCTGCGGCTGCAACAGAGTTCCGTTCTCGACGCGGTGGCGAAAGTCGTAGCAGAAAGAGCCGCGCAATCCTCAGCTGCATCCGCCGCCACCCCCTCCAGCAGCTCCACTGCCACCACTCCCCAACTCTCCGCGGTGCTGTGCCTGGCCGGCGGCTGGGCCGGCGGAAACGCCGCGAGCGAGGATCTGTTGCCAAATGCCGAGGCGATGATAGCAAGTTCCCTGTACGCGTCGCTGATCAGCGTCAGCGTCGCCGCCCGGTTCAACACGCCGCTCGTGGTGCTGCCGGGCGCCGCACCGGTACTGGGAGCGCAGGCTTGTCCGCCCTTCATGCTGCCCTACGCCGTCGCCAAAGCGGGTGTACACCAGTTGCTCGCCTCCGCGAGCTCGGACCTGGCTACGGCGGGCCTGCCCGTGGAGACCAAGCTCATGGGCATCGCGCCGCGCACGTTGGACACCACGGTACAGCACAGAAGTTGATGCAGTGTCGCTTTTTACTCAAGACTATTCTTTTCTGGTGAAATCGAAGTGAAATCACATTGGCATAAACGAGTCGAAGAAGCTTTAGTTACACTGCGGATCGTCGTCAGTACTTTCCACTACTTACGAACTTCGCCAAAAAAGAAAGATAATCAAACCCTAAAGGTAAATCGGCAGAACATGCCTGACGCGGATTTTTCATGTTGGACGCCTCTGCCGGAGCTAGCGAGGCAGCTTGCGAACTGGGTAGAGGAGCCGAGCAAAGTTGTCGCCGGTAAAATGTACGAAGTAGTCACGGAAAGCGGGAAAACGGAGTACCGCTAGAAGTCTGGAGATGGTGCGAAGAGGGAGGAATCTTGTATACCTTTTCGTATCCGTCCTGTGTACCAATATACAAACTTTAAACACTTGCTCAACAGTCTGCCAACCCGTTTCCGAAAAAGAGGCAGATCGTTTTGTTCGCACAAACACGAACTCCGGTTGTAGAATTGAGATCGTGCCAGCACCACATGCACTGGTGCTGCAAAATAACTTGAAGAAGGGAAATATGGTAGAAGATTTCCTCGGCAGCGGCTTTGTTGTAGAGGCATTCATTGCAGCAGATGCAGATGAGTGAAACGCTCTGAGTCTGCTTTTTGTCTTTGTGCCGCGTAAAGACGCAATGTAGAAGACGCTTCGCTGGTGTTCCTCGATCGCATTGGCAGCGATGTTTTTGGTCTGGATTTCAGACGAAATGACGTATCTTTTGGTTGCTGTTCACAGGAGTGAACAAGAAAGAGGACCACGAGAGAGAAAGTACATACATGGTTGTTCACTTTTCCTTCGTTCCTTTTGCCGAGCGAAATGTGCAATTGTCTACTCTGCGTTTCGCCTGACAAGTTGACCGCCCGACGGTGCTCTCTACGCTTCGTCCAGGAAATGAGAAATGAGATTCGCCTATTGAAACAGCAAAAACGTCCTTCCACCTCGCCGATTCGATTTCATTTTGCTGCTTCGTAAAAATCTTCCACAAGCTGCTGGTCGTGGAGTTTTTGCACTTATTATCGAAAACAAGTGTGCTGGCGCAGTCCAGAGCAAGGAGGGAGAGGTTTTTCTCTACCAGTTTGCAGTTCAACAGTGCATCTGAAACAAGTGATGCAACTCCACGACAGTAAACAAGCGAACAAGCATCTTTTATGTCCTAATCGGAAAGCAGTTTAGTCCATCATGAATTAAAGTTAAAGTACTAGGTTGGCAACAACATTTTGAGAACATCATTTCCAGAGGAAATTCTAGGAAATAGCTGCGAGGAGATCACACTTCAGAAGATGGGGAGCTCGATCTACTGTTGTTGTAGGCCGTCGGTAGAGCCAGATCATGAAGTGGAAGTCATCCAAGAGCCGATAAAGCCGATAACTTTGGGTGGGACACGAAAGGGTTGCGTCCCTGACCCCCATGTCGAGGTTAATTGGAGAGGGATGTCTGGTTGGGTTGACCGGATGCGCGACTATCGCAAGGAAAAAATCTCCGAGCAGACGGCCCCCGGGGAACCGTGGCCGTGGTCGTCTTGCGGCTGGTATACCGATTATTCTTCCACTTCGTCTTCCCCTTCCGAGTCCATCGTTGACAACAAACCGACTGAAGAACAACAACAAAACAACTGGAAATTGTTTCTGCAGAGCGTCCCGGGCTATGGATTGCAAAAATAAATGCCTGGGTCTGGAAGGTTGCAACTTGTAATGCTAATTCTGGATCGTGCAAAAATCTGTGTCGCATGAATGCCAAAAGCTGTCCACTTTTAACCAAGTAGAGAGGAAGTTTCTCATGCAGGATAGGCATGATACGGATCTCACAGAATCTGTCATGCTAGGTCCTGCATTCCAGACGACATGGATCATGGAAAATCTGCACGACAAGCCTGGGAATCTTCTAGACCCAGACATTTTTGCATTTGATAGGGGCCTGGACAAAGCAATAAACGATGACATTTTGGTTGAGGCGCAGATGCTGAACAAGCAGAACGAGTACAACCTCGGTCAGAGGCAGAAGAAAGTGATCTGGGGATATGTGGAGCGGAGGATCTTGGAGCAAAAGCTGACGAAAATGTCGGGCAAGATTCTGGACACTCATCCGGGCTGGACAACGAAGTGGAACTTCGACGATGAAGACATCAGCGGCAATAAAGATAGAAAGAAGGAACGGGATACCGCTTTTGCCGAGGTCGAGGAAGCCTCGGGCCTCCTCCCAGGAACTCTGCAGGAAATCAAACAGTCTTTCGAGAACAAGAGCAAGCACAACCAGTATCAGTTGCAGTTTGAAATAAGGCAGACGGAACCGAAAAGATGTGCATTAGTGCTGCGCACTGCGACTTATAAGTATGAATTGTCTGGGGCCTTCGATAAAAAGGTGATTACGGTCGAAGGAGGTGTTGACTACAAGGAAGATGCTTCTGGAGGTGGATGGGATTCGGATTCGCCACCACGACGTTCTGCGGCTTCGTCAGCGCTGGAGATTCCAGCAGCAGCGTCCTTCTCCACCGGCTCTTCGAACAATTTCCAATCCTACGAGAGCATCATCGAGCAGCAGTTTTTTAACAAATTCAACGACATCTCCCCCAACATCCCCCCCCCCATCATGTCCAACACCGCGCTACTGATTACATTCTGCCGGGCCTGTCGTGTCTCGGGCTTGTTTTGCTGGTGATTCTGTTCTACCATTACTGGCGTTCCTGCTGCAACTGCGCCAAGCGGTGCCCGAAGTTTTGTTGTTCTTGCAACCCGAAGATCAAGGGCGGGAAAAAGTCTTCGGGTAAGCGCACCAAGAAACGGTCGGAGGACGCGGAGATCAAGGGGAAGCTTGGAGGAACTTCGGAAGGAGGGAAGAAAGGACTTTGCTCGGGGGAAAGTAGTGGGATTTATTGCGACCGTAGTTTGTCGAACATCAACAACGGAAGCACGGTGTCGGAAGGAGGAGGCGCAACGGCCTCGCTATTTGACGACGGAGAGGAGGACGGTGAACAAACGTACCCGAAGGACACGGCTTTGCAGTTCAACTCGGACGCGGAGTCCTCATCTGATTCGTCGTCTGATTCGGACGGAGATGAAACCGAATTGCAAGACGTGCTCGAGGGCGAGGGAACGGGTGGCGCGGCTGGTAGGAGCATGACGTTTGGCGAGGGGGCGGATTTTGAAGCGGAGCAAGAGCGCATCACGTCCTCGTCCTTCGCGTGCTCGCACTACGGCAGCGGGAACACGAGCGGTTCCGTGTTACCCTAAAACACGGGCCGACGAGTACAACTGAAGAGTAAATCGGAGAACAACTTCTAACGAATTTTTCAAAGAACGAAACTGTACCTACACCGGAAGGCGATTTAAAAGAAGATCTAGACGAGCATACGGAAAGAAGTACGGCTGTAAAAGTGTAATAATAATGAGTAACAGAACGAAGAAAAACAGAATCAGATCGGAACAACGGAACATAGCACGGGTTTTCCTTTACGTCCCAGACAAGCAGTGTTTTGAAGAGTCGACTACTCACCAATGCGATTGCAGACGGATGCGGCGCCGCAAATTCTTTGATCGATGCTGACAGTGGGTGTTGCTGACGTGAAAGGGCGTCGGAACACGTATTTTTTTTTGTTTTGGTGGTTCTTTGCGGTGTGCTCCGTGCATACGCAGATGTCGAAGTCGACTTTTAGGAAAGTTAAATTGATTGTGAAAACAACTCTATTTCATGCCAACAGTAGCACTAAACACAAACAGGTCTACTATTCCCTCTCATATTTCTTCGTCGAGTCGGCGGACTGTTTGCGGTGGCGCGTTTCGTACATCCTATGTAAAAGCGTCCCCACACCAGAGTTGTAATGCAGATTTGCAAAGACAGGAAGACTTGTAATGCGCATCCCCATGAGAGCCATTTCCAATCGTGTTTAGGAATTTGTGATGCTCTGAACAGGATGAGCAGATGAATCTGTGATGCGGCTGCACTTGCTAACCTGCCCTACACTTCGGAGTGCAACTTGTCATGCGTGACTCACAAAACTCCCAGGTTTGTGTTGCAAAAGCCCCATCCTGACTCTGGTGTGGGGATGTTTTTACTTAGGATATCGTAACCATGTACTCTATCGCGCTGCTTCGAAGAAGATCAAGACGAGCCGCATTTTACGCAAAACGATTTGGAAGGAGAGCAGCAATATTTAACTGAGCTAGGAGAAGGTATAAAAATTTTCTATAGTTTTCGTTTTGTTGCAGCATATGTTATCATGTCCGTGCGGTTCATCTGCTATGGGAAACAATGTCTCGATCCGCGGCCGCGACATAATTTTGCAGTTACGGCACACACACAACAAGACGAAAATCTAGTAGAAGTCAAAAAATTCACAAAACAGATGTGCTGTTATTTTTCCGGTTCGTCCATCCTCGGATACTACGAGTACGACCTACCCGAGCCTACCCTGAAGGAACTATCTACTGACCCAGTTTAAACAACTTGAACTTTTGTGAAAAGCCCATTTCGCACATCTGTTGCTCTACATGCGCCTGCGGTTTACTTCTAAACCGAGCTTCGAGAAAAACCGCGCGCACCTCCGCCACATTGCCTCTGAGTCAACTTCAACGCTGAGGAGGTATCTTTCTAGCGTAGATAAGCATGACGTTGTATTGGTCGGGAATGAAGATGTGCGATAGTACGCTCTGAATGTTTCAACTCCATGACAAATAGTACTGCAAAAACCAAAAACACAGATCCGGTTCGCCATTGTTTTCCAACGACGAGAGGTTTCGGAGCATTCGCGAATAAAGGTTTGATTTTAAGCGATAAGGAGGACTCGGATTGGGGCTGCCATGTTGAAGAGCAAGATGACCTTAGGTATTCTTTATTTCGTTTTGTTTAGTGAAGAGGAAGTTTATGACGTGTTCGATTCGGGTACATTATTTTTGGAGACCGGTACCCCCGCCTCCCGCCCTCTCGCCCGCTGCGTATTTCGCTTACAGGAAGCCCCCGCCCTCCGCCAGCCGCCTCCGCAGGGGGCCCCCGCTCCCTACCCGGGCCGCCCGCCTGGTGAAACAGGGGGCCCCCGCCCCCCGCTCTCGCGCCCGCTGGGCATCCCGGCTCCGCAGGGGGCCCCCGCCCTTCCGCCCCCGCAGGGGGGCCCCGCTCCTCTTCCGGGCATCCAGCCGGAGATCACAGGGGGCCCCCGTCCTTCCACCTCCGCAGGAGGGCCCCGCTCCTCTCCCGGGCGGGCCGCCCGCCACCGCAGGGGGCCCCCGCTCCTCTCCCGGGCCGCCGGCCGGAGGTCACACACAGGGGACCCCCGTCCTTCGCCGCGGTAAGTCTCTCCCGCCCGCAGGGGGCCCCCAGCCTCCACCTTTGGTGTCCAGAGGGGCCCCCCGCCTTTCTCTCCCGCGCGCAGGGGGCCCGCGCCCCTGACTCCTGGTCTTCGAGGGGGCCCCCCGCCTTCCTTTCCCATTCGCAAGGGCTCCTGTCAAGTACATCGCTCCGCGCCCGCATGCAACCGGGGAACGCAGCGGGGGCCCGCCCCGCATTCACCCCCGCTTCCGCAGGCAGGGAGCTCGCGGGCGCTGGCGCCCTGCCCTCCCAAGTGGCAACACATTCATGGGCCCTCGGCGGCTGAAGTAAACCAGTAGCGCCGCCTAGGCCTCTGCGCGGGGCCAACCATAAATACGCGGCTGGAGCAACCAGCAGCGCCGCCTAGTAGGCCTCCGCGCGGGGTCTACCGCAAATACGCGGCTGTACGTAGCAGGGCAGACGTACGCAAAGGCCCGCGAATAACGCCTGAACACACGGCGACGGTGGGCACAGAGTTGGACAGGCTGCCTGCGGCCGCCGACGTGGAAATGCTGCCGGCGCGTGCCGAGGTGATCGGCAGGGGCGGCCTGCGCGAGCGGGGGGCCTCTGCAAGAATTAGGGGAAGCAGCCCTGTTGGGCTGCCACACACTGGGGTCCATGTTGGTTAGACAGACCGCGTGACTTTTGTGTTAGTTGGTTGGTTGTCAATTCGTATTGACAACCAACCAGAACTCAAGCGTAAGGCGAATGCACAAGCAAGGGCCTGTACCTGAGAGGCACTCCGCGCGACAGGCAAAGCCCAGCAGTGTGGTGGGGAATACTGCCAACATGCGCCGGCGCAAGCACTGCGCGCGCGCGGGAAAATATTGCCCCCAAGCGCGGGCGCCCACATGTGCCAGGGCACGCAGTGCGCCGAGCAATCGAAGCCGAGCTGTTAGGGTGTGCGGAGTCTGACCCGCGCCGGTAAGGGCTACCACGGAAAAAGTAGACACGCGCCCGGGTGCGCCACGGAAATACTGCCCAAATGCGCCGCGGTGCGGTTTAGCGCGATGCCAACCGCAAGCGTGGCGCGAAGCGTTGCTTGCAAGAGGAGACGCTCCGTGAAACAGGGGCCACACCGTCGCGACTCTCAAACGCGACGGCCGCGACAAACCACGGAAACCAACGAACTCCGGACGCCGGCGCTATAGATACTATTGGGGTCATTCGAGATAAAGTCGCAGCGCTTGTTCCGATTTGTGTCACGGCGAGGCACATCGTGAAAAAATGACCCTGCCGCCGTGATTCGGCTGCGCGGCTTTCGCGAAGTATCGCGGAAAAGCAGGACAAACCAACTCCGAAAAAAAGGCCCGTAGCATCGCGATTCGCGACGCAAGTTGTCTGCTTTTTCACGATTTTTTTCACGGTGAAAATCCTCGTGAAAAAGAGACCATACCGTCGTGATTAGTAGTCAAGACAATGGATTTTTTCACGATTTTCACCAGTTTCACGAGAACTTCCGGGATCCCAGAAATCCCGGGATTCCGGAAAGACGTGAGTAAAAGACAAAAGCAAAAACCAGAAGACTTTGAAGGGCCAACCCGCATGGTATGGCGCGCGTAGGCTACTGGAATCCTTATATTTTCGCAGTGTAAAAAAAGCCGCTCCACGAGGGCACCACGCCCGGGTATATACGCAAGGTCTGACCCCAATCACGACGCTAGTGCGAATAATTCTAGGCCTCAGCGCGTACCGTTCTGGATTTTTGACAAGGTGTATTAAACCCAGGGAGCACGGACGACAATACTTACCAACACTTCAAACAGGCCTCGTCTTCGCTTCCTCTGCCTTGCATCTGCCGATAGAAGACATCAAGCCTGTGGTCCTCATAGCAACTGGAACCGTGGAACCGTCCACATTTGGGATGAAGCTATGAGGTATGACTGGACTTTCATCTTGGGCAACTATGCGGTTTCCTATCGTGCTAAATTGAAACTGCTGTGGTGGAGGTTTTTGTTTTCCCCGTTCCAAATCCGCAAAAAAAAAAAAAAACAGACCGCCACGCTTTGTCCGAAGCACATTCTTCAAAGAAAGAACCAGAAAGGTTCTGGAAGTGAAGGTTGCTGCGCGCGAGTCTTCTTGCAGCCTCGCGAGGATTGACGAAGGTGTTGCCGCGAGGGAGGAGCGTTCGTTGTGTGGGTTTCACAAAAACAAAAATCTAATGATTGTTTCGAATAAAGCTGTATACATTGTTTCGAACTCCATTTGTTTCGAACTCCGATTTGCAAAATATGACCTCAAAAATTCGAAGAATGAAGTAAACCCGTTTCAATCATGTTACCATTTTCTGTAGCAATGCTGACGTAACAAGCAAATACAAATAGCTCCTACTCACCTACGGGAAAATTATTGAATCAATGTAAATATTCCAGGTGGAACGTATTGCGATTGTAAATTACCCTCAGGCTCCTACTCTTGGGTGTGCCGCTAAGTAAACTAAATTCAATCATTATTACCCGAAAGTAAATTGAAATTCAAATTACCAAGAATACGGACAAGAATTGGATGTAACAACAAAAGCGAAAACTCACGAGAATCCCTCGATTGTATGATATTGGTGGATTTAAAGGCGAAGGCGCAGGGACAAGTGGTGAAAAAGCCAATGAATGCGGTAACGACAAAAAAAAGTGAAGGTGATTTAGCTCCGTAGAGTGCGGTCACTTATCCTTGTCGCTTTGAGTAGACGCCGGCTCCCTCGCTGCTTCTCTGGCGCTGTGGCCGTGTTTTCAGTTATTTGGAATTCCACTGGGGACGACGAGAAAGATATCACGGCGATCCTGTAAGAAAGGTTGAAAAAAACGATGATCACGAGATTATCGGTCACTTACTTTCCCTACTTCCTTACGCCAATTAAAGCAATATGGGCAACTGTCTAATCTGCGTTTCGCCCGACAAACTCACCGCCGTCGAGCGGTGCGGGAAGTACGAGGGCATCCGACAGCCCGGTTTGCACGTGCTCGGGGCGGATGTGTTTGGGTGTTGCATCCAGACCCGGTCGGTCTCCACGCGAATCCAGCAGAACCAGGTGACCTGCAGCACGAAGACGAAAGACGACGTGTTTGTGGAGTTTGTGATCGCGGTGCAGCAGGAGGTGATCCGAAGCAAGTATCAACTGCAAATTTATCTGTGTGGTCTTGAAGTAAGATGATATGCTTGGCTGACAAGGTTTGTTATGCTTGGCTGACGTGCCTCTAAGCTCTCTCATGCTCGGCGGTGCATGGCTCTCTTTTCTTATCATGCAAAAAGAACGCAGTTTGTGTTTTTCGTGCCGGTCACGCGGTGGATACCATATCTCCAGGAGAACTTCTCATGCTTGACTGCGTACTGAAGTGTGCGCGTTGTTCAGAAATGAGCATGACAAGTTTCAGACCCAGACATGTTTGCCACTTGATGGTAAGGCGGAGGACGCGATCTACCGGCTGTCCAACCCCCACGTGCAGATTGACAGCTTTGTCACGAACGTGATCCTATCAAATGGAGAAATGTCTGGGTCTGGAAGAATGCAAGTTTGTCATGCTAGTCTGGCATGACTCGAGAATCTGTGTTGCATAGGCAAGAAAGAGCCCTCCTATCTGTCATGCGAAAAGGCAGTTTATCATGCGGAGTACGTAAGACATGGCAGCCACAAAATTTGTCATGCATAGCTGCGTATTGTGGCGCGCCTATCATTCACTTTTAGCATTACAAGTTTCCAGACCCAGACATATTTGCAATCCATACATCCGGTCCTGCGTCCCGAAAATGACGTTGGATGAAGTTTTTGCCGCGAAGGACGAACTGGCCGTGCAGGTGCAGCAGGACTTGGAGTCGAAAATGACCGAGTTCGGGTTTCAGATCCACTCCGCTCTCGTGGTCGACGTGAATCCAGACGGAAAGGTGAAGGACGCCATGAACCAAATCAACGCGAATAAGCGGCTCAGGCTCGCGGCCGCGGACAAGGCAGAGGCGGATAAGATCATACAAGTATTGATTAGAAGTACGTGGTTTTCATCTGTTTTGCCTTCGTTTAAAAAAGAGAAGATGGAAAAGTGACGCAACATGGTCCTTGTTATAAATAACAATGTCGTCGTCCTAGTCCTTCATTCTGGTACTAGCTGTGCCTCCCCGACGTGTTGTATCACCCCCAGGTGAAAGCCGCGGAAGCGGAGGCGGAGTCCAAGTTTTTGCAGGGGCAGGGTATAGCCAAGCAGCGGGCCGCCATCGTGGAGGGGCTGAAAGCATCTCTGCTGCTTATCCCGTGTAAAAACGGTCCCACCCCAGAGTTGTCATGCAGATTTGCAATGACAAGCGCAGCGCCATGACAGGCATTTCCAATCGTGTTTTGGAATTTGTAATGCTGTAAAACAAGACAATTGGATTTGTAATGCGGCTGTCCTTGGTAACCTGCACTACACTACGCGCTGCAACTTGTCATGCGTGACTAACAAAGCTTCTAGGTTTGTGTTGCAAAATCTCCATCTTCTTGACTCTGGGGCGGGGACGTTTTTACTCAGGACACTGCTTCAGGACGGCCACGCGAGTCCGGAGAAAGTCACCGAGCTCCTGCTGCTCACCCAGTTTTATCAAATGCAAATATATCTGGGTCTGGAAAGTTGTGGTGCAAGTCACTGAATGATAAACGCACTGTAAGGCGCCACCAAGCATCACAACTTTGTTCATGGTTCTGTGTTGGCATTATATTTCGCATGAGAACAAACTGCGGGCTGCCACGCAATACAGATTCCAGAGTCATGCCAGACTAGCATGACAAATCTGGCAATCTCCCTGGCCCAGACATAATTGCAGTGGATAAGTTTTTCGACACGCTCGAAAAGATGGCCCAGGGGACCGCAACGACGATTTTCATGCCCCACGGGCCCGCGGGGATGACCAGCATCGCTGACCAAATCCGCAACGGCGTCATGGAAGGCAACGCCGGCAGTGGAGGCGGCCCGCTCGGCGCGCCAAGGCAAGTCAGAATTTAAATACAAGCGTGTAAGTTTTTGGAGGTTTCCGAGAAAAAAACCTTGTCACTTCACACTGTGTGACACACAGTTTTTCAAAGACGCTGTCCTAGATTGATTGTGTCACGATCATCCCTGTTATACCAGGTCCGTGTAATTATATCATGGCTCTACCTCTAGCCGAGGTTCTTGTGGCCGCTGCACCGGTCTGGTTTTCGTCAAAATTTTTAATAGGGTAAAAAATCTAAATCCCAGTCATCTGTCCTCCGTACTGGAAGCGAACGAGAGCAAGGTCTTTCAAGATGTTGAGCGCAAAAAGTAGAATTCCGCGGCTGCAGTGTAAGTAGTAGCTTCGCCGAATTCGAGCGATATGAGAGACCGGATACTTTGTGTTACTGTGCGGCCAGTCAGCGTCACTCCAAACTCCTATATCCTCTCTTCATTGGCGGGATTGAAGTGGAAGCACATCTTCCCGGGACGTAAATTTTTGAATATGCTACACCATTCAATTGTCTTTCAATTCGATTCCAAAAATGCAAATTGTCCTCCAGATGGACCATTTTTCTAAGCAGGTGATGAGCACAGCGAGTACTCGTTTTCTTTTTTCTCCAGGATGAGCCTCCCGCGCTCCTTATCCTGAGTAAAAACGTCCCCACACCAGAGTTGTAATGCAGATTTGCAAAGACAGGAAGACTTGTAATGCGCATCCCCATGAGAGCCATTTCCAATTGTGTTTTGGAATTTGTGATGCTGTGAACAGGATGAGCAGACGAATCTGTGACGCGGCTGCACTTGCTAACCTGCACTACACTGCAGAGTGCAATCTGTCATGCGTGGCTCACAAAACTCCTAGGTTTGTGTTGCAAAATCCCCATCCTGACTCTGGTGTGGGTACGTTTTTACTCAGGATACTCCTCCTCCGCTTCCGCTGACCATGGTCCACTTGGATTACCGGGCTGCGACGGTGAGCCGCGTTGTCGCGACGGCGGGGAGCATCGCGAACCTGCGGGTGCCGGTCTGTATCCAGTGCAAATATGTCTGGGTCTGGAAGGACGCAACTCGTGCTGCGCATTTCGGATCAGACGAAAATCTGTCATGCATGGACAGTAAAAGTAGCGTGCTCGTCGTCAGGAAAATCCGGGATTTCTCACGCGAGATACGAACTGCTTGAAAACCTCCCGAAAACCTGTGATGCGACGGCTTGCGTGCCGGAGCTTCCTTCTGGGTCATGCAAAAACATTATGACAAGGTCCGCGCTCATCCAGACCAAGACATATTTGCAATGCATAGTCTGTCCCGCGGAGTGGGGCGGGGGGTTCTGCGGGGACGAGTTCCTGCTGGGGAATTCCACAGCCCCCAGTTATCAAAGTGAAAAAAACATCCCTCCCATATCGAAACGAAGTTTCTGATGCTGGATTTGCACACACAAATCAGATTTGTCTTGCTGGAGAGGTGGACTGCAGACCCATAGCAAGCCTGAGCGGAGCGGCTGTGGCATAGGTGCTTAGCATGAAGAACGTCCGCACTGTACGCCCAACAGCATGACAAAACGCCTGCAAAATGCGGCGGAGACTGTGGAGTTGCCTTCTTGCAAGACAGACGCGATTTGTGGTCACAAATCAGCAACGCAAATTTTCGAAGACGTGACGCGCAATATGGGGAGGGGGGATTTTTCCTTGTGATGCCAGCTCCGCGAACACCATTCCCTCCTGCGACGAAGAGTGCCGAACCGGGGACTACGCCCCGGACTGTTATCAAATGCGAATATCCCTGGATGTCTGGAAACTTGCGATGCTGGGTGGCGTATCATGAGGAGCGAGGCCACAAGTGCTGGCTCAGCATGACAAGTTTCGGAGCTTCTAGTTGTTGCCTATTCTGCATGACAAACTGCGTTTCTGCATGACAGAAAAGTGGGGCTCTTGGGTAATGTGCATGACAAATTTAAGAGCCATGTGAGAAAAGCATGACAAACTTGCATTCTTCTAGACCCAGACATTTCTGCTCTTCCCCGTGCTGTTCCAGAAAGTTCAAGTCGTTCTCTTCCCCGTGCTGTACCAAGGTCTTGTTTCCAGACAAAACACCAGACATTTCTGCGGTTGATAACTGTACGCACTTTACCATTGAGAGCATCGACGGCAGCTCTAACCGCACCTGCAGTTTTTTCAGATCCGGCTGCACGCAACCCCTGTCCAATGTCCCCAAGGACTTGAAGACCACATTCGCTTTGGAAAGGAATGTATCACATGCAAAAATGTCTGGGTCTGGAAGAATGCAATTTGTCATGCAGTTTTTGGAGTCTAAAAAAATTTGTGTTGCATGACCAGCAAGAGGGGTGCAATTTGTGCTGCACGGACAGGGCATTTCTCATGCGGAAGGTGCATCAGGAAGCCCTCTAAAAGTCTGCGATGCTAGCTCATGCATTACAGGCGTCATGGGTCATGAGAAATACGCATGACAAATCTTGCATTCTTCCAGACCGAGACACTTTTACATACGATAGGGTCTCAACGTCTGCAAGTCCGCGTTCAACATTCCTCGGATCAAGGAATGCCGGGTGGCGATCGACGGCGGCTGCGTACCGGTATCAAATGCAAATATGTTTGAGTCTGGAATAAATTTGTGATGCTAAAATGTGCATAAGGAATAAAGCACCTCCCTATGCAAGAAAGCATGTGACAGTGACAAGTTTGCAGAAAACTTTCTCATTCGCAAATCGGATGGAAAACTGCGTTTTTTTTTGCCTGCGACTTTTGTTCCTAATTTCCAGACATAGCCATATCTGCAATGCATAGCCGGCTTCCGTCAACAAGACCGAGGAGCAAATGACGATCGCCAAGTATTTCGACCGGGCTTACTCCCTTATCAAATGCAAATATGTATGGGCCTGGAAGGTTGTAACTTGTGATGCTGCCTGTGGATTCTACAAAAATCTGTATTGCATAAGCAGCAGCAGGAGTCCAGTTTTTGCTACGCGGACGGGGAATTTCTCATACGGTATAGGCATGAGGAAGCCCTTGCAAAATCTGTAAGGCTAGAGCATACATCACAGACATAATGGGTCTTCCAAAAGTTGCATGACAAACTCCTACACTCATCCAGACCCAGACATTTGTGCATTTGATATCCCTAGAAGAGTGTCGGTTTCTGTGCAGCGTGACGGACAACTGCGACAGTTTCTTCCTCACCAAAGCTACCGGCGCTTGCGAGCTGAAATACGCGGGCTGCGAGGTGGACTTGGACCTCACCGGGGAAATGGAGGGCTACTACCTCGACCAGTGCACGTATCCAGGAAAAAAAGTGTGTAAGTCGTGTGATTCTTTGATGCAGAAAATGCAAAACAGGATCTATACACTTGTCATGCTGGTGACCAGACATGATACCCTGTCTTCGGACGTTTTTTCTTGCACTAGCTGTGCATGACAGGATTTCTCTGGTGCCATGCAAAACAGGGTTGTCATGCTGACACCAAGAGAAATCTACACTAACACAGTTTTTTTACTTGCACAGCACGATCCGGGGCGAGGTCTGTCCCGCAAAGTTCGTCGGGAACTGCGCGTCCAGTGGGGCGCAAGTCATCCCGGAAGAGGACCTGTTTAAGCAGACGGGCCAGGTGAACCCCCTGGACACGCGAATCCAGCGCCCGGTCAGGTTGACGGATCTGAAGAACTACTGTCGCGGCCGCGGGTTTGCGACGGGGGACGAGGAAAAGCGTATGTGAGAAGAAGACTGTGTATATAAAAGTGTAAGAACTTTGTGTTGCAGATGGTGCGTGATAGAGACTGGCATAGGCGTTTGTTTCACGCACTATCTCCGCGTGACAAATTTGTGATTCTGATAAAGGAGTTACACTAAAAACACAGTGTTCTTTATTTTCCTGCATAAGACGGTGCCAGGGCTTTGCGCGGAGCTCGGAAACGGGGGAGTTGACGTATTACCAGGGGAAGAGCAACTGCGTCGTGGAGGACCCGCCGTCGACCAAGAGTTTTCTCTTTTTCGTATCCCGTGTAAAAACGTCCCCACCCCAGAGTTGTCATGCAGATCTGCAAACACGAGAGCGCTTGTAATGCGCATTCCCATAATAGGCATTTCCGATCGTGTTTTGGAACTTGTAATGCTGTGAGCAGGATGAGCAGATGGATTTGTAACGCGAGTTCCCGTGTTAAACTGAACTATAATACAGCCTGCAATTTGTCATGCGTGACTGCCAAAACTTCGAGGTTTGTGTTGCAAAATCCCCATCTTGACTCTGGGGTGGGGACGTTTTTACTCAGGATATTTCGACTTGGACACGATGGACCAGAAGTGCAAGCGCTTCGTGCCCCGCGTGGGCCCGGCGTCGTGCCCGCGGACGTGGAGCCGTGGTTTCTGCGGCAACGCCGCGGACAAGCAGATCGCGACTGGGGCGGTTTACAACGACAGGATTTACTCCGTGCAAGAGTGCCGGTACTTGTGCTCCGAGACCGAAGCCTGCGGCGGGTTTTTCTTGCAGCACAAAAAGGCGGCCTGCTGGCTGTTCCAGGAGGGCTGCGAGCCGAGCGGGAACGTGACGGACTTCGACTATTACGCCATGAGCTCCTGCAAGCCTTCCACCGACGGGCTTTCCGGGGGGCACGGATCGAAAATCGACGAGAAGTTCCTGACGGTCGCGCAGAGCGGGCCGGAGGCGAGCGTGGACCCGCCGCCGCCGACCACCGGGGCGGTCAACGTGCTCCTCCGGCCGGAGAACGACTTCAGCAGCTACGGTTGGGTCACGCTGGCGAACGTGGGGTATTGCACGAAGACCGGCCCGGCGACGGCGCAAGCGAGTCACAGCTACTGGCGGGTGGATTTGGACACGAAAAAGTACATCGCGGGCTTCTCAATCTTCGCGAACGGGGACCTGACCGCCGAGTGCCGCACGGGGGTGCAAAACGCCCGGATCAGTTACTACAAGGAAAACTACGAAACGGACGTCAACAGCACCACCTCCTCCGCTGTTTCTTCTTTCCTCAGTCGCACGCAGACTCCGGGGCTGGTGTCCGCGCGCGGCGCCTGGATCGCGGTCAACCAGCACATTGACTCCGTGCAACTGCAGCAATTTGGGGCGGGGAACGCGAAGAAGGAGATGTGCTTCTGCGGCCTGTGGCTGTACGAGGCGCCGCCGCCGGTTTTGGGGCAGTACTACGTATCGTCAGAAAAAACTGTTTCACTGTAAGGATTTTGCAAGTTTTGCATTACAAGTTCGCTACACATTACAAAGAAAACTTGCCATGCGAGGTTCCTAAGGGAGAACACCGCTAAAAGTCACTTGTCTTGCATGTATAGCAAGACAAACACTTCAGTGATGCATTTTCCGCATTACAGATTTACAGTGAAACAGTTTTTTCTTGCGATACTGCGTGGCCGACCCGCTGCAGTCGTGCGACGAGAAGTGCGCGGAGCTGGGGCTGCCCTGCAACTATGCATTGCAAATATGTTGTCTGGGTCTGGAGGGATGCAGCCTGTGATGCTGAATGTGAATTCTACAATGAATCTGTATTGCATGAACAGCAAAAAAACAGTTCTGATGCGGTATAGGCTTCAGGAAGCCCTCACAAAATCTGTGATGCTAGGGCATGCATCACAGACATCAGGAGTCATGCAAAATGTGCATGGCAAACCTTGCTTCCTTCCAGACCCAGACATATTTCTTGCATTTGATAGCAACAGCGAGGAAACGAGCGAAACGACTTTGGACACGGCCCGGGTGGCCGAGAAGTTCGCCACGCTGGGCTTGACGTGCGACAAGAGCACAACTCCCCCTCCCCCTCATTTGTGTAGCATGAACGGCAATACAAGCGCCAGCCAGAATGCAGGTTTTGCATGACAGAGTTGCACAAGATTGTAGTGCTATTTGGGCTGCCAGAACTTGTCATCATGCGAACAGTGCTAGGAGGCACGGCCTGGATTGGGCATTTTGCATGACAAATGAGGGGGAGGGGGAGTCGTGCACATTCATATGACGTGCGACAAGAGCACAGAGGAGGTCGGGGTGGAGGACAGTTTCTTCTCGCCTGTCGTCGAGGAACAAACCCAGGGGGCGGCGACTACCAGCTGGAAGTGCTTGCGGTATAACAAGCAAATGTACGACCACGGGCTGAAGTCCCAGTGCAGCGCGCGTCCGACTTTGGAATCCCAGCGGCGGGTGTGCTTCTGCGGGGGAAGGAAACAGCTATGCACTGCAAAAATGTCTGGGTCTGGAATAATACAAACTTGTGATGCGCATTCCAGAACACAGAAGGATCTCTTATGCATAGGTAGCAAAAACTGCCCACTTTCTGTCACCAAAATGGGGGATTTGTCATGCGGATTCGGCATTGCGGAAGCTTCTCGAAACCTGTGACGCTAGAGCTTCCATGCCAGGCCTTCTGTGTCATGCAAAAACAGCAGGACTCTTCCAGACCCAGACATATTTGCATTTGATAACAGCGGAAGTTCGAGAATTCCGCCGACCCGGACCTGCCGTTGAATTTCATCGAAACCAAAAACAACGCGTGGAACGCGACGCAGTTCGACGGCAGCGGGGCGCCCGGCTGCAGCGGCATAGGCGGATTCAAGTATTTGTGCGGGGCGGGCAATGTTTTTAACCGCCCTTTTGATAACCGAAAGGGATCCAAGATCTTCAAGTACGACTACATTCCCACCACGGACCGATTTTGCATGCACACGGGCGACTCCAACAGCTCGCTTCTGCTGCCGTTTTGGCGCGCCGAGTTGTCGGCGTTCTCAGACCAAGTGCAGAGCCAGTTTCCGATGGGGAATAACACGAACACTAACAGCAGTACTAGCGGTAATAATGCCTTCGCAGCTACTTCTTCCAACACAAGCAACAGCAGCGGCTCTGGTACTAGCGGCAGTGCAGCAACCTTCTTGCGGAAAGTGGCGGACACGTTTTTGGGAAACACAGTCACAGAAGATGAAGACGAAGAAAAAGGAGATAGTACAGCAGCAGATGATGAGGACCGTAGTATGCTTTTGGAAAGAAACGAGCAAACGCCGGTGGGAATCGACATCTACGAGATGTTCGGACGGTACGTTTATGCCTTGCAAAAGTATCATACTAGCAGTAAGATTGCAAGACAGGTTGGCAGCTCAGCATGACAAGTAGAAACAAATGGAGTTTGTCATGCTGATTTAGATTAGAAAAGAACTTTGTCATGCGTGACTGCGATTACTTTTACTACGATACTTTTGCAAAGGATAACGCTGAAGGCTTCGAAATTTTCTCCGCGGACATCGAGGGCGACACAGCGTTTGGAAAATATCCAAGAAAAAAACTGTGTAAGTTGTGTATGGTTTGTGCGGCGGACGACGCAAGACATTCACACTTGTCATGCTGGATCTGCATCACGGGCTAGTTTCGTGCGACGTGTTTTTAGTGATACTACCTGCGCATGACAGGTTTTGTTTTTTAAACGCAAAACGAATTTGATGTCTTTGTGATGGTAATAATCATCCAACCGAGCTACTGATTTATTGTGCTTTGCATGGCAAGTTTTCACTTTACTACACTTTTATTCCTGGATAGGAACCTGCCGAACGCCAATGTCTATTTTGACGACGAACCGAACGTCACGTTTCAGCTCCCGGCGGAGATTATGAAATGCAAATATGTCTTGCTCTGGAAGGGTGCGAATTTGTCATGCATATTTTGTATGCCCCAAGAGGTCTGCAATGCAGGACCTAGCATGACAGGTTCTGCGAAGTCTCTATCATATCTATCCCGCATGACAAACTGCCACTACACTTGTTCAAACGTGGACGCTCTTTGGTAATCATGCAACACAAATTTCTGTACTATCCAGACTTAGCATGACAAGTAAGACCCAGACATTTTTGCAATGCATAGAGATCAAGCCCACGGGGACGTGGGTGCCGGTGCAGCGGCGCATGCGGTCGATCAAGATCGAGGCGCCTGGCGTGACATATCCTGAGTAAAAACGTACCCACACCAGAGTTGTAATGCAGATTTGCAAAGACAGGCAGACTTGTAATGCGCATCCCCATGAGAGCCATTTCCAATCGTGTTTTGGAATTTGTGATGCTATGAACAGGATGAGCAGATGAATCTGTGACGCGGCTGTACTTGCTAACCTGCACTACACTGCATAGCGCAACTTGTCATGCGTGACTCACAAAACTCCTAGGTTTGTGTTGCAAAATCCCCATCCTGACTCTGGTGTGGGTACGTTTTTACTCAGGATCTGACAAGTTTGTCGTTTTGCGGAATTCACTTCTACCAGGGGGCCGACCCGGATGTGCTCCTATAGAAGATAACTATCCTGCTGTGTGAAAACGGCACCACCACTACCTTAGCTGTGCTTTTTTCAGCAGTGAAGTTGAATCCGAGTCCGGCTAGGACGAGCGTCGATACCAAAGTCAATATATAAATCTAAGGAACAAGAAGAAAAGGCAATCGTATTGGAGTTGTAGAAGTACTAGAGCACATGATCAGCACGATGATCTGAAGCATAGCAACATGGCTGACAGATTGGGTAAGATCACATCGACTATCGAATGCAAAAATGTCTGGGTCTGGAAGGTTGGAACTTGTAATGCCAGCTTTCCGTACTTACGAAATCTGTATTGCATAACCAACAAAAGCCGCAGCCTCTTTTGTACATGCAAACACGCAGTTTCGCATGCGGATTGCCTATGCGACAGCGTTCTGGCAAGTTCTCATGCTAGGTTGCATTCGGAACTGCTTCCATCATCCACATTTTAGCATCACAAGTTTCCAGACCCAGACATATTTGCATTTGATATCGACTTATTCGAAGGTTTTTTTTTGACAAGAGTTTTTCAAAGAAAACGTAGGGAACAACCATGATGCAGTCGTCACATCTGAATTTTTTACATAGATACGCAATGTCCAATTTGAAAGTCGCACTATTGCAGCTCTATTGGTGCTGCTGTCGTGGGAAGAAGATACTAGCTTTCGTATGGGCATAGAAGGCTGTAAGATGTTGATCCCTTGTATGATGATTGGACCGTAGTTTCGAAGAAACCCAGAAGACCAGCAAAGAAACCACGAAATGTACTATTGTACAATGATATTGATCATGATCGAAGATGTTGATGGGTACTTACAGCTACGTACAACTAAAGGACGACATCATAATCGCGAGGACTGGCGTGCGTCATGGTGGGTTGGGTACGAACTGCTTACACCGTTGAAAACCGGACCCATAATTGCCATTGTTCCCCATCGTCGTCCCATGATATCACACTTGTACTACCGAAGGAACCACTTGTCGTGCCGAAGGAAGTTACTACGCGAGAGAAAGGTGTCCAGCCGACTACAACTTGAGCGAAGTTGTAACAAGTAGCTGGATCATTGTATTGCTTCTACTACTTCTTGAGGATCGGCGCCTGCCATAATGCGAATTTTCGGTAGAAGAACTTTCAATGTGGTCCCCGGAGTGATTGTGATTGAGTCGATGTTGTTCAATTGGAACAACAAGCTAGGCAATTCTGCGTGAATCCAAGTACTACGAGCCTTCTTCGCAACTGGAACTTCTGCTTGGAGCGAAAGGTCTATCTTTGTGTGTATGGAAATATAACGTTCTAAATGAATTTTTTTACCGACCCAATACCGAAACTACACCGAACCTATCGACCAATTATGATCTTCGGATTAAGATTATCATATCGAAGTAGAACAAGTTCTTTCCTGGGACAATGGTGACCTAGATCGGTGCGATTTTGGGATCGGTCGCTGCTCCACTCGGTCCCGATCGGTCCTTTGGTGGCAGCTTCCGCTTATGCAATGCAAAAGTATCGTACTAGTATAAATTGCATTACAAATTCCCCCAGCATTACAAATTGAATTTGTGATGCTGATTCACTTTGAGGAAGAGATTTGTAATGCATAAATGCAATTACTACGAGTACGATACTTTTGCAGAGGATACCGCTTCGGCCGGCGGCGGCGGAGGACCGCCGGCATGGTGTATCTCGACCATCGCGTAGCCAGCCTCAGTCGTTGGTTCGCAGCGCGTATCAAATGCAAAAATGTCTGGGTCTGGAAGATTCTGAGACTTGTCATGCACGGTTTGCATGAGCCATGATGTCTGTGATGCATGCCCTAGCATCACAGTTTTTTTGAGGGATTCCTGATGCCTATTCCGCATGACAAATGCCCTCTCCGCTTGGCAAAAATTAGACTCCTTCTGCTGCTCATGCAACACAAATTTTTTAGACATCCAAATGCAGCATCACAAGTTGCATTCTTCCAGACCCAGACATTTTTGCATTTGATAGCGCGACACAGCGCTTTGAAAACCTCGCCGACCAGCAGATCGACAACTGTATGAGAGTTCACAACCCCCTCTCGTCCCCCTGCTCATTTGTATGGCACAAACAGCAATACACGCGTCGGCAAGAGTGCAGGTTTTGCATGACGAATTCACCACGCGAGATTGTAGTCCTGTTTGAGCAGCTTCCCGAACTTGTCATGCAAAAAGTGCCAAGACTAGCAAAGGTTTGATTTCATATTTTGCATGACATATGAAGGGGGGGAGTCGGAGTAGGAGTTGTGCACCCTCATAGACCTCCTCTGCAGCGCTGCAAAACCACCTTCAGGGCGGAACAGTCCTCCAAGAAGGTTCATCTCCGCCTCGTGTAGGGAAGAACGGCTACCGGTCGACTTCTCCCGCACAGAAAACTACAAGCTTCCACGAAAACACTGCCACCTCCCTGCTCTGTCCGGCGGAGTACGCGGGTACGTGCGAGAACGCCGCGGAGGTCGAAATCCAAAAAGTTACCGGTGGGGGCTCCGTGAAGCGGTGCGACGCTGTGTGCCGGGAGACGCCGGGCTGCGCCTTTTTTGCGATTGACGGGGATCAGGTGTGCCGGTACTATGCCGACGGCTGTCGGAGACCCAGGACGAGAAAAAGGAAACCAAGTCAAGGTCAGCCACAGCGCCGCGAAGACGCTGGAGATGGAGCTGCACCCGCATCGCCGCTTGGGTATGCCGAAAAGGCGATCGCCCTGTACTCCATCGCGCGGAACGATGCGTTGTGCGTGCCGGCCGACGACGTGCCCGAAATTCCCTCGAGGAGGCAGTGCCCGAAGGAGCACCACTACCTCCGACGGGTCGGCGCGACGCAGAACAGCGACCAGAGCGATGATTTTCAGAAGAAAAAGTCCGCGACTACTTCACACCATATCGTAGCGGTGGCAACGGCAGAGCAGGGCGTTGTGGGTCGTACTACACAGGAAAAGTTCTACACAGGAAGTACAGAATTATATGCGAATGGCTGCCTGAACAACGAAGATGGTACTGAAAACCAAATGAAGCCAGAGATAGTAGAAAACGGCAATCTATTCTTGCTAGCGAGGTACACAGACCGGAAATACACTCGGCAGGAATGTCGGTACCTCTGCGCTATCACTGCGGACTGCGGCAGCTTTCTCCTTATCCTCAGCAAAAACGTTCCCACCCCAGAGTCAAGATGGGGACTCTGCAACACAAACCTAGGAGTTTTGGGAGTCACGCATAACAAGTTGCAGTCCGCAGGGTAGTGCAAGTTCGCAAGGAAAGCCGCATGACAAATCGATCTGCTGATCCTGTTTACAGCATTACAAGTTCCCAAACACGATTGAAAATGCCTGTCATTAGATTGCGCACTACAAATGTTCCTGTCATGGCAAATCTGCATGGCGACGCTGGGGTGGGGACGTTTTTACATAGGATTCTCTTGAAAGGCAGCACGGGCGAGTGCCAGACGAGGGTCGATCCTTGCGCGGGAGGTCCGCGCGGGACAACAGCGGGACATCAAGTCGGCGCGGGACATGAACATACCGCAGCAACAACCTCTAGTACCGAAGACGCGCTCGCGCTGCAGGCGGCGGGCACGTCGTTTTGCGTCAAGTCTAGAAATGCCGACGGGGATCTGGTGGAGATGTTTCGCCTGCAGTCGCCGCTCGAGCGGTCGAGAAGCCAGCGAGCGCGGCGGCGACGGAAAAAAATGAGGAACAAGAAGGTGGAAAGAACGCCAACAAGTGAGGTAGCGCTCGTTGTGCACCACAACGATAACGAAAAAAGTTATAATCAGCAAGAAGATCGAAATGCTGTTGACCTGTCCGCCGCGACCCTGCTTTACGGCACCACCGAAGCCACTACCACCACCGCGACGACGACTCGCTTAGAAACAGCCGTCGACGCTGCTGACGTAGCGGTTTTGTCCGGGAGCCACATGGTAGCGCAGACCTTTGCGGGGAAAATGGCCATTGTATCAAATGTAAAAGTGTCTGGGTCTGTAGGAATGCGCGATTTGTCATGCAGCTTTTCCATGACCCATGAGGTCTGGAATGCAGGACCTAGCATGACAGATTCTGTGCGATCTTTCTCATGCCCATCCCGCATGAGAAACCGCCTCCCGACTTGGTCAAAACTGGACGACTTTTGGTAATCATGCAACACAGATTTTTGCATGCTTCAGATTTAGCATGACAAGTTGCATTATTCCAGACCCAGACATTTTTACATTTGATACATTGCGTACCCCAACGACATCAGCAGCCTGCAAGAGCCCCTGGACTCCGAGTGTACCGACACCAATGTCGGCGATATGGGATTCTCAACTGTTACATTCTCAACTGCTACACGAATTTGTAATGCAAGAATAGCAACAGTCAAAGGGGGGAGGTTGCGCCTCTAGCATTACATACAAATGCCGCACAGATGATTTCGGTGCTGTTTAGCCCTTTGCAAATTTGTCATGCTAAGCAGCTTGATCGCATCGATTCTGATTGTGATTTTGCATGACAAATCACACAACAGTTGAGAATGTAACACTTGAGAACGTCATAGGCGACCTGGCCGTATTCGAGATCCAGCTGGAGAACGACGCGAAGGTGAGCATCGACGCAGAGGCTCGGGCGGAAGAGGACACCGGGAAAGACGACAGCTACTGTGTCGGGTTCACCGATCCGACCGGCGCGCAGTCTGGTTTCCGGTGGTGGGAGCTGCAAGGCTACGGGAACCCGGCCTTCAGCTCTACGGATTGGGCCACGGTGCCGATGACCCTGCAGACCGTCGAAGCCGGGGGCACCGTCACGCAGACCAGCAGCGAGTTCGATTTGACAGCGGGGGTGAACCAGATGACGCTGCGCGCCCGCGAGAAGGGCACCTGGCTCGTATTACAATGAAAAATGCCCCCACCCCCGAACTTGGGAGCATTTGTATTGCAAACCTTCCCAAATGAAACATTCGCCCTCTTGCATCTATCAGCATCACAGGTTTCTTATCGTGAATAGCAAAAATTTGTATTGCAAAAGACCCCAGCAGGAGCGGCGCTTGTCATGCAAGCGATGCGATACACGCCTAGACTCTGCATCAGAAAGATTCATACTCCTTTCATGCATGACAAAAAGTTTTCACTGGGAAACTTCGCATCGCAAATTTTTGCAATGTCAGGGATGGCGGGCATTTTTCACTGTAATAGCTCAGCAAGCTGTCGATCGCGAGCGGCAACGCGCACTTCGTGGTGCGCCCGGCGACGACGAGCACGAGTACCACGACCTCTGCGACCTATCCTGAGTAAAAACGTCCCCACCCCATAGTTGTCATGCAGATTTTCGATTATAGGAAGACTTGTAATGCGCATCTCCGTGAGAGGCCTTTCCAATCGCGTTTTGGAATTTGTAATGGTGTAAACGGGATAAGCAGATGGATTTGTGATGCGGCTGCACTTGCTAAACTGCACTACAATACGGACTGGAATTTGTCATGCGTGGCTCCCAAAACCTCTGGGTTTGTTTGTATCGCTAAGTTCCCAATTTGATTATGGCGTGGGGACGTTTTTCCATATGATACGACCCTTGTGGAAATCACCGCGCCCGAGGCCGACCTATCCGGCGAAATGGCGCTGGCGTCGTTGACGGAGGCCGGGACCGTGACCGACTACCTCGCCGTGCCCAACGACCCGAGCCAGGCAAACGATAACGTGGACGCCGACTGCAGCTTCGGTTCCGGGCACCAGGCGCAGTTCCGCATGGTGGTGCGGGTGGCTAGCGGGGCCACCGAGGAGGTCAAGCTGTTCGCCGCGATGCGCGCCGACGACAACAATAGCGACGTCGGCAGCGACGACAGTTTCTGCTTTAAGGTGACGGACCGGGACGGGACCGTCCTCGGGACGCGGAAGCTGATGCTGGCCCCCAGCTCTTCGGTGCGGAGCGACCAGTGGATCGAGAGCCAGGTTTTTGACCAGCCCATCGACTGCCCGACGGGCATCAACGTCGTCACCGTCGGGGCACGGGAGCGGGGCACGTGGCTGAGCAAGCTACGGCTGTCGACGGTGACGAACCCCGCGAATTTTCTCCGGAAACCGGGGTATTTTCTCGCGGACGCCATGCAGAGCTGCGACGAGAAGTGCGCGAACCTCGGGTTGCCCTGCAACGCCGACCAGGCCACCTCGGCGGAGCAGGCGAACTTCGAACTGTTGCTGCCCGGGGGGGCTTATGCATTGCAAAAGCATCGTACTAGTATAAATCGCATTACAAATACAAATTTTCTCAGCATGAAAAATTGAATTTGTCATGCTGTTTTACCTTGGAAAGAAAATTTGTCGTGCATAACTGCAATTAGTACGAGTGCGATACTTTTGCAATGCATGGGGCTACGTGCGCGTCCGTCGCGGAGGCGACGGTGATCACGACCGGGGTCGGAGCCGGCAATATCCTGTGCAAAAGTTCCGTACTCATATTGCAAGCATGCATTACAAATCCTTTTGTTAAGGGAAATCCGCATTACAAATTCTATTTCTCATGCTGAGGAAATTTGTAATGCATCTATACGAGTGCGATACTTTTGCAGTTCATAGGCAACCAGGTTCTCGCGCCCTACGCGACGCAAGACCCCGCGGACCAGAGCTGGGCGTGTTACAAATTTTCGCCCGCGCTGCAGACCGCGGGACTGCGGTCCGTGTGCGGCGCGAAGGCGCCCGCGCAGGCCGACCTGCAGCGGGTGTGCTACTGCGGCAGCGCCAACATGCGCTTCATCGGAGACGCGGTGCGGAGTCCCGTCGACCCCGAGCAGTTTAGTGCGCGCACCTGGACCAACCGGGACGATTTGAAGGTGGCCTGTCTGGAGAACGGGTCGCTGAGCGGGGCGGACCTGTGCCCGGCTAGCAACGTCTTCAACCGTGAGTTCACAAACCGCGGGGCGGAGGAAATTGGAAACAGCTACGACAAGGCGAACTTAGACGCGGGGAGCCTGGTCTGCTTCCACACCGGCTACAAAACCTCCGCCTCCAGCACCGACGTTCCCTTCTGGCGCGTCGAGTGGACGGGCAGCACGAACGGCAACTGGACCTCGTTCGCCCGGCCGGTTGCCGGCTTCGAGCTCTTCGCCAACGACGACGCGTACGACGCCCTGCCAGCAACCCTGGAAGTGTTCTTCGACGATGAGCCCACCGCTGCCTTCACGATTGCGGGGTCCTCCATTTCCTCGACGGGCACGTACGTCGAGCTTCCCGCGAACCGCACAGAGTGGAAGAGCATGAAGCTTGCGATGCGCGACGGCGATACGACCCCTACGTCGTTTTTTTCCTTTTGCGGGATCCACTTCTACGCTGGTCCGGACACGACGCCGCTCCGCCTCACCCCGTATTCGAACCACCTGTACCTCGCTGCCAGTTTGCAGAGTTGCGACGACACCTGTGCGGAGTACAATTTGCCGTGCAACAGCGAGGAGGTGACCGGGTTCGCAGAAGCGGACCTGTCGACCAACGTGGGAAATAATCTGGGGGTCACATGCACGGAGACCGACGAAGCGGGCCGCACGGAAAATTTTGCGCCCTACGTGCAGGTCTACACCGCGCCGGCCGTGACTCTGGTGGAGCGGGGGAGAGAAGAAAAACAAGAAGAAGAAGGCACTATGCAACTACATCAACAACAACATCATGAAGAAAAATCAGGTGCGGACGCGGGAAAAATAAGACAGAAAATAACATCAACTACGAGTGCAATAAGAAGAAGCTCTCTCGCAGAAGCAGCGAGCAAGGCCGCCGGGGGCCACCGGTGTTCCGCCTTCAACGCGACCGCAAGACAGGCCGGGATTTACAGTAGCTGCAGCGCGAAGAGCACCGTCCCAGCCCACCGGCGCGTGTGCTACTGCGGCGGCAGTGCGATGCGCATGTTCGAGGGAAGGCAGCTCAACCCGATCAGCTTGTCTCGCTTCACCGGTGTATCAACTGCAAAAATGTCTGGGTCTGGAAGATTGCAACTTGTCATGCTGTTTTTGGATTCTAAAAAAATTTGCATTGCATGACCAGCAAGAGGGGTACAATTTGTGCTACACGGAAAGGACATTTTTCATGCGGAAGGTGCATCAGGAAACACTCTAAAAGTCTGCGATGCTAGGTCATGCATTACAGGCATCATGGGTCATGAGAAATATGCATGACAAATCGCGCATTCTTCCAGACCCAGACATTTTTACATTTGATACGATGCTACTTTTGACAATTCGGGGACGGAGAACAATTTTCTCAACCGCACCTTCGCGGACCGGGCCCTTTACAGCGCGGATACCGCGGCGGGCGAAGAGGCCTGTGTCGTGTTGGGGCAGGGCGGGGGCGCGTGGTTTCGCGTCGAGTTTGCCGTGTCTGTTAGCCCACCGGCGTGGGCGACGGCGTTCGTTGGTGGAGCAGATGAAACGATTAATCCCTTGCTGTCTGAATATGTGCACGGCTTCGAGATTTGGTGCGACGCAACCGCGGGATTTTCGTCGCTGTACGAGGCGGACCTGTTTTTCGATGATGAGTTAGAGCCCTCGATGCAGCTCCCGGCGGACGATGCTCTTGCTGGAAACAATTTTGACCCGATTTTCGTCACTGTCCAGCGGAGGTTTCGCTCCCTGAAGATCCAAAACAACAACTCCCCGGACCTGATGCGGTTTTGCGGCATCCATTTTTACGCCGGCGCGGACCCAACCACAACGTCGACGACGTCTCCTCCACCTGTGGAGGAAGAACTATCCGGGTACCGACTTGCGCAGGAGCTGGAAAGCTGCGACGAGGCGTGCGCGGTGGACGAGTTGCCCTGCAACAGTGCGGAGACGAGCCGAATTTTCGATGACACCACATCCTCGTCGCAACCGAACGAAACCTTTAACTTCGAGTATTACAATGAAAAATGCCCCCACCCCCAAACTTGCAATAATTTGTGATGCGAAGTTTCCAAATGAAATCTTTTTGTTATGCATGAAAGGAGTATGAATCTCTCTGATGGATGCAGAGCCTAAGCGTATATCGCATTGCTTGCATGACAAGCGCCGCTCTTGCTGGGAGCTTTTGCAATACAGATTTTTGCTATTCACGATTGGAAATCTGTGATGCTGATAGATCCAAGAGGGCAAGTGTTTCGTTTGGAAAGGTTTGCAATACAAATGCTCCCAAGTTCAGGGGTGGGGGCGTTTTTCATTGTAATATCGAGGCCGCGAACGTTACCTGCGACGCGAACGAGACCGCAAAACGCGAAGCCGCCTTTGCGCCGTACTTGGAGATGGATGTGGAGGCCGACGGCGTCACGGAATTGCTCCGCTGCTACCAGTTCAGCAACGACACCTTTGCCGTCGGCTACCAGTCGGTTTGCTCCGCGAAAAGCGCAAGTAACAAACACAAACGCCTGTGCTTCTGCGGGGGAAAGTTCATGCGGAACCTGACAAGCAAGCTCCTGTTGCCGATCGACAATAGTCTCCTCACGGCCACGCAACTCGGAAACTACTCCAGTTTTTCGAACGCCAGCAACTTCCAGAACCGCCCGTTTACGTTTCGCGACCCGGTAAACGACGGGGCGGTTGCGCTGCGGAACTTGGTCTTTGGGGGAGAAGCCGGGGCGGGATCTTACTGGCGCGTGGAGTGGAAGAAGCCAGTAACGCCGGCGTGGGCTTCCGGGTCAGACTTCGCAGTGTTTCAGTCGTGGTACGTGGAGGGCTTCGAGCTGTGGCCGCACGGGGAGAACAGCACCTCCAAGATCGGCGGGAGCAGTGTGTATTTCGATGACGAGGGGGACCCGTCGCTGGTGCTGCCGCAAGATCCGCTGATGTTCAACGGAGTGTATGTTCCAGTGCAACGATATGGAAGCGTCAGAACCGAAATTGACAAGGTTGAGAAAGTTTGTAATGCATATGAGTGCAAGGCATGAGATACCTGTCTTGCAGAGATGGCAAATGAGACGGATTGTAAGCCTCGTTAGGACTAGAGATAGAGTTGCGAAAGTAGCACGACAGAAGCAGCCCTCTTTGCCCAAACAGCATGACAAACTGCAATTTGGTCGTTTTACCGAAATTTGTCATGCGCCACCTAGCAACCGGGTTCCAACTGGTTATCCATTTTATGCATGGCAAATTACTCCAACTTTGTCAATTTCGATCCTGGCCCTTTAATAAACGAAGGTTCCGGTCCATGAAAATCCAAAACGACAAAACAGAAAACCCGCTCGTGTTGACCGGCATCTTTTTCTACGCGGGCATGTATGCATTGCAAATATGTCTGGGTCTGGAAGATTGCAACTTGTGATGCTAAATCTGAATCATGCAAAAATCTGTGTTGCATGAGTACGAAACGTTGTCCTCTTTCGACCAAGTTGCGGGGGAGTTTCTCATGCGGGATAGGCATGATAGAGACCTCACAGAATCTGTCATGCTAGGTTCCGCATTCCAGGCCTCATGGGTCATGGAAAACCTGCATGGCAAACCTTGCATCCTTCCAGACCCAGACATTTTTGCATTTGATAGCATGGACCCGACTACCACCAGCACCACGACAACCACCACGCTGCTGGACTTGTCCGGGTTCTACCTGGCCTCCGCACTGCAGAGCTGCGACGACCGGTGTGCCGAACTTGCGCTCCCGTGCAGTGTATGCAATGCAAATATGTCTGAGGCTGGAAAGAACGTGTGATGCTAAATTACGGATGAGGCTTGTGCTTTCAAATGCAGCCAAGCATGACAAGTTTCGTTGACGCTGTCTGATGCGTAGCACTCGTGACAAACTGCGTCTTTGCATGACGAAAAAGCAACGCCTTTGCTGGCTGTGCAACACAGATTTTTCAGGAATGCTAGACATGCAACACAAGTCCCACTTTTCCAGACCCAGACATATTTGCATTCGATACAGCAGCCTCCGGACCACGGTGACCAGCGCCACGTCGGGCAGTCTCGCCAAGCTGAACAATGCCAATATCCTGAGTAAAAACGTCTCCACCCCAGCAGAGTTGTCATGCAGACGTGCAATGACAGTATACATTTGTAATGCGCAGCTCCGTGAGAGGCATTGATTTCCAACCGTATTTTGGAAAAATTTGTAATGCTGTAAACAGGAGGACAAAATGGCTTTCTCGTGCGGCTTCCCTTGCCAACCAGCACTACACTGCAGGGGGAAGCTTGTCATGCACAGCTCCAATAACTTGGAGATTTGTGTTGGTAGATTCCCAACTTGACTATACTGGGGACGTTTTTACACAGGATAGCCAAGCCCGCTACCTTAACCACCTCGTGCGACGCCGTGACGGAAGACGCGACGGACTACTTCTCTTTCGTATCAACTGCACATATGTCTGGGCCTGGAAGAGTGCCAGACTTGTCATGCAGGTTTTCCATGACCCATGAGGTCTGGCATGTAGGACATAGCATGACAGATTCTGTGATAGTTCTATGATGCCTATAATGCATGAGAAACTGTGTCTCGGTTAGGTCACAAGTACACAGCTTTTGGTAACAAAGCAACACAGATTTTTACATGATTCAGATTTAGCATGACAAGTTCCAACGTTGTTCCAGACCCAGACATATTTGCAATGCATATTTCGCACCCTTCTACGAGGCGGATGCGGACGACGGGTCGTGGAAGTGCGTCCAGTTCTATGACAGTGCACAACTCCCCCTCATTCTCATTTCTCATGCAAAACACCAACTCCACACTTTCCCTCCTGTCACTATTATGCATGACAAGTTCTGGTAGCCCAGAGCCAGATAGCACTCTACTCGAGTGCAAATTTGTCATGCAAAACCGGCATTCTTGCTTATGCTTGTGTTGCCGTTCATGCGATACAAATGAGGGGGCGGGGGGGTTGTGCACTGTTATAAGTTCCCACTCGCGGAATTCGCCAAGGGTTTTCGGTCCCGCTGCGACGCTATCAAATGCAAAAATGCCTGGGTCTGGAAGATTGCGAGATTTGTCATGCTTGTCTGGCATGAGCAAAAAGTTTGTGATGCGTGTTCAAGAAGAGACCTTTTTGCCTGTCATGCAAAAACGCAGTTTGTCATGCGAAAAACGCAACACAAAGAAGCGCAGATATTTCTCATGCTTGCCTGTGCATCGCAGAGCATTCACTATTCCCAACGCAGCATTACAAGTTTCCAGACCCAGACACTTTTGCAGTTGATAGACGCCGTCAGCCCCAACGACCTGCGCCAGCGGCTCTGTTTCTGTGGGGGCGACGAGGTGCAGAGCTTCCCGAACTTCGTATTACAGTGAAAAATGCCCCCACCCCCAAAGTTGCAAAAATTTGTGATGCGAAGTTTCCAAATGAAAACTTTTTGCCATGCATGAAAGGAGTAGGAATCTTTCTGATGCAGATTCTCGGCGTGTATCGCATCGCTTGCATGACAAGCGCCACTCTTCCTGGGGTCTTTTGCAATACAAATTTTTGCTATTCACGATTGGAAACCTGTGATGCTGATAGATGCAAGACGGCAAACGTTTCATTTTTAAAGGTTTGCAATACAAATGCTCCCAAGTTCGGGGGGGGGGGGCGTTTTTCATCGTAATACTTCGGCACACTAGCCCCTCTGGACGGGTCGCAGTTCACCGCGAAACAGGGCCCGGAAAGCAAGGAGGACGGGGACTGCGCGGGCCCCGTGTGCGGGGCGGACAACGTGTTGAAACGGACCTTCGACAACCGCGAAGGGCGGGGCATCGAGGAGTCGTACGACCAGCTTCCGGTGGAAGACCGGGTCTGCTGTCACAGCGACGTCGGCGCCAGTTCCGGCGGGCAGCAGCAGCAGCTTCCGTTTTGGCAGGCGGACTTCAAGGCGGCGCAGGAGGAGAATTGGCCCTATTTCGAGCAGCTGGTCGCCGGCTTCGAGATTTTCGCCCGAAACACGTCGATCGGCAACGTCCCGTCCACGGGCGCGTTGCAGGGCGCCGAGGTATTAAATGCAAATTTGTCTGGGTCTGGGACGAGAGTCCAACTTGTCATGCAGACCCTGGATCACGCAAAAATTTGTGTTGCGTGAGCGCCAAAACTATGTTCACTTTTTGCCAGAAGACTAGCGAGTTTCTCATGCAGGACAGGCATCAAGGGACCTGATCAAAACTTGGAATGCTTTCCGTGCAATCCAGGGCATCCGTGTGGTCCGAAAGATGCATGACAAACTCCCGCACTCATCCAGACCCAGGCGTATTTGCATTTGGTACGAGGTGTGGTTTGACGACGACAGCAATTTTACCTTCAAGCTCCCGGACGACGTCAACAGCAAGGACACAGGCACCTGGGTGCCGTTTCCCACCAACCGGACCTTCAAATCGATGCGGATTCAGGCGGCGGCCGGATCCGTGGCGACGGGGTTATCGTTCTGCGGCATCTTCTTTTATCAGGGGACCACCGGGAGTTCGGTGGAGATCACGACCACGACCACCACCTCGACGACGACGACCACCACCACCACGACCACCACGACGCTGATGCTCGCCACGCGGGAATTCGAGCAGTATTTATGCATTGCAAATGTCATGATCCGGGTTTGGAAAAGTGAAACTTGTATTGCTTGGCTTGCATTCCTGTAAAAACTGTGTTGCAGCATGACCAACAAAAGCGCGACCTTTTGCTTCGTGCAAAAACAAAAACGCAGGTTGTAATGCGCCTCATGCAGTACTAAAGGAAAGCGTCCAACATCAAAATATGTGTCATGCTTGGCTCCACTAGCGAGGGTCGTGTTCAATTATGGCCATTCAGCATCACAAATTTCCAGACATTCGGGGATATTCGTAATGCATAGTATTTGACTTTGGACAACGACGTGAACGGGGTGGATAAGGATATTTTGGTAGCGGACCCCACGATGCTGTCCTCCGTAGCCGAGGGAATTTTGTTCTTCCTCGAAAACGAGCTCGGAATTCAGGGTCTGGCTGTTTCGCAGATTGAGGACCCCAGTATCACCATTCTGTCCACAGCCGAGGCGCCGCCGAGGCCTAAGGGCTACGACCCCTTCAACAGCGGCGGCGTCACGCTGCTGCAAACTGATGTTGGTCGACGTGAGGGAGACATTAGAAAGAGCCGGATAGGTTTAGAGAATTCTGGTCCACCACCACCACCACCTCCCCGCGCAGCTCGTCCAAGAACTAGCACGGAAGAAAGGGAAAAAGCAACTACCGAAAGTGGAGCTTTCAGTTCGGTTGTGCCAGAACATGAAAGAACCAAGGCAGAGGAGGTCGTCGCAGTCGTACAAAGGAGCGAGGATAGCGAAGATGAAGCACCACCGGCATTAGCGACAGCAGTGGAAATAAAGAGATCAAGCAAGCGAACGGCTGCAGAAGATCTCCATCGTCTCCCACCGACGAGAGATAAAAGCTCTGTGAAAAGCAGGTCGAGTAGAGGTCGCAACACGGGGAGTACAGCAAATGAAGCAGAAAGCACAGGAAGCACTGCTGCAGTGGCTCTTGCACAACGAGACACGAGAAAGAGTAGTGTCAAAGGTGGAACAAGAAAAACAACTGTTACGTCGTCGCTTTCAACGAGAACATCAAGAACATCTCAACTACACGATCTTGAAACCGCCGAAATAGCAAAGCGACGGCGACGAGGGGTGCTAGTCTTACAGTTGTACACGGAGTTTGGGCTGCGGGGTCGCAATGACACGATTCACGCCTTTGACCAGGAGTGGTCGGCAGATCAAGGCCTCACTATTGCGCAGGAGGAAACGCTCAGGGACAACGTGAACAACGCGACCAAGAACGCGGGGATAAACGGAGTGAGGCTGTTGGGTTTCACTGAAGCGATGATCATCGCTACGGGGTCGCTTTCCATCTGGATGGGAAACCCGCTCATGGCGAACGGCCCGATGCCCGCCTCCTCCTACGCGGGGTGGCCCAGTCTGGACACGTTCCCCGAGGTCGAAATCTTGCCGACCGCGGTCCGGCTGTCGACCACGTTTAGCGACGAGACCGTGGCTGTGCAGTGTGTGGATAACAACACGCTTGCTCCCGACAGCTTCTGCCAGACCAACCCGGAGGTGGCGCCCTTTCTCGAGCTGGATTTCGGGCGGCGGCTCCCCATCACGCGCGTTCAGGTGTTCGCGAAGTCTAAACTTTGCGCCCGGGTGTTGTATGCATTGCAAATATTTTTTTATTGTCTGTGGTGGATCTGGAAATAAGTTGTTATGCTGTCGTGTAGGTGCGGATCGATAACAAGCACACGCCAGAAGTTTGCGAAACAGCTCTTTGTTGGCTACTGCGCATGATAACAAATCCCGTTTATTAGAATTTTGCACATACAAAGACAAACAAGCATCGCTCTTGCGCAAGACGCATCACAGATTCCGGTGCTGTCCTGGTAGCCCAGCATTACAAGGTTTTCCAAACTCCGCCCAGATCGATGTTTGCAAAAATGCATATGCTGTTTGTAGCGCGCAACGAGTCTTTCTCCGAACCGATTCCGAACGCCACCGAGTTGGAGACCGACTGCCAGGAAGACTGGGTGGCCAACGCGAATCTCGTGGTCGGGGTGTCCAACTCGGAGTGCCAGTACGCCACCGAGCACGAGGTGCCGGGCCGCGGACACGGGTGCCAACGGCGGTACAAGCAGGCGCCGTTTCGCCGGTCGAAAATGGACAATTACGAGTGCAGCGTGCCCCTCTCGTTGAACAGCAACGATCCCTGGCTGTTTGGCTACGAGGGCGACGGTATCAAATGTAAAAATGTCTGGGTCGTGAAACTTGTGATGCTGTGTGGCGTATCATGAGGAGGCCACAATTGCTGGCTCAGCATGACAAGTTTCTGAGCTTCTAGGTGTTGCCTATTCTGCATGACAAACTACGTTTCTGCATGACACAAAAGTGGGGCTCTTTGGTAATGTGCATGACAGATTTAAGAGTCATGCCAGACAAGCATGACAAACACAAACTTGCATTCTTCCCGACCCAGACATTTTTACACTTGATAGACGGGACCATGAACACGCGCCGATTCGATTTCGACTGCAAAACGCGGATATCACATGCAAAATGTCTGGGTCTGGAACAAAGCAACTTGTCATGCTAAATCTGAATCATGTATAGGATCTGTGTTGCACGATTACCAAAAGCTGTCCACTTTTGACCGAATCGAGAGGCAGTTTCTCATGCAGGATAGGCATGATAGAACTCTCACAGAGTCTGTCATGCTATGCCCTACATGCCAGACCTCATGGGTCATGAAAAACCTGCATGACAAGTCTGGCAGTCTTCCAGGCCCAGACATTTTTGCAGTTGAGAGCGGATCGCGCGCTACTTGTGGGTGGAGCTCCCCCCCGTTTACGAGGACCGGGCCCGCTGGCTGGCGTTGAACGAGGTTCGCGTTTTTGGCCGGCCGTAGGGAGAACGCGGGTAGAAGTGTAGCGTTCTTCTCGCGCGTCATTTTCAATCATCCAGTACTCGAAGTAAAAACTCGGGGTGGTGATAATAAAGATGGCGGTATCACTTAAAATGTTTCAACGAGCAGCTTCTGTGAAGGGAGTAGAAACGCATTGGTATTTTTTCATTCGCCTGCTTTCTGTGAAAGCGGCGATGACGCTCCGAGGTAGCAGCTAGTGCAACGCTGCATCCCAGAACAGTTTATTTCCAAGAACAATTCAATACGCTTCCATTTTCGGAGGTTTCGTTTCGTATTTGGTTTCATGTTCATTTCAGCTTCACAGCAAACGTGGCTGAGGTCGTCGTTCCTATGGCACGTTTGTAACATATTTTCTGATTTCTACTGTAGGTTTATAATGGCTTTGGTAGTTCAACTTACTACGTAGGAGTCAACAGTTGGGTTTCGTATGTTTCCACATTTTGGCGTGTAGACGAATTTGTAGTAAATTTGCACAGATAAAGTTGTCCAATAGCAGCTTCCTGCAAGAAGTGTGGGAGGAAAGAGCGCAGCGAAAGTTGGATTTTGCGACTTTACAGATTCGATTTCCTCGACAGCGGCTGACTGCCCTTGTACTTTTTTTCAAAAGAAAAAGACGGAACGGAGCAACGCTTTTCCGATCGGTAAACACAATGTAAAAATGCAGAGGCTGTTTGATGTGTTAGGGGCCTGCACGACCACGACCGTGAAACTCTTCTTGGACGGGACTTTGAAGCAGTGGTGTAAGCATGCTTGCGAGGACGAGTCGGGTAGAAGTTGGCTCACCCTCGCTTTGCATGATCCCTTCGCTTTATTGCATCTTCACGTTTCTAGAGCTCCACGACCCAACAAGAGACCGTATGCTGCAGCCTTGTGTGGCGTTAGGTGAAGACGATATATCTGGAGTGACAGAGTTGTAGCGAGTTTGAGCGGGTAGAAGCAGGGACGGGGGCGTAGGAGAGTATGGTTTGTGAATTGTAGAAAGGAGGCCAAGGAATCTACTTCTTCAAAAGCTTTTTCTCTGTCTCCGCTCTGGACATGAATCGTAGAGAAAGAATGAATGGAACACAAGGCAACAAGCTCTAGAGAGCTAAAAACAAGACCGCAAGCGTAGCCGCTCGGTAGTCCTTGGCCAGTTGCGATTGTAAAAATCGCTTGACATTTTTGTAAAAATCGCAATAAAGTTTGAAGTGCCCCTACTCGTCGGTGCCGCGCTGGTAAGGAAATGATCTCCGGCACCGCGACCCGCCACCGTAGCTTTACATGTTCCCTCGAGTAGAAAACGAAATGGAACAAGAAAGCCCTCTTCTCCTGACGTAGCGATGCCACTCCCGGGCGCGGAGAGAAATGCGTCCAAACTCGGAGTTGTAGTAGAGGCGCCCTTGTACAACTACCACTTTTACCGTCTTCCTCCCGTGGCTTCGGATCGACATGGTGTACCTCGACCACCGGGTGGCGACGCTGAGCCGGCTCTTCGCCGCGCGCAACGGGGCGGTGGAGCCGCGCAGCAAGCATGGGGCACGACCGCAGGCTGTAAAAACTCCCGTGTTCCAACAGCAGCAGTTGCAAGCGGCCGCCACCATTCTGTGTCCTGCAGAGTGGGCCGGCACGTGCGAAAACGCCGGCGAGGTGCTGTTGCCGCAGCCGGTGAGCACGGGAAGTACGGTGAAGCAATGCGACGCAGTTTGCCGCGGGTTGAAAGAGTGTGCGTTTTTCGCCATCGACGCCGACGGGATTTGCGGCTATTACCGCACCGGGTGCAGACCGCCTGCTGCGGGCGGGAGGAGTGATGTTAGAAGTAGTACTCATGCCTCTAGTGGTCCGAGTTCTCGTGGGACAAGGCCAACTGCTGGGGACGAGCGCCAAAATGTAGACTTTACAGCAGTGGACACAACTTCTGACGTGACGAAATCAGCACTGAATAAAGCACCAAGCACTAGAAGTTCACCACCATCAGCTTCCTCTTTCGCAGCCAAAGCGGTGATAACGTACTCCATCGCACGCAACGACATCTTGTGTGTGCCGGGGCATGATGTTCCGGACATACCGACAGCGTCCGAATGCAAAGTAGAACTTCTAGAGAAGAACTACAAGAGCAGGAAAACGATTGATGATGGGAAAGCCAAAAGATCGAAAGCGGAGGATCTCGCTGCTCAGTCGAGGACGTCAGCATCTAAACTAAAAACCAGCACCAGCGGAAATTATATGGAAGAAGATTGGGACGACAGTGAAGAGCAGTGCGAGTTGGAAGAAGTAGAGCAACCAGAGGGCCGCCCCGAGGACAAGTTTTCGGAAGCTGCAGCTGCAGCAGAGTCAACATCTCGACAGCACGACGACGCGAGCCGCCTTCTTGCCCGCTACACAGACCGAAAGTACACGAGACAGGAGTGTCGCTACCTGTGTGCGACCACCAGTAACTGCGGCAGCTTTCTGCTGAAAAAGAGTACCGGCGAGTGCCAAACGAGGGTGGATCCCTGTGCCCGACATCAAAGGGGCAGCAAGCAGACCCTCGACGAGGCCGCGGTGGCGCTGGCGTCGCAGACTGTACAACAGGCGCTGGGCAGTTCTTTTTGCGTGGGATCTTCGGAAAAGCCAAATGGCGACCTGGTGGAGCGCTTTCGATGGCAAGAGTCGCCGGTGGATGAACTGAAGAATAGCAATAGAGAATCTTCGACGTCCAAGTTGTCGTCCAAGAAAAATGTCGAAATTATACCGGGGTCTTCTGCTTCTCCACGCGGGCGTACTGAGACTAACAGTAAGCGCAAATCTTCGCGGACGACTGACAACGGTATTCTTGAGCAGCACAGAGACCACGAGGCTTCCTCCACGGCGAGCTTTAGCAGTGGAAGTGAAGAGCCTAGTACATCAACTCGTAGAAGAAGTTCTTCGTCCGTGGTCTCTTCATCCGCCGTGCGCGGACCACCACAGAAGGATCATTCATCAGCGCTCGAAAGCACAACTTTTCGCAAAAAGGAGAAGCGGCAAAAACAAGAAGATATTAGACGAGGGGACGAAGCCGCGACGACGACGGCGACAGCAGCACAGCAGGATCTTGGTGTTGCGGCGGTTGAGACGGAGCGGCAGCACGTCGGTGGAGAGCTAAGTCGTGAGATGAAACAACAGAAACAACAAGTACGAACAAAGACAGGAGGGAAGATGAAAGAGAAAAAACGGCAGCAGAAGAGGAAGCTGCATATGACTGCTTCTAGAAAAATGCCGCCCACGACCAGCACGAGTACCACAACGCGGCTCGAGACGGAGATTAATCTGGCCGAGCAGGGCGTGCGGTCCGGGCAGGTCCAGAGCGATGTTTTTGAGGGCAAGGAGGCGGTTGTGTATCCGAACGGGGGGTCGGTTGACATTTTGGACAAAGACTGCAGCTCGGACGATGGAGAACACGCGGTGGTGGTGGATATTAAGGTAGACAACGACAATACCGTGGTGAAAATGAAGGGCGAGGGCCGGGCCACGGAGGAGCCTTGGAACAAGGATAACAGCTGGTGCGTGCGGTTTCTGGATCCGAACGGGGACCGGATTAAGGTCAAACCCGGCTTCGACTATTTCACCTGGCATATCAAATGCAAAAATGTCTGAGTCTGGAATGTTGCCGGGTTTGTCATGCATATTTTCCATGAGCCAGGATGTCTGCAATGCACGACCGAGCATCACAGACTTTTAAGGGCTTCCTGATCGATGCCTACTCCGCATGACAAATGTCCTCCCCGCGTAGCACAAACTAGACTTCTCTTGCTGGTCATGCAATACAGATTTTTTTAGAATCCAAAGTTAGCATTTTTGACATTCATTTTTAGAATCCAAAATTTTTTTTAGGTTTCTTAGCACCGCCGGTAGCGCTAGCCAAGGGCCCCCCCCGTTCCTTTTTGCGGTCTCTGGATCCTTATGTTGCCGCACCATCTTGGTGCGTTTTTTTGTTTCGGGATCCGGCGGATCCTTCTAGCTTAGTTCCTTCGCGCAGGCGCCCCTAAAGTGGGCCGGTCGGTCAGCATGAAATGAAAGCAAGGGACTAGCGTGTGGCGGAGGCAGAAAAGAAACAAGCGGCGAAGAAGCGCAGGGCGATTCGGTGCAGCGTGGGCGTTAGTAGTAGCAATCCGCATAGTGACAAAAATCAACATGGTGCAGCAGGTGCGGGAAGCAGCAGCAGTAGTAGTGGCACTAGTATTAGTGCCTATCCGGGCGGCAGTAGTAGCAATCCGAGCAGGAGCTGAAACTGGCGCCACGCAGCAAACGGTGGCAGGGGCGGCAAGAGCACTAGCAAACTTCGCGGCAGTAGGAACACCAAAGCCCGCCCTCCCCGTTCGTAGCAGCAGCAATCCCCCCCCCTTAAAGAAGTAGCAGCCCCCCCTGCATATACATGGCCCTATGTTCGTCCAACTCCGCATTTTTGTCTTTGCTCCCCGACAGGGGGTTTCCTGAGGGTGGGGGGGTGCGGGAAGTCTAAAAGCAAATGGGACGAAAGACGCCTGCAAGCGAACCGATCATGATTAAAAAGAACGAAGAGCCACGGCAGAAGGGCCGGCTCTGCGATGCCATGAGAACGAAACGGCATCAGTGTCATGCCGGTTTTCCTCCTAGATTTAGGAGATGGCGCAATATTGTGCTGTTTGAAGGGTTGTGATGCGGTTTTGCATTTCAGGACCAAGCCCCACAGTCAGGAAGACAACAGCGGCAAAATGATCAGCGTTCGGGCGCGCGCGATGCTTGTCCCATCTGTTTTTTCGCCGAATCACTTCCTTCATCAGGGCCTTGCTCAACCCTGGACCAGAACGTGTAGGACTAAGGACCCAAGAGGTAGGCACTGCAGCGGAAAGCTGGGCAAAGCAATTATTTTTGAAAAAGAACCCAATAGGAGCCGACCTGCGTGGATGGTTACAAAACAGGTAGCCTGACCCCAAATGGCAATGATCATTGGGAGCAGCAGAGCGCAGCAGGACCTCGGGACTGCAACAGCTCACCCCTGTTTTTGTTTACGAATACGCAGTGCGCCGAGTATGCCACTACCTCGACCCCTCAAGAAAAGAAGTAGCCCCCCCAACTACACACTTGCCGTCCGCGATCAGGATCCCATGCGTACTAACCAACATTGTGCGAACCGAGATCCCGCGGGGCACAGGGTCTGGCCGGCTCGAAGCAGAACGCGCAGCACAAGCGGGAGACAACACATCCAAAGGTGGGGATGGTCTCAGGTCGGTCAGGTCCGCCAAGGGTTGCGTCTCGCTATCAGGGTTTCGCCAACTCCGCGGGGGCGTCGCGGGTATCTCCCTAAAACACCAAAACCGGCACAAATTGGGCCGGCAGTCCGGGTAATTGCTCACCAGCCAGTTTGTATGGCGAATAAGGTGCTCGACGAAGGAAGGAGTAAGCATGTAATTAGCACCTCCGGTTGGTAGAGCGATCGGCTACCGAGGCACGTCAGGGGGCGTCGCTACTTCAATTCAATTCAATCCAAAGTTAGCATCACAAGTTCCAACCTTCCAGACCCAGACATTTTTGCAATACATATGGCAAATGGCGAAGCAACGGACCGACGCGTGGCACGAGAGCTGCCTCAAGTACAAGGATTCCATATGCGCTGCAAATAGGTCTGGGTCTGGAAGATGAAGAATGCAGCTTGTCGTGCTAAATCTGGATCATGCAAAAACTTGTGTTGCATGGTTACTAAAAGCGGTCCATTTTTGACCAAGTTG